CTATTTATTTTTTTTTAAAAGGAGGTAAAAATTAGTTTTATATTAAATCTAAACTTAATAGACCTTTAAACCTTCTTTAACCTATACTATTATACTTAATATTATAGTTTACTATAGTTTTAATAAAATATATATTAAAACTTTATATTTAAAGAATAATTATAAATTAATTATTTATTATTTAAATTAAATATTTAATTTTATAAGGGTTTTAATATATATTTTATAATAATAATAAAGAAATTTTTTATAATTATTAATAAAAATTATAATTATTTTAATATTATAAATATTTTTAAAAATAGTTTTAAATAAATTAAAAATTAATATATTAAATAATTAAAGTATATATAAATTAATAATTAATAAAAAATAATATAAATATTATTTAAAAGTATTTTTATATAAAGTTAATTATAATATATATATAGTATTTATAAATTATAAAAATGTATTATTTAAATAGATTTTTAATATAATTTAAAAGGAAGATTTTTTTAATTATTTAATTATAATAAGTTTTTATTTAACTATTTTTATTATTATAAATTATTAATTTATATAATTTTTAAAAATTATAGAAACTATTATTATTATATATTTAATTTTTAAAATAATAAAAAATTTAAAACTTATTTATAATAAATATATATTTTATAAAAAAGGTTTATATATATAAATTAAAGTTTTTTAAAGTAATTTATTATTTTTAAATAATTAATTATAAATATTATTTTAAACCTTTTTTATTAGTTTTTATTAATATTTTAATAATTATTTAATTTAATAGTTTTATAATAAAGAGTTATATTAAATTAAATTATATAAATATATTTTTATTATTATTTTTAATTATTTTATTTTAATTTATTAATATTTATAGTTTTTAAAAATAGAGTAATAAATTAAAAGAATTTTAATTATTTTTTTAATAAAGGGTGTTAAGAGAGGAGATTATTTAATTTATTAAAGTTTATATTTTTAATAAATTAAAATATATTTTAAATTATTTTAATTAATTAAAATAATATTAATTAATTTTTAAATATTAAAAATTAATAAAATTTATAAATAGTAAATTTATTTTATATATTAAAATAGTTATAAAATATAATATATAAAATATATTAAATTTTAAAGATTTTTTATATAAATATTTTATTTTTAATTATTATAAATATATTATAAATCTTTTTTTTATATTCTTTTATAATAATTAGAATAATATTTAAAGAAAGTTTAATAATTAGAAAAATTTTTTTATAAAGTTATAAGGGGGTATAAATAGAGTGGGGATAGATATATATATATATATAAATATAGGTATAGGGTGGTTAGATTTAGGTGATTGTCGGAATGTGGGCCGGGGACGTTAAGTTAATGGAGAGGCCAACACGAGGTAGGCCATTCTCGAGCGAGTCGAGGACGACCGGCGGGAGTTCGCCAAGATATGGAGTGTTCCGGCCAAAAGACCAGTCTTGTGGGTCCCGTCTTGCAACATTCAAATGTTGTCTCTGGGAGATGCTCACTTGGATACAAGGGCGCAAGAAGACCCATGGAAAGAGATCACCGCGAACCCTAGCCCCCGCCGCCTTGACTGTTGGCAGCCCTGAAGGTTCTCCACTATTAATATTTTCCAAAGAATTAGGACTTCCGTGGCGCGCACCCCTGCCTCGGGCCAGGCAACACAAGTTCTGGGCGCGTGTAGGAAAGGCTGGATGGGATCGGGTGACACGTATTAGCCCAGGCAAGGTTTCGGAGCGTGGCAGCCACCTATGGATATGGAGGATGACCGTTTTGATGGGAAGGTTGACGAGCTCGTCGAAAAGGCTATTCCATGCTTCATATACCAACCCAATATTGAGTCCAGCTAGGCTTGCACTACTCTCAAATATGTTTTGCTTCTGTTCCTTCACGAAGGTACGTCTTTCGCTGTGACCAGAGCCTGGGACCATTCTGACAGAATGCTCACAGACGTGATAGAGAGTGCTACCACTCAGACGGCGAGGTAGAGAAATGCTAGCTACATTGTTCCCAAGATAATAGTCTGCAGGTTATTACAATGGTGGGCGGATCTCTACCTGTGGCGCCAAAGAATGAATACCTCAGACGAGTCTTCAAGGAAGTCTCAGACACAGATATCATATCCTTGATCTGTTACAGGCCGTGGAATTTCTCTCATCCCATTCAGTATTATACCCTGTAGGGTCAAGGTGAGGCTTTCTCAGCACCTTAGGGCAGCCAACCCGTAGATAAGGCTCAAAGTTTGTGAAGTTTTCGGTATTGCCTGTGGATATTGTTGTATCCCGAGGTCATTGTCATTGAATATGATCAAATCGGTAGATTCTTGAGATTCTGAAAATACCGTAGGGTGGTTGGCGGATGTTAGCCGTTTACTCGTACTTTGGGGTATCTCCAGACATTTTGGGTGGTATTTTCCAGCGCGGAAACAATATTCAATATACAGAAATGCCAAGTGCCATTGAAGTCAGAGAGGATCAGGCCACATGGTGATGCTGCAGCTTCTTCTTTGTGAGAACAGCCGTGTGGCTGGTATCTTGGTCCTGTGCTACAGTGCAAATATGCTGTGCAACCTTGTGATTATCGCGCAGCACAGCTGGGAGTAGCAATTGCCGGATTGAGCGTTACTTCTGTCAGATTGTCGCCAATGGAAATTTGCCATGCCTGTTTTAAGTTGGTGGACCGGTCTACGCACATCCCCACTAACGCACACACATTTCCCACTAAAAAGGTTTATTTTTAATATACTTTATTTAACTTTATAAAAATCTTATAATGATAAATTTATTAATATTAAATATTAGATTTTTTATTTATTATAGAAAAAAATTTAAATAATTAATAAATATTATTATAAATTAGAAATAAATTATTAAATTTTAATATTTTCTTTCTTAATTAAATTACTAGTAATTAGTTAGGAAATTAATTAAGATATTAAAGTTTAATTTTAACTTTTATTTAATATAATAATTATTAATTTTTATTATAAAACTATATATTATTATAATATTTACTTAAATTTTAAATATTTTTATTTATAGGAACTTATTAGAATTAATTATTAAAGATTTAAGAAAAGTGGAGTAGAAAAAGTAGGGGAATTTACCCTACTTTTCTTAAATCCTTAATAATTAATTCTATTAATTTTATAAATAAAATGTTTTAAATTTTAAATTTTAAATTTTTAATAGATTTTCTATATATAATAAATAGTATATATTATTAATAAGTATTTTTATAATAACTTTAAGTTTATAAAAATCTTTCTTATATTTAGTAAGAAACTTTTAAAAGAAATTTAGTTTTAATAATTTCTTTAAAATATTAATATATTCTTTTTTATATATAAAGTATTTTTAAATATAAATAGAATATAAAGATTTAAATAAAGTAATTTATTTTTATAAACTATTTTAATATATTTAATTATTAATTAAAATATAAATCTTATATAATTTAATTTAATATTATTAATATTAATACTTATAAAATAACTTTTAGTTTATTATATATAATTATTATAAACTAATATTATATATTTAATATAGATTTTTGGAATTTATGTAGAATTAATAATAATATATTATATATATAAGAAATGATGTGCGTTGGTGGGGTTGTGCGCAGACCGGTCCACCGACTTAGTCGGAGCCCGCGGCTGGCCTGAAGCTCTGTGGCACATGGTACTTGGCGAATCAGTGCGAACTGGTGGGCAGGACTTGTGACATGGATGGATCAGGGACTTTTGCGTCAACAAAGGTAAGTGGATTCATTTCTCAGCTTTACGATATGGGTGCTCTGTGTATCAAGAGACTTGGTTATTGAGAGAAAGTCGGTGAGCCGGTAGCAGAGTCTCTTGTAATATACGAAGACTATATGCGTATGATCTTACTTGAATATTATGGTGATAAAATTACGACGGAATCGCTTAAGGGATTATGGACTTGTTCAACCGAAGATGGGCGGCGGTAGTCCCAGGGCACACTTCCGCTCACCTGTCTGGTGTCCCGTGATCTGACCTTGAGTCGCGCAGGAAACAGATCATATTAAGTTTGCATCATTAATACTCACAGCTGGCTGCAGTGGCGGCCATTATTTGCGTTGCGTGTGGATATCTCCCCATGAGATAGATTTTGAGTGTATATCGTAGACCATCTGAGTTCTCTCTTGCGAGGACTCGTGCTTTTGTCTGCCAGATTCACGACTGCAGGATCCTCCGTCCCAAACCCTGGGCTACCGCCCGGTAGGATCCGTGAGAGAAGTGCGGCCATGCTGCCGGCCTCAGGTGCTAAGAATACGCACGGCCACTCGGCCGGCCCCCAATTCTCGCGGCTTGCGTGGGGGAGAGGGTGGCGCACCGTCCCGGGACCCTGCTGCAGGGCCAGAGGTGAGTGAGCCAACCAGACGCGATATAATGCGCGCCTCCCTCCTGTTGGGCAGCACCCACTCTGAGCACATTAACAGCGCCGTGATTGGCCGGCCCCGACGTACCATAAGCAGGTCCCTCGCCGTTGCGCTGCCTTAGCCGCACCCGCTCCCTGTGCCGGTGAGGGAAAACTTGCTCAAGCTATCTGACCGCAATCCTCCTGTCCTCGTGGGCATCCCCCATTCCTTTTGGCACTTCCCGCCGCCGTTGGAGCGGGTTTGAAACACTGACTCTGTGGGTGTGCGAGGCGTTTTATTGGGGCGAGGAAAACAACGTATTTATCGTGTGACAGGGTCCTGGATATTGTTTCAACCTTGTGAGTTTGTACCGGCAGGGGTAGCTTCGATGTCACCTCCCCTTCTCTGCTACGTGGAGTTTCTAGGGCAAGTTACATTGCCCACTTCAAACAGGTACCACACAGAGTATTGTGAGCATTTTTGAGATAAGCTGCTGGAGCAATCCGCGTGGCTCCTTTTCAAACAGAACGGTCTGGCCTCGGCGTCTGGTAGCGCAATGACTGGGAGGATTTGTACCACCTCGGCCGTCCAAGGCCGTGTTGGCCCTTTGCGTCCTTCCGCGTCAGATCATGAGCACTTTTGAGAAGCCACTTGGATTCTCCCGGATATGGGGGCCCGGATGGGCCCAGCTAGCCCAGCCTCATCCTCGGGAGCTTGTTCGCCAGTGGGGTCGACTGGTGATTAAGATGTGTAGCGCCAACGGGCCGTGTTGCAATGTGGGACGTCGGACTCGTCTCGATGCTTATTACTTGCTCATGAACTCCGTAATAAACCAGAGCCCGTGAGCCGGGAGTACAGAAGGGTTCCAAGGTTGCACTTACCCACTCTCATGGGCCACCATAACGCCACCCGATTTTGACTTGACACTGGACGAATGCACATGTGGGCGCTCTCGACGCCAAGGTTCCGCTCACTCGACTCGACCTCTTCTTCTGACCATCTCACTCCAACATCGTCCATTCTGCCTCCCCTGCCTGTCCCTGCACCATCCGCCTCCGATGCTACGGTAGCAGGAAGCACGAATCGTCCCGAGGTTCAGCTCTGGAAGCATTTTGTACATGACTTTGTCGTTCTGAATTCAGCAACTCGATTGTTACCCAGATTACGAACCCACTCTCCGCGAATCACCGCCCACGATGGGTCTCTCCGTCTTTCTTGCAGCCTGGCCTCTCCTCTGCCTCGTCGCCAATGTTGAGGCCCAGGTTGGCAAAGATGGCGTCGTTGGCTTCGGCATCTCCCTGTACGAGGACCTCTGCTGCCAGGCATGTCACGATTCGCTGTCCGCCCTGTACCTGAACTGCACCACCTTCATGTCCATGGACGAGGCGGGCGGCATGGGCGGCATGGACATGAAGAAAATGAAGAGGGACGACATGGAGATGGACATGATGGGCATGACAAGCGACGAGTGCCGTGCTTCCAACGCGCCCTGGCTGCAAACGATGGCCTACTGCATCCAGCAGAACTGCAAGGCCGACAATTACCCAGCCGGAAAACAGGCGACGTGCTTCAGCAACCAGGCACTCGCTGGGGCATCCACGCCGACCCTGGAGGAGAGCCTTCCCACGGCGGCCCCGACCGTCGAGCTCGCGGCCGACGCCATGTGGCTCAACGAGACCAGCCTGGTTAATGCTGAGCTCTACTATTCGACACACGGAACCCTTGGGGAATTTGCGAGATCTGAATACCTTCACACAAGGTACTCGTAAGTGCATTTCTGTTGTTAAGGCCTGATGCCCCGTTTTGAGTGAAAAATGCTCACCAGCGCGCCACCAGGCTCATAATCTACCTTGTCACCATCGGCATCATCCTCGTCTGTGGTGCCCTGACCCAGATCACAGTCCTCTCTCCGGGCCTCCAGAAAAGCCTCCAGAACAACGGCCTCGTCACGAAACTCCGATCAGCAGTGTTCATGCCTGCTCTGTTTGGATCTCGCCGGCTGGAACCTCTCCCAGCGCGGGCGGGCTACCTCCCAGGGAGGACACTCAGCATCTTCATAGCCATCTACGTGCTCCTCAACATCGTCTTCTCCGCCGTCGACTTCAAGAGCTTCCAGCCCAACATTTACTTCTTTTCCAAGGGCTTCGAGATTTGCGAATATGTCGGAAACCGCACAGGCACCCTCAGCTTCGTCAACATGAGCATCGCCATCTTGTTCGCCGGTCGCAACAACCCCTTGATCCCCTTCACCGGGTGGAGCCAGACCACGTTCCTCACGTTACACCGGTGGGCTGCGAGGATCGCCACACTGCAGGCAATCGTGCATTCGATCGTGTACACGACCGCGTACTGGCAGCCGGGGTATGAAGGAGCGTCGGCGTATGCTGCAAAGGCGGCGGAACCTTTCTTCGTAAGTCCTCGTGCCGTCATTGCTGGTGCAGGCCCTGCTGCGAACAGGAAGCTGACAAACTCGTACAGTACTGGGGAATTATCGCAACCATAGCAATGAGCCTGGCCATGGCCTTCGCCGTCTTGCCACTGCGCATCATGCTCTACGAGACGTTCCTGATAATCCACATCATCCTCGTCGTCATCGCCCTGGCTGGCTGCTGGTACCACATCATCCCCCACTACGGCTACGACTGGGGCTACCAGGTCTGGCTGTATCTCGCCTTCGCCTTCTGGGCCTTCGACCGCGTCGTGCGGGTCGCCAGGATCGTCTACACCAACCGCCTCGGCGACTCAAAGGCAGTCGTGGAATCAATACCAGACAGCAACATCATCCAGATCACCGTCTTCCCGAGGGTCGGCTGGGACTTCGGCCCGGGCCAGCACTGCTTCCTCTACTTCCCGGGGCTGGACAAGGTCTGGGAGAACCACCCGTTCAGCGTGGCGGGGTGGAGGAGGAAAGGGCAGACGCTGCCGGTCGTCTCGGCGCGCCGCAGCATCAACGAGAGCGATGCGAAGGACACCTCCGAAGTCAAGACGGTCGCCCACGAGCCTGAGGTTCAGGACTGCGTGGCGGTCCGCTTCCTCGTCCGAGTCCACTCGGGGGCGACACGGGAGCTCCAGAGGCGTCTCTCCTCGTGCTCGCCCGGCATTATGGAGATGAGCGTCTACACTGAGGGCCCATATGCGGGCCACAAGTCGACCCTGCAGCCGCTTCTTGCCACCGACACGGTATTGTGCCTAGTTGGTGGTATTGGTATTACAAATGCCCTCGGCTTCATCCAGGAGTACACGAGCGCGAACTCACGGGGGGCAGAGGGCGCTGGAGGGAAGAAGAAGAAGGGCGTCATGAGGCAGGCGAAGCGGTTTATCCTCGCATGGTCCGCCCGGGAGATGTCACTTATCAAACACGTTAAGCGAAACTTCCTGATTGGGGTGGAGGGGATCGAAGGAGTCGAGTTCTCGTTCTGGTACACGGGCGGGACTCCCGCTGGCCAAAAGGAGGAACAGACGAACAACGGTGAAGGCCAAAAGACGACGGCAGAGGCAGCTCCAAAACATGGGAGGATGAACATCGGGGATGTAATCAGATCCTCCGTGGAGCCTGGGCACCACACCACCGTTCTGGTCTGCGGGCCTGGTGCAATGGCGGATGAGGCTGCGAAGGAGGTTGTTCAGTGTGTCAAGAATGGCTCACATGTTGACATTGTTGAAGAGGCGTATGCCTGGTAGATTTGTAATAACGAAACCTTCATCTAGGAATAGCAGTAAACATCTGTTTGTTCATACCTACTCAATTGCCGTTTCTTGAGGCACGTCGGATCTCAATGTCTAGTGAATGAAGTGATGAACAGGAGCATTCGAACTGGACGAATGGGCTCTGCGCTTCTGCCGACAACTCCGGCCCCCTTCAAGCAGACCCAGCTGTCTGGTCTCTCCTTGCGGACAGCCTGAGGAACCCGGCCAATGGCCTAGAGGATTACATGCAGCACTACTTTCTTGGCCTCAGAGCACGTTTCCAAGTGAGCGTGTTTACTCTTTTCCAGGGTGGCAATCGAACTGGAGTCCTAGCACCGCTTGCATGCAGGAGGTCAAACGGTGGGGTCGCGCTCGGTCAGCGCAGGTCGAAAACTGGTATGGTACTGCGTAGTAGCGTAGAGGGCCCAGAGATTCGGTATTATTCGTTTCGGGCAAAGAGACAGGGGTCGGGATGACTGAGGGGTCCCGAGGTCTCGAAAAATACGGAAACTTGCTCAGGTGTAGATCTAATGAACCGGGGGGGTGTAGTGGGCGCTGGGATGCGTGCGTCGCGGAATTTCCCTTGGGTTTGGGGCACGATCCTGGGGTTCATCCTGCCCCGGTGTTATTGATATTTGGAGAGGCAGACCCTGAGTAGCTCAGACTCTTCGCATACAAGACCATATATTCGTGCACTGGAAACACAGAAAAAGATAAGCTCGGTTCAGAGTCACATCTTCCGCTGTCACCCAGAACTCTTGCATAACTAGCCACTCGTTACAAGAACACCGTCAGTCACTTGCCTTCCACAACACAGATGGACATGCAGCTTCCGGTGTCGATCCTCGGCGCAGGGCCAGCTGGCTTTGCCCTCGCCGCGGACCTCCAAACTCACGGGAGGAAAGTGCTTCTCTACTCGCATCCCGACCACACACGGCATGCCGACAGCGTGGCGGAAAAGGGCTGCCTCAGAATAACAGGCGTCATGCAGGGCACAACAGTTGTGGACCTCACAACAGATATAAGCGAGGTGGTGGCCTTCTCGAGGATCCTGATCCTGACGGTCCCGTCCACCGGACAAGAAACACTCCTCGACGAGCTGAAGGAGTTCGACCTCCATTCGCATACGATCATAGCCACCCCAGGCAATTTATTCTCGCTCGTTGCAGGCGCGGATCTGGACGTAGAAAACATCCTCGAGACAAATATATCGCCGTACTCGTGCCGGATGGAAGACGGGGCCCTACGCGTGATGGGGAAGAAAGGTCTTGTCTCTATCGCGGCGCTACGCAACGACCTCGGGCCTGAGTTTTACGCCGGCATCCAGGGGATATTCCCAGTCGAGCTCAGGTGGTGCAGCAGCGTCATCGAGGTCAGCCTGTCCAACATCAACGGCGTCTTCCACCCCCTCATGATGCTCATGAACGTCGGCCGCATCGAGAGCACCGCGGGCGGGTTCCTGTTGTACCGTGACGGCCTCACACGCTCCGTCGCCAACGCCATGATCGCCGTCGACCGCGTGCGGATAGAGGTCGGCGCGAAATTCGGGCTGCGCCTGAAGAGCACCATCGAGGTCTCCAACGAGTGCTACGGACAGGGCTTCACCGATCTGGTCGACCTGGCCCAGAACTCACCACCACACAACAAGCTCCAGGCTCCGGCCGATATTGACAACCGAAACATATCGGAGGATGTGCCAGACTTGCTGGTGGCCTGGCACGCTCTCGCTGAGAAGCTCGGCATAGACGCGTCTCCTATCACGGCTGTCATTATTCTCGTGGAGATGGCTACTGGGATCAAATACATGAGGCTGGGCCGGAACCTGCGAAAGCTTCATTTGGAGGACGTTCCACGAGGGGAGCTCATCGAGAGATTTAGTCCTTGGGTGATCCCGCACAACGAGGTTCGATTGTAATTTAGCATTGTTGTATTTTACACACATCATAGCATAAGCGTTGCAATTAGGGAGAATAAAAAAGCATGCATTGTTGAATTCACAGTCACGGCCAGTTCTAAGCTTTCTGAAGTAGTGTTGTATATACTATCTGTGCGAAGGTGAGCCTAATCCTCACAATTGAATTTGGTTGCGCCTTGACTTTCGGATCCTGGCCCCGTAAAATCCAATGATCAGAGGCACAGGAGCAAAGGCCAGCGTAACAAAGCCCAGAAGGCTGTTCCCCCAACCCCATCCAAGAGTTTCATACAATTGCAAACCACTCAGTGGCAGCAGCGCTCCAGCTGTACCTCTCAGCACGGCATTGGCACCGACTACGCTGGCAGCATATCCTTCAAATGCATCGATAAGGTAGGTCTGGATGCCGACAAAGATGAGAATGGAACCGAATCCAGTGATCGCCGTCCCGATCTGAGGGACTATCCAGTGAACCTGATATTCAACAGTCCACCCGTACATGAACAAGCCCATTGGAAATGCCAAAGCCCCGGGCAGGGTGATGATCAGAGGAAGGCGGTCCTCGGGCGTGACAGTCTTTCCGGCAGCAGCTTGCCTCTTCAGATTTCTGTCGCTGAACTTGGCGATGTATGCGAGCCCAGCCAAGGTACCAACACCCCCGGCCAGGAAGACGAGGCCGGCTGCAAATGTTGAATAGCCATAGACTTCTTTGAAAACAAAGGAGTAAGTGGCAAAAAGTAGGTAGAGTGTTCCGTAGAGGACAGCGACGTAAGTGCACATGACCGTGACAATGGGGCAGCAGAGGAGCATCTTCGACGGCCGCATAATGCTTCTTGTGAACAGTTCCCGGGGAGTGATGTCCGGTGCGAGCTTTGACCGGTACCTCGAGTCTCCTGTCTCCTTTCGCAGTCTGGCTGCCTTCCTCTCCAATAACACAACGGGGTAAGTTTCCCTCAGCACGGCAAAGGCGAACACACTAACCACCCCAACCTAGTTCGCAGTCAATAAAAGACAGCCTCTCAATAGCCCAACTCGAAACTCACCACGATAGAGATGACCCAGAACATCCACCTCCAGTCAAGCTTCTCAGTCACATATCCGCCAATGATAGGACCAACCATCGGCCCAAGGATGGTACCGACGGACCATATCGACACGGCCTTGCCTCTCTTCTCGCGCGGCATAACATCCGCGATGGTTCCCGAGCCTATCGTGATGGTAGCTACTCCCGCGAAGCCGGACAGGAACCGGAAGGCTAGTAGCATAGACTGGTTCTGCGAGAGTGCGCAACCAATGGTGAAGGCGAGAAACAGCACGTTGGTGACATTGTAGATGATCACCCGGCCGTAGAGCTCACTTAGCGGCGCGAGGAGGAGCGGGCCACATGCGAACCCCAGCACGAAGATGGACACGACGAAGGTTGCGAAGGTTGTGGAGGTTGTGTTGAAGTCTTGCATTACTTGCTGCACTGCGGGTGAGAGCATTGAGGATATGAGAGGTCTAGTCTTGTTAGCATTATCTTTGTACATGTGTAGACACATTGGTGCACATCGGTCACTCACACTAAGAAGCTTATTACGGCAATAGTCAGGATATTCAACCATTTCTTCTTTGACGACCAGTTCAGGGGATTTTCCGGGTCTTGATCCACGGGCTCATTCCACCACACCACAAACTCGGAGTCCGGTCCCGGATCCACGTTCTCGCCGGTGGCATCTTCATCATTGGGCGGTAGTAAAGCCGAAGGCGTATTGGTGCCAGACCCTCTTACCTTCTCGTCAAGCTCTGAGCCCTCTCCTGCTTCCAGTTCTTGCGGTGAGATCACCGGCCGTGCCACAAACGAAGGATTTGGTTTGTTTTCTGACGAAAATTGAGACGCTATCGGCAGGTGCGGCATGTTGAAAATACACACAGTGACTATCCTGATAGTGAAAGTGCAGCTGAACCCAGCAGCCACAGAAGAAAGTCTGCTGCGACGAGAGGAACGGCCTCGCAACCCGAACGAGGCGAACCGGGGTGTGAGAGGATCGAGTTCTGAGTGCCTGTCCAAGAAACACGGCCGGCGACTAGCGTCTGAAGGAGCTGCCACTGGCACGGGTATGTCTTTACTCGGGTAATGTTTCATTCCCGCAGATAGCTTGAGCATGTTAAAACAGCTACTGTGGGGTACCCATGCGCGTGCATGGGGGGAGGGGTGTGAGCAGATTAATCTGTTTGGACGCACACCAATATAGCCGCCAGGATATTATCGAAACTTACTCGTGAAAACCCTCTCAAGGACTGGTGGGCACCTTCGGTAGGAAGTTCCACTTGGATGCTATCGCGTAATTATTTTCTGCTCAAAAAGTGCTCGAAACGGCCTCATCGCGCGTGGGAATGTCGGCCACATGCTGGCCATGTCTTGGCTCTGTCGCATCAACACTTTCAGGGTTCATGACAGCCGGTCTATTCAACCAGATCAGGGCCCAGAAGTAAAAGCGATATTGCTGCTGCTGATGAAAAAAAAAACACTAGTCGCAATATAGATTTGAGGATAAATGTATTTGGCGTTACATCGTGAGTGAATAAAAAAGGTCATGCTTACAGACATTCGCTCGAGTCTACTGCAAGAGTTTCCCAGGATAAAAATGTACATCTGGGCATGGAATAGAAGGAATAGCTTTCGGCCATGAGGTTTCTGGTATCTATTCTATTTTTACTATATTCGGCCACTCACTCCTTAGTAGCCACCGTCACCAAAAGGTCCATATCCATGTGAATGCCATCTTTGGTGGTAACCTTGTCCCATTCCACCTTCATCTCCTCTCGCGCCTTGGGCCTCATGTCTAGTGGGATACCACCATATGTCTTGCCCGACGAGCTGGTGTCTAGCCACTCAATCATCTCGTCCCCGTCCTTAGCCCACTTGACGATCTTGTTAATGACCATGTCTCTCTTTGGAAAACCGGCGTCATCGAGGAGCTTCTCGAGATCCCGCCGCTTGATGAACTTAGGCCCACTCTGCTCTGGGTAGTTGCGGTATGGCTCTCTTGACAGCACGTCTTCCTTGATCCTCTCGTGCACCGCGACGAAGTCTCCGGAACCTCCTGATATGCCGAGCCGACCTCCGGACTTGAGCACGCGGCCGAATTCTTTAACCGCTGCGGGCTGGTCTTCTACCCAATGGAAGGTTGAATTGACATATACTATATCAAAACTGCCCGTGGCGAATTGTGACAGATCCTCTGCCCTGCCGACGTGGAATGACAGGTTTGGCGTTTTGATTTCTTGCGCGAGGGTAATGCGTTCTTTGCTGGGGTCGATGCCGACCACGCTTCCCTTTTCCCCGACAACCTCCGCGATGTGGGCGGTGATGTTGCCGGGCCCGCAGCCGACGTCGAGGACGTGCAGGCCGGGAGTGACTCCGAGCCTGTTCAGCAGGAACAGCCCAGCGTCGAATTGGGTGTTGTTGACGGATGTGTAACCCTTTGCTAGCTCTTCGGTATCGGCCATGGTTGTTCCGGGATGGCGTTTTTGATATCTAGATATCGAGTTTGCTGCCGTAAACACTCACCAATTACAGACACTCGACAGCTGCCATTCCGTCCTACATATGTGTGAGCATCGCGGGTCCCGTCGGTGGGTTCCTCGTCGCGATCAAGGCCAAGTGCCACCGAAACTTGTACCCTGCGCGACTCAGGGGTATCTGCAGGAGGGTGCTAGGCTGAAAGTGACATGCGGTACTTTGAGCAGGTTTTGAGCATATTTGAGACCAATGTTACGGGAATCCTACGCTCAGCTTCAGCTAGCCGTAGCGTAAGAATAAGACTGCGGGACCGCGAATAAAACACATGAACACAAACCACAAGCGCTACATGGGTACAGGATTCTTCTTAAACCAGATCATAGAGAGAACATATCAAGCACCAGCTGACAAATCATATCGACAGCCTTGACACTTCCCCCTAGATTTACCAACTTCCGGGAAAGCTTGGCGCGACGCAACCATTCCAAGCTCATGTTCGGTGTGGTTGAACGCTTGTCTTCTTGGAGGAGTTCCTCGACCTAAAGGTTTGGTCAATTTCAGGCCATGGTTGACAAACTCTTCTCCGTGACTTCGATAGTCGCGACTCTTGTAATTCTTGTAAGGCGGCAATCCCAGTTAAATGCGAAATCCATTGCTGACCTGCTTCAGTTGTCTGCAAGATTCATCGTCCAGGTCCTCCAACGACGCTTATTGCACCCACTCCGTGCCGTGCCTGGCCCATGGGCCAACAGCATATCAGAACTCCCAGCCGCATTTGCCCTGGTCACGGGGAACCAGCACGTGTATTACAAGTCGCTGCATGACAAGTACGGCCCGGTCGTACGGGTCTCTCCCAATGAGCTTAGCTTCGTCCGGCCAGAGGCCCGGGAAGAAATATATGGCCTTCGGGTAGGTGTATCGCCATACATCTCTAGAATTCTCCAGAGACAGCTAATTGTATATATAGAAAGGCGGGCTCAATATGGAGAAGAGCCCTATTTTCCTGGGCGCTGTCGGGGGCGTGGATGGACAGACCGGAGTCAGTCTGGCTTTGAATGCAGACCACGCCCGCCAACGGAGGGCATTAGGGTGGTTATTCACAAACAGCGCATTACGGAACTTTGAAGATCTGATGAAAATTCAAGTCCAAAGATTTGTTTCCGTGCTTGAGCAAAAGTCAGACGAGAAACAACCTGCAGATGTGTCGAGCTGGTGTAAGTCTCGATGAAATCCCCTTGGATGGCGACATGAACTAACTGAAGCTGTAGATACGTACCTTGCGTTCGATATCATGGGGGATCTCTGCTTTGCTGAACCATTCGGATGCCTGCAACAAGCATCTAATACGGAATGGTCCACATCAGTCATCAACGTCTTTGTGGCGGCGGTACGTATCCCCCGATTTGTACCCATGTCTAAGCTCCTCATTTGATGTTTGATTGTGCCTGATTTTGGCAGCTTCGTATCCACGGCTGAGCTGGTAGCTGATACGGAACAGACCTGGACACAGGGCATACGCCGACTCTCGGGCGTCGGGACGTGGCTCGAATCCATGATGCTTCGGCTGCTTGTTCCTCCTAAAGCAGCTGAATGGGCCAAAATTCACCTCAGGAACTCGCGTGAGAAAACATTGCACCGCCTTGCAGATCCAGATAGGGATCACACAGACTTCATGTACCACATCCTCATCAACAACGAGTCGAAGAAATCCCTGTCGCAGACGGAAATCACCTTGAACATGGCACTCTTCATTAGTGCTGGGACGGATACAACAGCGACGGCCCTCACCGGGTGGACATACTTCGTGTGCACACATCCCGAGGTATACAGCCGTCTCGTCAACGAGATCAGAAGCGCCCTGGCAACGGAGGAAGATGTCAGATGGGAAAAGGTCAAGGATCTGCATTATCTTGAAGCCACCCTGCACGAAGCACTCCGTCTCTACCCGCCATCACCGGCCAGCCAGCAACGCATAGTCCCTCGAGGAGGAGCGACCATCGACGGCTACTTCGTTTCCGAAGGGATGACTGTTGCTGTCCCACCCTGGGTCTCGACACACTCCCCTCTTAATTTTCGGAAGCCCTTTGAATTCAAACCTGAGCGTTGGCTTGGCGAAGAGAACGAGTTCTCCAACGATCGACTAAACGCGTCCTTGCCGTTTGGAACGGGCCCGAGGGTTTGCATCGGTAGAAATCTGGCATACATGGAGATGCGACTCATATGTGCCCATCTGCTCTGGAATTTCGATGTACAGCTAGATCGAGGGAAGTACCAGGCAAAGAATGAGGTGTGGGGACTGGATGGCAGGTTAAAGACCTTCAAGATCTTCCACTCGATGACGAAGCCTGAGCTATGGGTTCGGCTGACAAAGGTTCAGGCAGGAGGGTGTTAGGAAGAGAGCTTGAAGTGGTTGGCTTCAAGGCATCGGCGGCTCTACATGCAACGTTCCAAGGTGAAATGCCACCCCGTTCCCAAGTGGAATAGACAGAAGCAGAAGGGCAATAAACTGGTTTCGCTTCTATTGCGCATACGTCCGGGGACATACATGGCGTCTTCGTACGGTGGTATCCGCTCAAGACCCAGCGTTCGAAAAACATACCTTTAAGCTTTTGAAACGGGCTGAGTTGTTGCACCATCACCTAACGAGTCCATGCATCTAACGTTCTAAGCTGACCCACTGTGAGAGAAAAAGAAAGTATTAAGGCCGGCCCCTAGTGAAATACACATGCTTACCTAGGCACACATACCACTAAAGACTATTAGAATAAAATACCTTTGAATAACTTAGTTAAGATCAAAACAATTTATACTCAACAAGACAAGGTCTTGTTATAGAATTTAGAGTTGACATTTGAGAGGGTGTGGGTGCACATGTGGGTTTTCGTGGCACGTGTGAGCATGCGAGTTGAACCAGGGGGATGCCTTACTTCGTTTTTCTCTGACAGTCTCGATTGGCTTGACTTCACAAATGTGCAAGTCAGGGTAAGAGCGGTGTGTAAGTTGTTTCACTCAGGCCTACACACAGAGCCAATATCCACTCACCTAATAATTATATCTACTTACCTAGTTCCTATTAACTATTTATTTAATACTAATTTTTCTAAATAACTCCCTTATATTTATAAATACCTTTTAAGTTAATATTAAAAAACTTTATAATATAATTTCCTTTTTAAACTTTTAATACTTTTAATATAAACCTCTTTTAAACTTTTTTAATACTTTTTTTAATACCTTTTTAAACACTTTTTTAACACCTCTTTTAACACTCTTTCTAGCCTATATATCTTTAAGTATAAACTTTTTTTTAAATATTAATTAAATATTAAAAATTTAAAAGTTAAGAAAATAAAAATAGAAATTATACTTTTTTTAACCTTTTAATATTTCTTTTAACTTTTTAACCTTTTAAACTTTTAACCTTTTAACATTTAATTAATATTTAAATACTTTATTAATATTTAAATATATATAAGTTAGAAAGAGTATTAAAAGAAATATTAAAAAAGGTTAAAAAGAAGTTTATATTAAAAGTATTAAAAATTTAAAGAATCTTAATTAGATATATAGTTTTATATAAGTCCTATATATAAAACTTTATATTAAGTAAGTAGTTAAGAAAAACTAGGTGAGTAGATATAATTACTGGGTGAGTGGATGTTAGCTTCTGTACCTATATGTGCTTTGGTGAAGTAATGTGGGCCGCTATGGCTGACTAAGCAGTCAAAGCATTGCCAACAGACAGCATCTTGTGAAACGCGCTCTCCTCAACGCGCTACCTAGGTAGGCACGTGAGTTGGTACGGGTCTCGCGTTTTCACAACGTCGGAAATTGGCGCCCACATGTGCAACTCGCCCTGCCATCACCCATCACCATGGAGCACCTCACATCGACGGGAGGTGACCAGCCTACCGTGCAACAAATGTTTGCGACTCTCTTAGAAGAGATTGCGACACTGCGGAGGCAGAATGAGGACCAGCAACGCCAGCTGGAGCATCTGCGAGGTGCTACCTCGCTTCTTCTTGAGCGCGACAGCGTGTCCCTACCAACTCCGGGCAGGCTTCAGTTCAAGCACCTACCACTGGAAATCAGAGAAATGATATGGAAGCTTGCGGTGCCGCGGCGGCTTCTTGGCTTTCCAGGCTCTAGGTCTGACGTCCCGTCAGCTCTGCCCATCCCGACCATCGCCCACGTCTGCCGTGAATCTCGACGCGTTTTCATGACTCAAAAACGGTACACTAAGGATGGTCGCAATTATGTCCCGCCACCATTGTGGCGATTGAAGGGTGATTCTTTGGCCCATTGGACTTCGTTCAGCCCTCGAACGGACGCTCTTCTGATCAATCCTGGCGACTTCTTGCGTGAGGATATTGAAACCAATTATCCCATAACTTGGACGGCGGAGCATCTCATGGTTGAGAATGCCGAGACATGGGAACAACTTCGATTCAGTGGTCGCCAATTTGATTACGAGGAAGAGAAGGCGCTCACCGACTGGATAGGACGACTTGCAATGTTCCCGAACTATTCTCCTCCGATAAGGGGCTCCATCTGGTCTGAGGCCCCTCGTTTGACGCGGGCCCCTGTTTGCCATGTACGGACCGTGGACTTCATCGTGAGCAGTATCACGATGGTAGACCACAATTACCCCCCGAACTTGGTTCACCGCCTCTTCGGCGGGGACTACGTCAGGATTGTCGATTTGAGAGATCGAGAAGCTGTTGATGCCATCGAACATATGATACAGCACGAGCTATCCCAGTTTCTAGAGCCATCCGAGTATACACTCTTGCCAACGGATCTTGAAGACAGCCTGGATATTTTCAAAGGCACCGCTACCGAATCTTTTTCCCGAGTCGAAAAGAGATTGCTGAGAGCTCTGGCCAAGGCCTACTACACAGAGTCACTCTGTATTAACACCCTCGCAACCAAGGCACGGGCAATTTTACCGTCACTATTCAGGGACGGTAAGTGGGACATGGAAGTTACCTGGGCAAAGGAGCTCTGCAAGCGCATCGATGTTCGGCCAGTCCACGTCTTCATCCGAGCCGAGGGTGTATCAGAAGTGAATTGGTAATATCGGCTGTCTCCGGCACCTGGGCATTCTGCTGCGACTGACAGAGGTCCCAACGAGGCAGTCGGCTAAACGGGACATGACAACATCATCTCAAATCAAATCATAACTAAACATTGCAAATGCTTGCGAATTCACGTCGCGCCTCTGCACGTATTGGGCCTCCAAACCGTGTACAAAATATCAAAAAGAGCAGCGCCTATGTTTGGTGAGATACAGCGTCTACAAATCACAGCGGGGATTGTTTCTATCGAGGACATTCCATGTTCATTGAGTCAAACTTGACCATGGAGGATCACGGTCTACCCTGGTCCACGGCACCACGCGTGGCTTAGGTATGCTGTTCTCAGTCAGCGTGCCAGCTAAACATGCCGTCAAAAGAGCTTGTGCCTCTTTCTCGCCCCATTCCACGATCTTTTCCTCGTCACCATGTTCCCTCTTCCATTTCACCAAAACAGTCATCTGCGCCCTCTCCTGGTCGGACAACAGATTCAGTCTTCCCGTATGCCTGCCCCTCTTTAGCAGTAGACCAGTCTTATTCTTTCCAAAGAATTTCTTGTCCAAGATCTGCCAATAGATAGGATCAAACCCAAAGTTCCTCCTTGCGCAATAATCCACAAAGAATCGGCCATTCTCCCAATGTTGAGCCATGCGTTTAGACATTGATATTGGCGGAGGTTTCTGCTTGTTCGATTCATCAACAGCGAGAAGTGCTGGGCCGGCATGCAGAGATGTGTGTGGCCCCTCCATAGTTTTGTTCAACTCGGCTTCCTCCATCTCCATGGCCCTCAAGAACAATGGCAGGTGACGCTCATAGTCTTTGGTCCAAGAACTTAAGCCCTTTCGGTAGAACTCGGGCTTATCTATGATGAGCCACCAGGGTGGGTCGTAGCTGAAGGAGGCTGGCGCAAAGTATGACATCTCCCAATCTACAACACCAACCACGTCGTCATTGTCGTCGAGTAAAACGCTGGTGGGCCGCATGTCATCGCACCAGAGCTTAAAAATCTCGCTCTTCTGCGTTGTATCCGTGCTCTTGTCATCATCCTCGTCCTTGTGTAGGCGGCCTTCCCTTGCGAGCTTGCGGAACAGCTGGCGTGCAACGTATGCCTCATGGCCGTCTGGTAGGCTCAACGCGGCATCATTATGCTGGAATGTAAAATGGGTAAGGTGCATGTCTGCCATAGCCTGGTAATATTCGCGCGATGTGTTGTACGTCTTGTTGATGGGTGGAAGGACACTTGGCGGAAGCCCGGCTGACAAGATCAGGTCGCTTGTGCTCTGGGATATGGGGCGGTGGCGCACCTTGGAGATGCGGGACTGCGGCCCCAGCGTCTTGTCGGTTCTGGTCTTGGGAACAGACGGGAAGCCAATAGCCGAGCCTTCGATACTGGAAAGCTGGAGCATGATATTCGCCATCTGGCGATACGCTTTGAGGAGTTTCTCGTTGGGAGCGCCCTTTGCGCCGGTCCTCCGTTCAGTGTCCAACCCATCACTTATCACCTTTTCGAGGTAGTTGGTATGCTTAATATATTCCATGACGATGATGGGCCCGTAGCCCGTGGGATTGTGAGATGACGTGCACCAAAAGTAGACCTTAGGCACCGGAATAGTCGTCTTCTCGCGAATAAGCATCATAGCCGCGGCCTCGGCGCGGACTTTCTCATCAGGGAAGGCGACGGCGTTAGGGATGGGAACATGAATCATTACGGAGAAGCCATCCTCGTACTCCAGCCGCCAATTGATGTTGTAGCTGCCCCGGATTGGATTGTATAACATTTTGGCCAGCACATATTCATGTCCAGGGCGGCAAGACTCGGTGTGCACAAAGCCAACCAGACGACGGAGGTTTTCCTCGTTCTCTGCGAATTTGAGCCACTCGTCTGCCGACTCGGCGCTGCGATTGGTGAACAGGCTGTCAATGAATAGCCCTCGGTCCTTATGCCTCCTTTCGCTTGAACCCGGGATCTTCACCATAGTGACTCAGAGCTGCGGGTCGACTAGCAGGATATGAATGGGGGGGTGTTGAGAGGAATGAACGAGCGCGGAAAATAGTGAGGTGTGATAATGTCAACTGGTGAATGACTGTGGTGGATTCCGCGATGATAGAGCTGAGTGAGAACTCATTCATTGCCGAATTACCATTGATATGGACTGCTGCCTAGCCACTGTTGAGACGATCCCGTACCAACTGCCTACTAGCCAAGCCGACTGTGCCGCATGGTGCATGTTTCGATGGCTCACGTGATTTTGTAACTTTGTGTTTTGTTCCTAATTCCTCGTGCCGGCCGGCCGGGCCAATGTAAGTCTTGCCGTGGTGGCATTGCACATATGTATGTAAAGAACCAACCGATCAGAGTTGGCGAGTCACAAGCAGCCATTCTCGTGCCTCTCTCAGGAAGTCTGGCACTAATTTGGTCCAGGCGACCAATAGAACCCTACCCAGATCTTTTGGGTGCGGCTTTTTATCTCGATGCCGCCTCACTATCCGCATCATTGACCAGTTTGCGTTACGATTTTGTACCTACACATGTATGTCCTCGGACGTATACGGAATAGAAGCGAAACCACACTTGGTACCTACCTAGGTACGCTGTTGGTCTCCGTCGAAGATGCCCCCAGAAGGCTACAGCCGCTCCTCCTCAGTCAGTGGACGGCAAGACTTTGTTATTCCATGATGCTAGAACCAGTTCGAGCAGCGCGGGTCCCGATCGAGCAAAAGTAGAACTACTAGTAGGCAGAACTGCAAACTGACGGCAGCAGGCACGGCACCTAGTAGAGCGCCTTCCAAGATTTGCAATAATTGTGTTGCTCGTCCAATTTTCCTTTCAAACCAGGATTCTCCCAGTCACGTCATCATCTTCCTCAACTCCATGAAATTTGTTACTACTGGAATAGGTCATGAAGGAGAAGGGGCTCGCAGCAGTCCGAGAGTATTTGTCCTGGGCGAGCGACAACTTCAACTTTCAGAGACACAGCATGTCCACAGTAATGACCCAGACGTCACGACTTATACCAATCCGAGACTAGGATTTCAACCATCCCAATTATAGAAATTGGCTGGCAATTATAGAATAGCTGCGCAGTGTAACCCGACCCAGCAGCTAAAGTTTGGAGCTGGTGGACCTCGGGACGCTTTACTAATGCGTTAGGAGTTGTATCTTCGAAGGGCAGGGGATTTTCCAGATAGAGGTACCGATATAAGAAGATTTCTGGTTATTACGAGACGGGATAAAGACTGCGGTCACTCGAGCAGGTGACATCCCACGGGATTAAGGCCGTATCACCAAATCCATCTGTCTTCTTGAACGGCTTTCATCGGAGGAACACGCCATTGAATACATGGACGTCTCGCAAAATGTTCCCGCACACTGGCTGCTGGGAAGATGCTCTGTTGTCCAAGTGACAGGCCTGTCAGTTACATATTAGATCACGTCTTGAACTTCGAATCATCATCACAAGAGAATCGACGATTTAAACACGATATTAAGTAATCAAACCGCGTGAGAGGGATTTAGGTATCGATAAGGCCTCATCTCAAATAAACTTGTAAGGTCATTGCCAGAGTTCCATGGATGTTTCCCTCGACTTAACAACTATTGCCCCTATTAAGCTACAAGCCCTGCAAGCCCAACATGCATTAATAACTGATATCCAGGCCTGCAGGCATGGTGAGCCCACGTGTGCACGCTAGTAAACCGGACTGGCAGAACTGGGCAGGTACGGAGGAGTTCTCCTCATGATGGGGCGCCACCAGGTACGCCCCTGGTCTCCCCGGCCGGCGATGTAACACTGTCTCGGGCTGCTTACCGAATAATGTCAGACCCACAGATAAGCCGGTGAACGCCGGTCTGCCTAGTACCCGACTCAGCTCTCGCGTGCGCACGTCGATAGGTTATCATTCTTCTCCGCTTCGACGGGAGGTGAAAACATTCGCTCACCTCGATCCCCCATCCCTTGGCTCGGTGCTTCTTGGCCTCTTGGCTCTTCCTCCAGCGACATTCGTTCTCTTGGCCGCGGGAGGTGCATGTCAAAGGACCTTGGAACAACAGCCAAGATGCGATCACACAGCATCCTTGCAGCCATCGCGGGCTTCGTCGCCGGGTGCCAAGCGTGCGGCAGCTGCTTTGGCCCCATCAACAAGGTTGAGCATGTCCGGCATGCGAAACGCATGCAGCCTGATGCGCATAATGCGACGTACGGACCGACCCGCGGGCCACTTGAATGGGGCCAAATCAACTTCTTGCATACCGTAAGTTCTTGTCGTCCGAGGGCCTTGATGAGCAAACCGGCAGGGCACTGACATTAATGGACAACAGACGGACACCCACGGCTGGTTGGAGGGCCACCTGAGGGAAACCAACTATGGCGCTGACTGGGGTGATGTTGTTTCATTCACTGCCCATATGAGGGCCAAGGCCAGAGAACTTGGCGTCGATCTTCTGGTCGTGGATACCGGTATGTCTTTTATGGTTGACTATTAGTTCCTAGAGCCGGGACAGAGAATGCTGACATGAGAAACAGGCGATCTCCACGACGGAGCCGGCCTCAGTGATGCTACTTCTGTGGATGGTGAACTGTCAAATGTCGTGTTCGAGAAGCTCGACTACGACCTCTTGACCATCGGCAACCACGAGCTGTACGTTACAGAGATCGCATATCAAGACTACCAGAACTTCTCCAAGGCCTGGGGCGACAAATACCTCACCTCCAACGTCCAAATTCTCAACCAGACCACCAATGAGTTCCAGTACCTTGGCAACCAGTACCGGTACTTCACCACCGAGAATGGCCTCAGGATCCTGGCACTCGGCATCCTGTTTGACTTCAAGGGCAACACCAACTACACCAAGGTGATACCCGCCTCAACCATGGTGAATGAGGCCTGGTTCACGGATCTGGTCGCAACCCCCCCCGGGCCCGTCGACTTGTTCGTGCTCCTCGGCCACAACACGGTCGCCCAGAACGCCCAGAGCGGCACGGGCACATTCGGCATCGTCCAACAGGCCCTGCGCAAGACGTACCCTTCGACCCCCATCCAGATCTTCGGCGGCCACAGCCACATCCGCGACTTCCAGGTCTACGACGACGCAACCACAGCCCTCGAGTCAGGGCGGTACTGCGAGACCCTAGGCTGGCTCTCGATGAGCGGCTTCGGCGCCAACAACAGCGGCCTCACCGGCACGTCGGCGCCGGCGGGCGTGCCGAGCCCGAGCAAGAAGGCGACAAACACCTCCTCGGCGCCCTGGACCTACTCGCGCCGGTACCTCGACTGGAACCGCCTCACGTTCGAGTACCACGCCTCCGGGTCCCAGGTCGACTACACCGCCGACGACGCCGCCTTCGACACGCCGCTCGGCCGCAACACGACGGGCCTCATCACGGGCCTGCGCCAGCAGCTCAACCTCAGCACGTACATCGGCTGCGCGCCGCAGCTCTGGTGCCAGTCGTGCGCCGAGTTCAACAGCTCGGGGAGCATCTACAACCTGCTCTCCGAGGCCATGGGCGCCGTGGTCGTGAACCAGGACCGGGCCGACAAGGCGCGCGTGAGCATCGTCAACACGGGCTCCGTCCGCTTCGACCTGCACAAGGGGCCCTTCCTGCAGGACGATGCCTACATCGTGTCCCCGTTCGAGGACATTTTTATTTACATCCCCGATGTGCCATACTCCATTGCCAGCGGTGCCCTGGACTAGTAAGTGCCCGCCCTATTCTCTACAATTTCGGTATCAATCTATCGCTGACAACCTCACCCAGCATCAACAATCACGGCACCGTCTGGAAGAAGCGCACGCCCACAGCCGACATCAGCGCCCTCTCCCCCGACGACAAATGCGTAGACCCCTTCCTCTCCCCCCTGGCCAACGTCGAGACGAGGGACTACGCACACAAGCACGCAGGCCACTCGCGGCGCCAGACCACCGCCGCCACGACGTCCCAAGGCTACACCACGGCCGACGCCTTCGGCACCGACGGCGACGACACGGCGCACTCTGCCATCCCGCACTACCCCTACCCGCACTTCTTCCAGTCGCTCGGCGGCTTCCCCGAGGACGGGGGCGCGCCGGACGTGGTGGACCTGATCTTTATCGACTTCATCCAGCCGGACCTCCTCGACTACTTCGGGAGCGTCGGCGCCCCTTACTCGGAGGCTGACATCTCCTACTACATCGACGAGACGTTCTCCACGCGGACCTACCTCCCGCTCTATGTGCAGTCGTCGCCGGCCTTCCAGACCCCACAGGCTAACTGCAGCATCTTCTAAGTGCCGGTTGTATCTAAGAGGATGGCCAGCTAGTTGGAACTCATGAAGCAAATAGCACAGGCAATATGGCATCATCTTCAAAATTGTATATATTGGGTTAAATTCATTGTGCACATTGATATCATGGGCATCCCGTACTTTTACCCTCTCATTGGTGACCACCCTGATGTAGACGACCAACATATGTGGGGACTACAATGAAGGGAAGAGCAAGAGAAGAGTATGAAAGTTAGGAATACAAGCATTTTGCATGCAACTTAAAATATAGAATAATACCTTGCTGATCATAGATGATGAAGGCTCATTCCGGAGGGTATTTATGTAGTACGTTCAAGGTGTGCTAGACGAGGGTAGTTTAGAAGAGCTCATCCTGTATAATTTATTTTATAAGGAATGATGCTTCTAGACGTTGCCTGCTTGTTACCCCCATGTGCCCTAAGATGTAGTCCCGTTCAGCTAGGAGGCTGCACCCTAGGAGGCTAACCCTTGGAATGGCGTTCATGGGGGAAGGGGGAGTAGAACCTCTCCCGTAGGAGATGTCCCTGTAGCACAGCGTCGTGGGAGATTATTCTCTGGGAGGATATTTCATAGAAGGTTGTGCAAGGGAGAATCACCAGGTGGTGTAGCTAACATGTGGTCACGTGGTCACGCAAACAAACACACCCGGGCACCACAGCTTACATATGTACTCGTACATTCAGCTACATACCGACGTAATTTCTATGTACGTAGGTAGGTCACGTGCTTCCAGAGTCCTTTCCTTCAAAACTTGAAGTTCAAATGTCGCAGATGCTGAGCACATCCAAGAGCCCCATCAACGGCCAGCCCCACCATGCATGTTGCCAATGCGTGGCATTTGAGACAGCTCGGTGATGAGCACAGCCAAGTCGAGCCGCGCCCTGTCAACCCTGGCCATCTCCTGGTCCCACAGCTGCTGCCAACGCTCCTCCCTGCCCTGGCGCCACGTGACCTTGTTCCGAAGCTCCTCAGCCCTGGCCTGAAGGTTGTTGTGGTTGAGCACGAGCTGGTTGTACTCGTGCTGCTGTTGGGTGTTCCTTCCTTGGAGGAGTACGTTATCTCGCTCGAAGTCGGCGATCCTTCCTTGGAGGCGCTCGTTCTCTCGCCGGAGCTGGGTGTATCTTCCTTGGACGAGTACGTTCTCTCGCTGGAGCTGGGCGGTTCTGACCGCGGTGGTCTGCCTGTAGGCCTCTCCGTTTCGCTGCATCTGCGCTACGGTCGCCAACAGGTTCGCAACCCGCTGCTCCTTCTCATCGCACGCAGCACGAGACTCGTCGAGCTGCTGGGTGAGGTTCTGAATCTGGGCTGCCTGTGCCGCAGCCTGTGCCGGGATCTGCTCTCCCACAGGGTGGTTGGGTGCGCGAGCGACAATCCTCTTCTTCCGGCCTTGGACGAGAGGCGCGTCCGAGTCAGAGCTGTCCTCGTCCTCCTGCGAGCTGTGAATGCTCTGTATCTCGGAGATACCCTGGTTTCGGTACTCACGAGGAGCACTGCGCCTCGCGTACTCCTCCCTCTTCGGCTCGCGGGGAGGAAACGCCTGTTCATGATCGCGCTTCGAGATTGGGGCGCGACCGTCGGCGTTGGGCAGGCTCGGGGACTCGGCCGCCGCAGGAGCGCTTGCAGCGTCAGTGGACTGCGCTTTCTTGTTGACCGCAGCGCGGCCAGTGGCCGTCGCAGTCTTCTTGGCCTGAGAAGGCTCGTCAGCTTCCCGTTTACTCCAGTAGCGAGCCACGAGCCCAGCAAACATGATGTATGCGAGCATCTCTAGCAAAGGTTGTGCAGCATGACGGGGAAGAGATGGGCACTGGCATCTCCGATGAAGTGGAACCAGCGGAAGCTGCCAGAGCCATGCCAGGAGACGGCAACAAAGGGAAGAAATACGGAGACCGTTTCAGGGCATGCATAAAACGCCCACTGCTTTGCCTGTGTGTGTGTTTGGGGGGATTGGAGGGGGTTTGTTGGTATGTCCGCGGCTTGTTTCTTGTGAAGACTGACTTGAAGAAGGACAGAACAACTGACTTGGGGCAGGAGGGAAGGAACAGCAGGAATGGATCCAACTTACAGGTTGCTTCTGGGAAGCCGCGGAGGAGGGTTTGGCCCTGCCTCTGGCAGTCTTGGGAGGCTTGCTTGCAGTGGACTGTTGCTGTCCACCAGGAGCAGTGTTGTTGGCAACACTGCCAGTGTTGCTGTCCTCTTTCTGACCGGCCATGGCTGCTCGGTTGTCAGTACGACTTGCCACGACAATGCAGTTCTTGGTGACGACGTTGTCCTTGTCAGTGTTGGCCATGGCAGTCTTGGCTGAGTGCTGGCAGGAGGCAAGGTTGTGATCAACAAAAGATGGCAGATTGGGAAGTGGTTCAACGTGGCTGTGGGTTTGTGTGCCACTTGCCTAAGGTAGGGTGCCAGCTAGCTCCGTTGCCGACTAAGCAGGAGGGAGGTCCAGAGGAAGGTACCGGAAGCAGATACAGGAGGCAGGTACAGACAGCAGGTACAAGAAAGAAGGTACCTGCGAGGATGGCAGCTGTAAAGGTTTTCTCTGCCGACTAAGCAGGAGGGAGGTCCAGAAGAAGGTACCGGAAGCAGGTACAGGAGGCAGGTACAGGGGAAGGTACCTGCGAGGATGGTAGTTGTCAAGGTTTTCTCTGCCGACTAAGCAGCAGGAAGCTGCCCACTCAGCAGGAAGGAGGTGCCGACTAAGCAGGAGGGAGGTACAGGAGGAAGGTACCTGCGAGGATCGTAGCTGTAGAGGTTTTCTTAAGGACAGTGACGGGGGTGAGGCCCATCTCTCCTTCCTTCCGGCGGAGTCTGTTGGAAGGGGGACACACCCAACTTGGGAAGATACCGGATATGCCAGGGAGTTTCATTCAGGTTCATGATCTTCACCAAGAAGCACTACCAGCTACAGGGTCACTAATGAAGAATCCTATACCCGAGGACAACGTATGTGATATTCCAAGTCCTTAAGGTATACATTCCCTTCACCAAGTTGAGCAGAAGTATCCATCAGTTCACATCAAGGGTGATACTCCCTTGGGCATGAGATGGGATTCTCATTTTGACAGAGGTTTCCTATGGAGAATGGTGCGAGCTAGGATAGTGAATCCGGATACAGAACATTCGAAGACAGGCAGAAGTAGTGTGGGAAGAGGGTGGTCCTCAATCTTGCTTTCATGACCTCGGAACCCAGACAAAGTCTAGCAAAAAGGACATAAGATCTATCAAAAACTAACTCCGTCAAAGTGCTTGATATCAGCCCTTGGGAGAGTTTCCATTGGAGCTTCGTAGACACAATGAGTCATCATATCTTTCCATTGATGTGTCTTGATGTCCTGCAGCTTACCCATCCCTAGTTCTGAATACTTCGAAGTGGACATGAATGCGCTATGTATGTCCTCGGAAGTACACGGAATAGAAGTGACCAGTTAGAAGTGGACATAAGATCTCAGTGCCATCAACCTAATTTAGAAAGGAGTCTTGTCCCCTTCAAGACCCTTATCAGTTAGAGGGCTATCACTTGGGAGGCTAAATATTTCTCACATGGCAATTGTCCCTCAGAGATTGGTGTCTATTATATCTAATGTTTTTTCTATGCCGTCCTTTTAGGGTGTTCCCCATATCAGAGGCTGTCTTATAGGAGGGGAGGCCGTGTCATGGGATGTTGTCCGGAAGAAAATTAAGCATTCATTTGCTGGGAGTTTAGAGGTGGCATACCTTCTTCAATAATAAGTCGATCCCTACAAGTGGCTGAAATCTCGGATGCTAGCCTGCGGTGCAGTCATCACTTCTGTATAGTACGAGAAGTGCGCTAACTAGTGCGGAGGTGTTGTAGCGGTGGCGCTTTCTATCGGGACCAGTTGACATCAGAAGCCTCAGAGTGATACTGTTTCTCGTTGATAACCTGTTTTGGCAGGTTCGGGCTAGAAGCGCTCTGTATTCAGCAAAACCTTTACATACCTAGGTACCTAGATAAGCATAACCTCCGTTGATAATTCACTCAATCACTTCCTTTCCTACACTACATACTTGGTCAAAGTTGTCAATCTGCCAGATACCCATTCCAAAATGAAACAAATAGTACTAAAAAACAACAACAATATCATCACTTGTGGATCTTCTTTCAAAGAGACATAGAACATTTAGGCAGCACCCCCCTACCTCGGCGTAGAAGTCAGCGGGACAGGGCTCGCCATATACTCACGAATCCTCCCCTGCGTCCACGCCCCGGTCGTCCCGATGCTGCCCACCACGCCCGTGGTGCTGCCGCCGCCGAGCAGCACGGCAAAGATCCCCCGCAGCGGGAAGTCGCCCCACGCGGGGGCGCCGAGGTCAAACGGCCCGGCGCCCCGGAACAGCGCCTCGACGCTGTCCTGCCCCACGATGGCGGCGGGCCTGATCCCGCGCACGACGGGGTGCATGTTGCCCACCTCGGACCCGACCCCGGCGTCCCCGAAGAGGTACGTGCCGCCCGTGCCCCACTGGTCGCGCTCGAGCGAGCCGGGCGTGACGGCGTCGTCCGCGGCGCGCGGGACGCGGCTGGCCGGGATCTGCCACGGCATCACGGGGACCTTGAGCTCCATGGCGACGGCGGCCGCGAAGCCGTAGAAGCGGGCCCACTCGCGCGGGCCGTAGCAGTACGCCACCGTGTACGCCCGCTCCGTGAAGTCGTCGGCCTCGAAGCGGTCGATGGCCAGGAAGTCGGGCGCGTAGGGCCCGTCGTACGCGCCCAGGGACCTGACGTAGGCGGCTGTTGTCTTTGCGTTGGGGGTGGCGACGTCGGCGTCTGTCTTGTCGTAGATCCACGCCGAGGAGCCGACGCCCCAGAGGTTCACCTGCCACCCGAACGTGACCTCGGGGGCCGCCGTGCGGATCAGCCAGTTGACTGCCTGGACGTACCCGGCGAGTGTATTCGTGATGGTGGACGGGACGGCGGCGTCCACGTTGCGGTGGGCCAGCGCCTTGGTGAGGGGCGCCACGACGGGCATGCTGAAGTCGGGAGAGCGTTTGTCCTGCTCGTTTGCCCCCAGGAAGTCCGGGTTGACGATGTATCCGGCCGTGACCTTGTTTTCGGACGCCTTCTTTGCGAGCTGCATGCTGAGGATCAGGTTGCCGAAGGAGTGCTCCAGCCCGGATTCGTCGAGCAGGTGCGTCTCGCTGTCGCCGCCGCTGAGGTTGACCGTGTAGCTGATCATGACGGGCAGGACGGGCTGCCCGCCAAGGTTCTCGGAGACCAGCGCCGCGAGCTTGACCGTCTTGGTGGTCGCCGGGTCGTCGTCCAGGTAGCCGCCAGCGTCCCCGGCACCGTTGTCGCCGGCGTACTTGAAGACGGATGAGACCTTGGCAGCGGTGAGGTCCTTGCCCTCGAGGTCGACGAGGTCGGATAGCGCGCCAAAGCTCAGGTAATCTGGGAAGCCCCGGACCAGCAGGTTCGGCCCTTGCACAATTTGCAGGTGGATCTTGGAGGAGCCGTCGGATGAGATGACGATCTCGTCGGCCACCTGTGCGGCATAGACAGTTCCGTCCTTGATGTAGCCGGTCGCTTTAACCGCATACTTGCCTTGTGCAACAGGAATACCGAGCGTAATGGTACCGCTGTTGAGCGAAACTTCCTTGGAGTAAATGAATGCTGGCCGGTCTTTGGAGACAAGGCGAAGTGTGACGGACTCCCCCGAACGCTGCGAGTCGGTGCTCACGTCGATGGGCAAGTCGACAAAGGACGAAGTGTCGATGTCAGCCGACGAGAACTTGTCGCTCCCAATGTCCACGCCGATCAGGGCGTTCGAGAGAGTCACCGACTGCTCGCTGGTGTACTTAGTATTGTTGAATGTCAGGGCGGCATTGATGGTTGCTGTGCCCGATGCTGGCAAACGCCTCAGGCTGGTCGTGCGGTTATTGGGACTGTCAAACTCGTTGACTTTGTCGCTCCCCGACCTGACCTCGACGTGGATCCGTTCCCTGTCCAAAGGAGATGAGAGCTGGCCGACTTTGATGTCTAGGCCAGAGAACTTCTTGATGGCTCCATAGGAAACTGTCAGAGTGACATTCGAGTCTTCCTCGACGGTGATCTCGGTGGGTGAGACGGCCGCGGCTGCAGCAACTGTCTCGTTGTCATTGACTAGCTCGTCCACCTCGACCTTGTACTTGCCAGTCGCGACTGGGAATGACGTCTTCCGGCCAGGCTCAGCCGAGAGAGCGAGCGAAACGCCGCCTTTGGTAAGAATGACGGTCTGGGTGGAGTTGGACAGCGCGCCATCTGGGGCATCCGGGACGTTGACCTCGACGGTGCCGCTGGGCAGCTCATCGGCGTAAAGCTCGAATGAGCTGGTGTACTTGGAGGCATCGCCTCTCAAGTCACCGTTTATGCCCCACTTCAGGGTGTCCGAGGGAGTGAACGTGTAGGGGCCCGCAATTTGGAGCTCAGCTGTGACGGCGACGGTCCCATCATCCATGGGCTCGGACGCCAGGGTGCAAGTGACTTGCTGCCACGGCGTGAGCGAGACAAGAGGCTGGACGCCCGTGTTGTGTGGAGCAAGAAACTTGGCGTAGAGCTTGCTCTGGACGGTAAGACGACTGCCGTTGTCGTATTTGATGCCGCTCGTGACAAGTGTGCCGTACCACTCTCCGGGGTTGCCTTCGACGATAGTCTCGGAGACGATCTTTGCCATATTGGAGACTTTGGATGTCATGATGTCGATAGGTATTGACTATATGAAGATTGTGTTTGGGGCAAGAGATGGAGTTTGCTTAGTTTTTGGTGTAAGACCTGATTGTGAACTGCTCGAGGACATGATCATCCTGATGGGAACCAAACTCGGGCTTTATAGATTTCACATATCCTCCGCAAACCGAGACAAGCTTGAACATGTGATGTCTCAGCCAGACCTAAGCTCCGCCATGATACGAGTAGGTGGACTTGAGGCGGTGAACTCCAAGCACCCACAGAGCCTCTGGCGGACGGCCTATTCACTCAGGCTGGTACCTCGGACGTTGCTCATCACGATCGGCTGTGATGCACAAGGGCCGTCATGGATGGTGTTCCAAACGGTCTAGACAACTTCGTTTGACACAATCCTGCCGTGAGCAAGAGATCGCCGTCAGCTCACGCCTAGTCGGGCAGCATTTCTCTAGCTGCTTCTCAGTTTTCTGCTCCTTAGGCAAGACTGAGATGTTATGATCAACTGAGTTGAGGAATCGAGAGCCACGGGTGGATTTTACGTCCTAGGAATCCTCTCATTGGGCACGATGGGGTGACATTCCTTGGCCGTTGAGCGCGGTCAACGACGCCACTCAAGCCACCACGAAGCTGTCCTTCCTAGTTGTGTCCTGCTGTGGGGCGCGGGGAGGGGGGGAGCAATGAGTACACAGATTGATGTTGCAAGATCTTTTTGATACGGATTCAGATCATTGGCGGCAAGCCCTTGAGTGTCGTCAATGCGTAGATGCTCATAGCAATCACATGCATCAAAACACTCACCCGCAGATACGAGAAATTGAGGAGACATCATTTGATAGTTTCTTGAACCTGCAAGTTCGCCCTCGGCGAGGACAAAATAAATCCGCCGGGATTGGTACTGAATTGGATGTGGTTGTTTTACAAATATACAACCAAGATGATCAAGATTGGCCGCGGTATTCCAGCCATATAAGCCCATCTTTGCTCTCAACTGAAATTACCATTTCAGAAGCTTTTCCAGTCTAAGCGAGCCCCTGCTGTATCGATATTCAATGTTGAATTGGAAAACTCAGCACAATATGACGACAGCCCATTGATGATTCCAAAACAGCTGTACGGAACCAACACAGAAGTTCTGTTCAAGAGCGGTCTGGCCGCGGTATGTTCGGCCGCAACCCATGGCGCGGAGCCGACCCAAGATCCACCCCGATGCATTTTCAGCTCGCGACCGACCGGCGCGCAGGGCTGGGTTGCAGTCTGACCTACCCCAGAACACGCGTTGCCCTTTGGAGTCCTCGAGACGAGACTCGGTCAGGCCAATCCCACGCGGGGTCGTCCGTTGCACGACTGTATGCAAGATGCGGCTCGCCAAATCTGTCTCTTCATTAGCTTCATGGAAACATACGAAGTACCTAGGTGTTACAAATGGTCCGGGCTTCCGCCATGTCTACAGAGGAGCGGGATAATTCTTCTGTAGCGGCGTATTGATTACATTTGTCCCGACTTTCACCGGTCTGGCCCTGATCAGCGATCCGATGATCGTCTCGGGGCGGACAAGGAGAAGTGGAGCGAGCGAGCGGTGACGTGGGCGAGGCGCATATGGGATATCTACCCTGGGGGTAGGGTACGTGTTGTTGTGCAGAGGTGCTGGAGACACTCACACGTCGGGGACCTTCTTGTGATCTGTTGCTTTCCCCCGAACGGTCTTGCGCCCGCCTCGCTGCCTGCCTCTAGTCATGCTGCTGAAAAAGTGACCTCATGGCATAACGCCGGCCCTTTCACATGTCGTGACTTCAGTTTTGTTTTGGGCGGGGTTCGATCATCCCCACGCGGGTGAAGGGCAGACCCTGGCTTGCCCAGGTGTCCCGTGGTGTTTGAGATACCATTTCCGCGGGTGATGTTGAAAAGCGACGGGATGCTCTTGGTCGCCAAGAGCAGGAGAACGTGAACTCCGCAATTTTGAGTGGTACCCTAATTACCAGGGAGGTGGAACAGAAAGAGAGGAGGGGAGGTGGAGGTGTTGAGCGTTTACCACTTTAAAGGTGCCACATACATTTCAGTTCAATGTTGATACCTTGTTAACTAGGTACCAAAACATGGAGATTGGGAACGAAACCACCAGAGGGTGGTTGATCTCTATGGGAGGTCACACAACAAAAATGACCTGCTCCACCTGATCTGATCCTGTGAGAAGGACCCAAAGAGCCATTTCGGCATCCAGCCAAGATTGGCCTGGTCTTCGAAACATACAAAACAGAGACACCCGCTCGTTGTGTCGAATTCTTGAGCATCACCCAAACCCCAACGACCCAGCTCGCATTCACCATCGTTTGAGACCGCCCAAACTCGTGGCCCAACTTCATGGATATCACCCACCCCCAAACAAAAACACAACACCAACCACAACGGCCCCTCCCGTCGCCCCGGCCGCCGTCAACTCCTACACAAGGACTTTGGCGGGGTCCGCCCACCCCTACAAGACAAGCGCGGGCGAGTCGGCAGACGCCAACCTGGACGACTTCAACATTGGCCTCGCGGCCAAGGTGCTCGCGTGGCGGGACTACGGCAAGGGCGGTCTTGTGATTTCTGTTCCTCGGCCGCTATGTGGGTATCACTCCAACGCGACGTCCTGGTACATGCTTATAATTTAGTCGCCGAAGGGGTGTTGCAAGACTTCAATGTTGTGCCTGCAGGGCCAACTGGCTGTTTCAACTTTTCAATGCTGGGTGTCTTGGAGCACCTATTAATATCACGGGAGGCAGATCCTTAAACATGCCCGGGGTGTGCTGCATTGGCACCCCCGGCGGGGCTGCTCATGTCTGCAGAGGTGCAAACAAACCGTTGTCTAATCTTGATGATGAAACCCAGGGTGCTATCTTGAGCTCGGCAGCTCGGGCGCACCATGGTCATGGCACCAGCTGACACCAGCTCACAGCAACCCAACCCGCGACCTCCAGCTCGGGAAGCGCGCTTGCGCTGCCCTGCAGGTTGACAGCAGAGCTTGAGAAGCTGTTGAGTCCTTCAACGCTCAAGCTCAACTGGTGCGCCCTCACAGATCTGCGCCGACAGTGTGTTGCGCAACCGGTGGTTGAAGGTGCCTGCCTGGTAACATTGAATGCACCCGTAACCCATCCGACGAGCCCTCTGCAGCCGTTCGCTCGGATGCCACATCTCGTTTGGGGCGAGCAATTGCGCGATCCGCCGTCAAGCAGGGCTGCAGGGTCTCATCGCCACAGATAACCGCCGATTGCAGAGTGGCAGTCGCTCAAAATGCTGCAGCTGTGTCTGTTTTAATTGTCGCTATAAGAAAATCGACAGGCATTGTAGCGCTGGGGGAGCAGGGCAGAGGACCTAGATTCTCTGCGGTGGTGTTGTGTTGTTCGGCAGCAGCCGGTGCAAGTTGCCACCCCAGTGCCCAGCTCGGTCTGCAGGCGGCAGGCGACAGTGCACCCTGGGGGCGCTGCGCAGGTGGCGGCAGCTGGCCAGCCCGCCTGTCTGTTGTGCGAGTCGCATCAAATTCAGCAAGAGGATGCGATGCATCAACTGTTTCAGCACCTCTCAAGGCTAGCAAGGCCTCCTGGTCTGGACAGTTTTTTTTTCTTTCTTTCTTCTCGCACATATGCACCCGCAGCTGAGTGTTGGAGTTGAAGTCCATGGCGGCAGCTGCAGTTGTGCTCGTATTGCATCTTCTACGAGGGGCGCAGTCGTTATAAGCATGTGCTAAATGGGGAGGCCTGGCCGGGCCGCCCTGGGCAGAACTGGCAAGACACTTCTCAATAGCGCAGGTGGGCTATGTGACGTGTCTTGGCGGGTGGGCAGCTCGCCTTGTTGGGGACAACCGAGGGTGTCATGCAGCAGCAGTAGGGCCCCCCCACCAGACCGTTCTGGTGCTTCCACGATGGCTTCTGGAAGCTCTGGAGCTTGCTTCCCCCAGGGTCGGCCCCTAAATCGGCCGCCGCCGTCCAGGTCTTTAAGGGTCCGTGTGGGTACCAGAGCGGGCTACATTCTAGCACATGTGTATAGGATGACATGTAGCTCACGTCATTGCCCTGTGGTAGATGGGCCTAGCCGATTCGATTTGTTTTCTTTTTTGTTATCGGGCTGCGAGGAGGAAGAGGCTGGTGTGACCTGCCAGGTGAGCAGTGAGCCAGGTCAGAATGAACAGCCACAAAACTGACGGTGAGAAGTGGTGAGCCTCACAGGGCACCTGAACAGGACACGTGAGCCCGGTTGGGTGACGGATTGGGTGACAGCCAGCAAGTTGGGTGACCTTGGGCTCCAATACGAAAAAGAATAAAATAGAAATCCGTGACGGGGAATAGGGGCTTAAATTGCCGTGCCCGCCAAGGAGAAGGGTGTGTCCCGTCGGTATATGCCAGTGGTGCCCCGGATTACTGAGGTCCGACCGCGGGGGGGACCGTGGGCCTATGTTTTTCTTGCCTGCCAGCCTGCCAGCCTGCCAGCCTGTCTTTTTTTTCTTTCTCTCTTTTGCCTCGTTGGACGGGAGGGGGGGCCTTGGTAAGAGAGTAAGCTTGAAAACCGGGGAAGGATGCAGAAGCGTCGGAAACATACTGTGACGTGACTCGGATGCGTCAAGGTCTGGTCTGGCGAGGCCGCATATCCGGGCTGTTTGGCTGGACCAGAGTGCAGCAGAGACAAGCGACCAGAACCCTGGAGGCAAGAGTCTGGTCTTGTCTGGCCTGCCTGGCGGTGTCTGGCCAGCTGTTTGAAGACGCTTCCAAGGCTTCTCACCAGCTTCTGATGGTCCGGAACCGAACCCTGGAGGGTCTGAGATCGAGCCCCCTCTTGGCGCCCAGCCTGCCCCCTTTTGCGGCAGTATGTACTGTGGCATGTACCCATGTACCCAGGTACCCTCGTACCCCATACATGGCCAGGGCTGCCACACCTCAGCTGGGCTCACACACACGCAGAAAGGGACCCTGCAGCCCTGGAGGGTGGATGAGCTCCGGCTGCTACGGTAGCCACCCGTCCTGCCCGCCTGCTTGGCCCTGGCAGCCCTGGCCTCTTGCATGCTGTCAGGTCGAGACTTTCCCGCTCAGAGGGCCCCCACGTCGATCATTAATTAATCATGACCTAGGGCGACGCCACGCGAAAACGTTTTAAGGGTAAGCTCCAGAGCTTGCCTCGCCCGTGCCTGTGCCTGTGCCTGTGCCTGTGCCAGCTGGTTATCTACCTGTATACGTGTGTGTTCCCCCTCGGACCTGACTTGACCTGACGTGCCTTGGTGTTTCTCTTTCATCCATCACCATCATCATTATCGTCTTTCATCATCATCACCCGCAAAAAGACTACACAGACAAACAAACAAAGCGACGGCGACGTTTCTGACTGACCATTGAGCCTCGCCTACTCAGTACTCAGTACTCAGTACTTCTCAACCGCCTCCACCAGTGACGAGCACATCCCCACTTCCTGCTCGAATCCCTTACCAACAAACAACCAGCCTACCCTGTGACATCAACAGCCGACACGACAACATGTCCATGAACCGGATCGCAAGAGCTGGCCTCCGGGCCCATAATAAAACCTTGACACAGTCCACCAGCTTCAGCACCAGCAGCAGAGCCGTGGCCCTTGGCTCCTCGGGCGGTGTATGCTCCACATCGCCGTCCGCCTCGACAAATATATACCGCCAGAATGCTGCCCGCAGGACACAGGGCCTGCTGTCCTCCCCCTCCAGCAGCCGGCTGTCCTCCTCCTCCCAGCGCAACACCTTCACCACATCCACATCACAAGCCTCAGCAGCAGCAGAAGCCATGGCCTCGTCCAAGCCCGCCCCCGAGCCGCTCAGGCTGAGCAACAAGAACCTGGCCCAGTTCGCGTCGTACGGCGGCGACGAGGGCCTGCAGGCGTCGGTGATCCCGACCTACAGCCGCGAGGGCCTCAAGGAGGGCATCGTGCACATCGGCGTGGGCGGCTTCCACCGCGCCCACCTGGCCGTGTACATCGACAACCTGCTGGGCAAGGGCGCCGGCGACGCCCGCGAGTGGGCCATCTGCGGCGTCGGGCTCAAGCCCTTTGACGCCGGCATGCGCGACGCCCTCGTGCCCCAGGACGGCCTGTACACCACCATCGAGCGCTCGGCGGGCGGCAGCCGCGCCCGCGTCATCGGCAGCATCAACTCGTTCCTCTACGCCCCCGACGACGTGGCCGCCGTCATCGACAAGATGGCCCACCCGGACACCAAGATCGTCTCCATGACCATCACCGAGAGCGGCTACTACTACAACGAGAACACCCACGAGCTGCACTCCGAGGACCCGGACATCGCCGCCGACGTCGCCGGCGACCTGTCCTCGCCCAGGACCACCTACGGCTTCCTGTACGCGGCGCTCGAGAAGCGCATGCGCGCCGGGCTCAGGCCCTTCACCGTCCTGTCGTGCGACAACATGCAGAAGAACGGCACCATCACCCGCAACATGCTGCTGTCGTTCGCGCGCCTGCGCGACCCGGCCGTGGCCGACTGGATCGCCGAGCACGGCGGCTTCCCCAACAGCATGGTGGACCGCATCACCCCGCGCACGGCCGAGGCCGACAAGGCGGACCTGGCGGCGCGGTTCGGGATCCAGGACGCGTGGCCCGTGGTGACGGAGCCCTTCATGCAGTGGGTGGTCGAGGACACGTTCGCGGGCGGCGAGCGGCCCGCCTTCGACACGGTGGGCGTTCAGGTGGTCAAGAGCGTGCACGAGGTCGAGAAGTTCGAGTGCCACAAGCTGCGGCTGCTCAACGCCTCGCACACGGCCATGTCGTACATGGCCTACCTCGCCGGCTTCGAGTACGTGCACAACGTCATCGAGAACCCGACCTTCAACCGCTTCCTCTACCGCATGATGCACGAGGAGGTCGCCCCCTTGCTGCCCGAGATCGAGGGCGTCGTCATCGACGACTACATCCGCCAGCTCATGCACCGCTTCTCCAACCCCACCATCATGGACCAGATCACGCGCCTCACCCTCAACGGGTCCGGCAAGCTGCCGCAGTTCATCATGCCCTCCATCGCCGAGCAGATCTGGGACTCGGGCGAGCACAACTTCAAGCGCCTCACCCTCGCCGTGGCCTCGTGGTTCCGCTACCTCGACGGCGTCGACGAGCAGGGGCGGCCCATCCACGTCGACGACCCCATGGCCGAGAGGCTGCAGAAGCTCGCGCGCGAGGGCGGCACCGACCCCACCCCCCTGCTGAGCGTCAAGAGCCTGTTTGGTGACGACCTGCGGGGCGACAAGATGTTTGTCGAGGAGCTGGGCAAGGCGCTCAAGAGCCTGCACGAGGAGGGCGCCATGGCCACCCTGGAGAAGTACGTCGACTAGGCGGCTCCTTGCCGGCTGGCTTGCTTGGATTCACCACACCACATACATACATACACACTACACCTGTTCTGGTTGATCCGGATGATGATCACGCCCGGGTCCGATTCATGATAAGCGGTCTGGCTGTCGGCCCCTTTGATCCAGCCCAGTCGGCTCGCCCGCCTGGGTGCTGGGATCACCTTTCGCCACCTGGCACGCTCGTGCTGGTTGTGGTACCCACTTCACCCTGGTTACCCAGCACGCCGCGGGGATGGCGTGAATGATAGGGGCAAAAGGTTTGAGACCTCCCGTTTTTTCAGGGGCAAAACCGACCGACTATTGAGAGTGGCTGGGCGCCACCTTACGATGTTGTAATCACCCATACACACAAAAAAAGAAGAAGAGGAGATTAAGACAAGACAAGACAAGACAGACAGACAAACGGGTTAGACGAGACGGAGGAGAATTGCATGGCGTTTAGGGTTTGCCAGTTTGCCCAGCTTTGACGTCATCCTCGCTGCGCTGATAAGGGTTAGATATCTGGGCTTGGATCGACCGATTAGAGCTGTTTTGTTGGTTTGGTCTTTTTTGGGGGATCTGGATTTTGGTAGCGCCGATAGAGAATAGAACGATACGCAAAAGAAAACACAATTGCATTGAAGAGCCTCGAGACGTGTGTGCTTCAAAACCTGGCACCTACATCATGTCTCCCGCCCGCCCGCCTGCCCATTCGCTCGCTACCTGTGTGGCAGCTACATTAGAACACCCACATATGTAACTGCAGCGCCAACCCCACGGCCCGCAGCCGCATTGCATGGCGACTCTTGGTGCAACCACCACCACCGCGCAGGCCTGGCAGGCCTGCTTCCGGCCTGCCGGCGGGTGACTAACTACCAGCCAGTGATGATGCCAGCCAGCCTGGGCGGCTCACCGTGTTTCTGCAGGGCCACGTGCGTGCGTGGCCCGTCCATTGCACGAGAGGCCAGGGATGGCTGGCCTCACCGGCCCCGGGGCCTACCTTGAGGGAATTATGGGGAAGCCGGGATGGATCCGCCGGCGTACGGGGAAAGTAGTCGGGGTCTCCCTCGCAGGTAGGTATCTCAGTGTAGATGGGCAAGTGCCAATGAGGCTTATTTACTACTGGCGGACAACGTCTGGATGCTGTCTCCAGCGTGTGGCCCCCTAATACAGCTCGCAGACGTGGGGGGACTGACTGCATGCGGTGTTGAGCGTGACAGAAGCTCCTGGGAAATGTATCGTGCGGCACTCGCTGCCACGGGCTGTGTGTGGTGTTCTTGTATCCCGCGGCGGCGCTGGCAGGAGGGCAGCTCTGGCATGCATGGGCTTTTATGATATTCACCTGCACATTCACTGTTATGGCAAGTAGATCCTTCCCCCGAAAAGTCTCCAATACAAGCCACGCCACTGCAGTTACATGAAAACCTCTGCGACAATTAACATTATTCCCAGGTCTCCGCCGGAGTGGACAGCGAAGAAGCAGCGGGCCAGATCTCCAGCCTTCTCTATTCCTTGTGCATCATATTCTGCGGTGTTCTCGCCACGCCAGCCCAGATGCCTGGCTTCTGGATCTTCATGTACCGCGTCTCGCCATTCCACTACATCATCAGCGGCCTGATGACAGTCTCACTTGCAAACACCGCCGTCACGTGCGCCAATAACGAGATGTTGCAATTCCAGCCAGCCCAGGGACAAACGTGCGGTGAGTGTATGGCGGACTACATACAGAGTGCCGGGGCTGGATATCTGTTGAATCAAGACGATACAACCAACTGCTCCTTTTGCAAGATGGACAGCACCAACTCGTATCTTGCGAGCTTGGATTCCTACTACCAGGACAGATGGTGGGAGTTCGGCCTGCTGTGGGTCTATATTGTGTTCAATGTTGTTGCCGCGTTGGGGCATTACTGGTTAAGGAGGGTCCCCAAGAAGAGGAAGGGTGTTTCGCCTTAGGTCTAAACTGACAACAGTCGGTGTATGGGACTTGGGAAGAGCAAGTTCATTTGATTCGAGCAATGTTTAGGGGCTAGATAGACCTTACTTACATGAACCCCACTCGGTCCTAGCACTTGCAGCTGGTGAACAGCTGGCACCACCTGGGCCCAACATCATTGCATTAGCAGCTGGCTGCGGCCGGCCCTCGCTCCGTAGCTTGCCCATAGTCAAAATGTACACCACCCTCCACTGCTACTGTTCGAGGGCGACAATTCCCGAGCAGTTCGAAGCAAAGCTTGTAGCGACGAGGACATTGCATTGTAAAGACGCGGCTGGCGGTGGGGATGCTCGAGCGCCGAGAACGGGTGTTCCCAGCTGCTGATCCCCAGAATTGTTGACATGGTCAGATTTAGTACCTTCGCATCCTGAGACCCATTCAGATATTGTTCTTTGCATTCTAGCTGCCCAGGCGGTACTAATGGACGCAGCGACCAGCTCGGATGCTCAGGATTACTGCGGGACTAAAAGCAAGCGGCCTGCGGAAAACTAAAAGGCAGCGAGGACAAGGCACATTTTGCGATATTCAGGTGTAACTATATCCCTACAAGTTGACTTCAAATAGATTGGAATGCACGGGAGCCTCTCCTCAGGGCACAAACCAAGCTCAGTTGTCCTCTTCACCGAAACTTCTTCAACAGCTATGAATCTTGCATGCAGTGTCTCTTCCACAGCACAGAAGACGAACGACTCCATTCTTCCCCAGGTAGGTTTTCTGAAAGCTGATTCAATCGCAATCAATTGATCACAGCAGAGAATGATTTCCCACGCTGGTCAATTCAAATGACATACAGGTACTTGGTACAAGCGCCTGGAGTTGGGGAAGTCAAGTATCAGGAAGGAGCCCTCGGGCGCCCGGAGGTTCAGCTCCCTTGGCCACTCCAGGGGCTCCTTTCAATCCAAAGAGGAAGGCGCAATCCTTTCTAATCATAAAAGCTAGAAAGAGTAAAATAAAACACCTCATAAAGACCCTAAAATCTAAAAACCTTTCCTCCCAACCTATATATACTGACCCACTCACCCACTCACCCACTCACCCACTCACCCACATATATATATATAAAGAGAGAGAAAAAGAGAGAAAGAAAGAGAAAGAAAAATAAAAAAAAGAAATAGAGAGAAAAAGAAAAGAAAGAAAAAGAGAGAGAAAGAGAAAGAGAAAGAGAAAAAAAAGAGAATAATAATAATAATAAGTAAGTAAAACCTTTCTATACTTACTTATCTATCTCTATTTTAAAATATTATAAAATATTAAAAAGCCTTTCTCCTTACACTATTATTTACTTATTTTATTTTATAATACATTAAAATATACTATATCTTTTAAAGTAAATTCTATTATTACACTCTTCCTTTCCTTTTTAAACACTATAAAATTATACTACTTTATTAATAGCTCTTTTTATACTCACCTATTTAGTCTAATTTCCTTAAAATATACCTCTTTCTTCCCCTTTTACTTTCTTAAGCTTTAGTTTCTTATAACACACCTAATCACACTACTTTAACCTTAGACACTATCGCTAACAAATATCAGTGATTATCTAGGTGGCAGCGGCGGCGATAGTGACCGCGTTAGTCATAAAGACCAGTAAGCACAATTCTTTTCCTTCCACGGCTCCTCTTCTATCATATTTGAGAAAAGCTCAAGCTACATCTTTTTGATTTCCGTAGCAGGTGGCTAATAAGTACTACTAGCCACGGTGACGACGACGACGACGGCGACGGTGACGGCGACGGCGGCGCCGTCGGGGGGTGGCGCCCTCGACACGGCGTCCAAGTTGGCCTCCCTCGTCTGCGCCGTGGGGGTGGTGGCGGCCTGGCTCTTCCCGGGCTGGCCCCACCCGGGCTGGCTCTGCCGGCTGTTGGGCCGGCAGCAGCAGCCGCCGCCGCCAGCAGCAGCAGCAGCAGAAGCAGCAACAACAACAATTTGGGTTGGTGGGGTTTTTTTTTTGGGGGGGGGTGTAATTCTTTTGGAGGGTGGGGAGGGAACAATATATATTAACTTAAGTTAATGCATGCAGCCGGCCTGGCTTCGACTCTTCAGTCTGTCTTCTCGTGCCGTGACTTGTATTAAATCATTTCTGAAAAACTCCTTTGCTGTGGATTCATCACCATCCTCTTCTGCGGCACAGCATCACCACTTGTTACTCCGATCTTGACCGAACGGAGTGTGATAATGTGGAAGCTCAGTAGCCGTGGAATATGCGAAGACATTCCGAGGCAACCTAATTTTCGAAGAGCAACATCTTGGAGCCGTTATGCGTTTCATAGTTCTGAACGTCCTCTCCCTGTTGTTTGACCGAGGAGGGGTTGTGGTGGGTCAACACCACAATGATGATTGATCCCCTCATTAGGCAAGCTGGCTCCGACGCCATTGCTCGTACCGCTGAAACCATTCTTCGTACCCCAGCTCTTTTTCTATGAAGTCGGATATTCACACAACCCCCTTTGGATCCTCGCACAACTAATCTGACTAATTAGGGCTATAGCTAATTAGAGGACTTTATTTAACCTTATCCCCAATACCCAAGTCAGTATTTTTTACTCCCTCCACACCACGCCTAGTAAATGCTAGCAGCGTTGGCGACAACAAGGGTACTTAAGTACGTAACCAGATATCAGAGTAGTCACATAGTTAAGCGCAAATTACGCTTAAAACACCACTAACTAAAGCCGTTATATAGGTTGTTTACGTGTAATTCCACCTCACTAGTAAGGATATAGTAGGAAATATTAGGGTGGCATAATTAGTCAGATTGGTTATACGAGGATCCAAAGGGGGTTGTGCGAATATCCCACTTCTTTTCTATCGACCAGAGGATCCCGAGCCCGAGCAACCAGACCATTGCGGCCGGGACCGTCCATGCTATTCCCGCCCCGATCGTCCAGGATACCAAGGCCCCGAACACACAGATTCCGCCGGTATCAGTCGCCCAGGCCATCGTGATTGGCATATATCGTTTAGGGCGAGGTGGCGTAGGGTCTGGGTCTCGGGCGCGAGGAGCCTGCTGGGAAGCACACTCTTCCGTCTTTTGTTGAGGCTGGGTGGTGGGATCACATAGGCTCGGAGGGGTTGGTGTGGTGCAAGAAGGTGGTGGAGTGTCTGGGTTTGGGGCGCGAGGAGCCTGCTGGGAAGCACACTCTTCCGTCTTTTGTCGAGGCTGGGTGGTGGGATCACATAGACTCGGAGGGGTTGGTGTGGCGTAAGAAGGTGGCGGAGTCTCATTCCGAGGTTTCTGGCCTTGCAGTGGACCTGGAGCCCAAATTGAGTTTTCCTGAGGCTTTGTCTCCTTATCAATCGACCCCGATATGGGATCTGGAAGTGGGTTTGAGTCCGCTGGTGTGTCTCGAGGCTGTGTGTCGCTTTTCGATTTCCATTTGAATGACAGGCTCGCGCAGAGGCTGTATGTCATTGTGTGAGCACGATTTCTTTGACGTTTGGGAAGGGAATGATCGACGGTCTGGGTTTGGTGGTATTTTATAGCCATATCTGATATTGATGGCGGTGAGGGAACCAGACGTCGAATGACGGCCGCAGTTGATGGCCTCGAGTTGTAGTTGTACGGAGCAAAAATCGTTGGTGATGTTCAGATTCGAGAGAAATATTGGTACTCAGTCCGTAGCAGTGTGTGGTGTGTGTTCTTGACGAGATGGATCGGAGTGACACAACTAGGATTGAGAAGGTGAAACGTCTTCTTCCATTCCAAATTAATGGTTTGTGACTCATAAAGAAACGCTTGCATCTGCACTAATCAGTACTAAGATGTATGGGTTTCTGACGGCTCCTCCCTTAGTGTTAAGGCTGGGTTTTTGAACAATTGCAGGTCCACCTGGCGAACATGCAGGCGCCCACCCATGCTAGTAGTGAGTGAGGCGAAGCAGGGCTACCTATGGGCAGTGCTGCTCCTTAAAACGCCTACACCACCGTAAGCATGTTCCTACTATAAGGCGGAAAACCATGGCGAAAAGTTTGATGTTGACTTATTTGGTAGTTTACACTGCCCGACCATCTTGAGACTATTCTCGCCTCGCCTTATGACTGCTTCGCCGTCACGCCGTGGCAGATTAGCCCCTGGGCTACTTGTGTCGACGATTCTAGTCAACGGCGCCGTCGGGAGCGGCTCTCCCTAGCCCTGTCTATGCGTCACAAGGCTAAGGCCACGTGCCTGCTTATCATATTGAACCACTATCATCGGCATTGTATATTTTTAAACGCTGGGTCTTAAGTGTTTACCACTATATGGAGGCGACATGTATGGCTTTGGCTATACGCGGAATAGAAACGAAACTAATTATACTGCCTGGTCTGTTCATCCGTGACAGGTTAGAGGAAGGTGTATTATACTATTTAAACTGCCTAGCGGCTGGGAAATACTGTATGTTCCTCGTCTATGTCCAATTCAAACCCTGCCCAACTTGATGCATATGATCATAAAAGTTGCCTTGCTCAAGTGGCTCTGCTTGTCCTGTTTCTTTGGTCATCACACTTGGGACAGGGATAGGGTCAGAGGCAGAGGTTCTGAATCAACCTCTCGGCCCCTTGAAGAAATAATAGTAGTTGTGTGTGTACGCCCTCAGACAAACGAGTGTGCTGGTTGCTAATTTGATGATGTCGTAGGGAGAAAACCACTCCTGAATTGGCTGGAGAGAGACTATCCTATCTCACCTTCCAAGGCCCACACGCTCTACAGGCTCATAATGTGTGGCTGGGGCACTAGCCCGGATTCTGCGTAAGCATGCGTTAGTTGGCCTGGGGTCATCTTTGTGTCCTCCTTCGGTGTGACCTATGGCGAGCATTTGTAACTGCTTCTACTTCCGCAGAGGCTTGACACCTTCTGAATGCAAGCCTCTTTCGACATACTTAGGTATGCAAGAACAGAACAGCACAATGGTTTCCATTCTGAACTTCCTCCTTACTGCTAGCCTCTTGCCCACCGCCTTTTCCGGAGCCGTATCCTATGGCCAAAACTCCTCGGACAGTCAAAATACGGAGGCATTCGCGGAGCGGACGTTCTTCTACGTGGGCGGTCAATATGTGAACACCACGCTTGTGAGTCCCTTCTCGCGTCGAGCATCTGCAGTCTCAGCTGCTAACATCATGTCGCAGCCCGGTGGAACTCAGGACAACCAGTATATGGTCGGACAGATCTATGTTGAGCGTCTCACCCCGCCCAACGTTCTCCACGAGCATCCTCTGGTCTTCATCCATGGCGCGGGGCAAACTGCAACGGTAAAGATCCTGCCGAGTCTGGCATCCTGAACCTTGGAAGTTTTCCGGCGAGACCGAAGGTAGACTTGCTGACAGCCTGCCAGAACTGGCTAAACACACCCGACGGCCGTGAGGGATGGGCAAGCTTCTTCCTCCGCCAGGGATACGTGGTGTACCTCACCGACCAGCCCGAACGCGGCCGCTCGACATGGACACCCGGCAGCGGCCAGCTGATCCTCTCCTCCACCAAGACAGCGACCTCCTATTTCACAGCCCCGGAGAAGCTCGACCCGCTGCCATACCCCCAGGCCGCCAACCACACACAGTGGCCGGGCACCGGACTGCCAGGCGACCCGGCGTTCGACAGCTTCTTCAGCTCGCAGGTCGCCTACCAGGGCAACAACACCATCACCGCACACCTGTCCAACCACTCGTACGTGGCGCTCGCGGACCACATCGCGACCCCTCACATCCTCATCACGCACTCGCAGGCCGGCCTCATGGGATACCAGCTCGCCAACGAGAGGCCGGACCTCCTCGCCGGCCTGGTGTCCGTCGAGCCCGGCGCCAGGCCCTTCGAGTCGTGGACGGGCCCGCCTTACGCCCCCGGTTATTCGTTGTCTTTCCCGCCGCTGGAGTATGGAATTACCCCTCTGCCGCTGGTTTTCGACCCGCCGCTGCCCGCTGATGACCCGGGTGCCTTGGTGGGGGAGACACATCCTGCTACGAGTCCCAATCTGGCTCCCTGCATCTTGCAGGTTGAGCCGGCGAGGAAGCTGCCGAACTTGGCCAAGGTCCCGATGCTGCAGATGGTTGGGGAGTCCAGCTTCCAGTCTGTCTACTCTGGTTGCGTCGCGAGCTTCCTGCTGCAGGCTGGCGTGGATGTGGAGTTTGTGAGGTTGGAGGAGAGAGGCATCAGGGGGAACGGGCACTTCATCTTCCTGGAGAAAAACAGCATCGAGGTGGCAGAGAAGGTCGTCATGCCTTTCCTTGAGAAGCTGGAAAGGCAATGATCCATGGCTTGGTGAGCTCTTGGAGCTAAGGGCTGAGCCGAGTTTACCTAGATAACATCGAATAAAAGCATTTGTTTAATGTAGACTCCATTCTTTGGATTCAAAGGTTCCTCAGGCGTGAGGTCATTGGCGAGAGTGGGCGTGTCAGAACCAATCCTCCACCCCAGCCACCACTTACTTCATGAGCACACACATCCTCTAGAGGTCGGTTTGGTCACCATGGTATAAAAGGTGGGCGAGGATATGACGGCCATAAGCTTGCGTTAGCTTTCTCCAGTGAGCCTCTACTGTGGAACTAGCACCATCTGACATAGCAATGAGTTTTTTACCGAGTCCGCCAGATTTATCCCCGTTCAAGGTCGTGGGGAATCATCAGAAGGAACCGAAGAGGACGTACGAGTCAAAAACGAAGATCGCCACACTGCAAAAAGTTCTTCAAGATGAAAGCCTCTCCGTCAACCGGTCTTCTTGGCACCACTCTCGCTCCTCTGGCCTCTGCCCTGGTATATAGCCTCAAGCTCGCATGCTCCGTGGACCTTCCAACACCAGGAACTTTCGGCTCTGCTGACGGTCGCAAATTCCTCTCTCAGAGGTACTCCGCCACACTGCCGCTCATTGCCGTCGAGATCCTCGTAGACGAAACGACCGTGCTTTACTCGAACGCCAGGTGGATCAGCTACAACTCTTTCGACGGCCCTCTTGAGGAGACTCTTGAAAACTCGAGGTCGCGACCTCATGCATCTAAAATATTAAATGGAAAGCGACAATCTTTGTATGAAGCGGAAAAATGATCGTAGGCGGGCGCCCATGGGATTGTAAACCCGTTACCTAGGGTAGGTACGAGTTACGGAGCAGGAATGCGTCGGCATGACTCCTAAACAATCAATGAAGGGCGAGCTTATCACTGTGCTGATTTGATGCAGTGTCCCCGTGGCTGTTGGGACGTCAAGTGAGTTAGATGAGGACGAAGCTTTTGGGGAGGCTTTCACACCCAGATACATCTTGCATGCAACTGTGAGGCAGGCTTCATGTGCTTGATGACTTCACTTTGATCATGGTCACTTCTTATCTAGTTTACGTTATTGTAAACTTCCTACAGTTGTCCTTTAGGTGAAGAGCCAAGCTCAGCTGTGAAAAGTTTCCTACGGATTGGGATCTAAGATTTTAAAATGGGATATCACCTCATTGGATAAGCTCACATATGCCTACAGGATGGCCTCCGATGTAGGAAATGACCCTCTGCAGGACAGCCGCACAGAGGTTACTCATTTTGAACTGACTTCCCTCTAACACAATGCTGTCTCCTGTATTCACGTCGTTTATCTATTCTGGGTTCACGCCTGATAAAGCCTTCCTACAGGTGTGTATTGTTCCAAGGTTGGCAGTGCCAGTGGTATGTGGACCAAAACACTGTGATAAGCTAGGCCGTAAATGAAAGGAAGGCACCATTGTAATAATGGCAAACAAAAAATGGGACGAAGAAGCGTGACTGAAAGCACTGGAGACCACATACAGCAAGAGCATGGGTGACCAATTTTCGGACGGCCCAGAGCACAGGTATAAATTCAGACCAGAGTTTTCTTCCACACTCCAGGCTGTTTCCTTCTTCCTCCCCATCAACCCAATCCAACCACGCTCTCTACAGACATCACATCCTTTCACAAGATTTGGCAACTCCACCGAGTCATGATGGACGTTCTCTTCCTTCTTGGCCTTTACTGGCTTGCTGCCAGCCTGGCTGGAGCGAGTCTCAGCCCCGTCATTTCCGACGCAAGTCTCGTGTTGCCATTCGAGGTGATTGAAGGCGAATCGACGGCCGAGGTGGTGTCTGTCGACGGCGGCCTCGACCTCCCGAAACTCACACCCGGCGTCAACAGCACAACGTTCGACTGGTAAGACTGAGTGGCGAGCTGTCAAGGGGGGCAGTCAACTGATTGGGCGCAGGTGGTATTTCGATGTTGTTTCCTCAACTACTATCGAGTCGTTCAGTATCATCTTCGCAAACATCGAGAACCCAAACCTGGGAGGCGCGCTCGCCGTGCAGGTGTCGGGCACGTACCTAGACGGCACCACTTTCTCCAAGACGATGCCTGCCACCAGAAACGCAAGCTTCGTCGCCAACGACAGGGGCATCGCCTCGCACTGGGACGGAGAAGCTGGTGATTTCTCGTTCAGCGGGACTAATCTCGACGCACCCAACATCACATACACCATCTCAGGGGACGACCCGGACACTGAGAGCTTCGGGACGGTGACGCTGACATCGGTATGATATCCCGGTCTAGATAGGATCATGTGTTTCCCCACTTCTAATTCATTCCAGGTCTCGCCCCCTCGATACCCTTGCGATCCCAACATCGCCGGAGCTACGGAAGAGATCATGCCGGATGTCTATTCATCCAACGCGGTGCCCGACTCCGACGCAACGGTCGAACTTATCATCGGCGGACAAGCCTTCAACTTCGAGGGCTATGGCTACCACGACAAGAGGTGGGGAGTCAATCTCCTCGACGGGCCGGTGACATCGTACTATTGGGGCCACGGCCGGCTGGGACCATACTCAATCGTCTGGCTCGATGCCCTGTCCAGGGACGGCAAGGAATACTTCTCGTCTTGGATCTCAATGAACGGGACCGTCGCGTTCCAGAGCTGCGGCGACAAGTCCGTGGTCGTCCGCCCGTGGAAGAAGGACGGCACTGACCCAGGGTACCCTCCTAAGCCTCGGGATCCAGCCCCAGACGGCTACGACATCCGCTTCGACGTGGGCGAGGGCCAGGCCTTCACTGCACGCTTCTACACCAGCACCATCCAGTTGTCCACTGACGTTTTCAAGCGGATCACGGGACCTATCGTCGGCGGCTTTGAGGGTGGGGAGAAGTATGAAGGCGTGGCCCTGGGCGAGCAGGCCCAGAACTAGACGGGTGTGGCCATTCATAGGAAGCTCGCAACAATGGGTTAAAGGGATCGTGAAGGAGGTAGTAACCTAATAGGTTCAGAACGCGTTCTTATTTCCAAGAGCTCCATGCGTCGCAGTGACCATGATCTCAATGTTTGCGTGAAAACGTCGAGGTTCGAAATCACAGCTGATAGGGAGGGCGTGCAGGTTTTGACACACCGTACATGAAGATCTTTCGGCCCTATTCTGTCGTCTGAATATTTCCATGGCCTCAAAACACAGGTATGTCGTCACGAAGTCATGAAAGATCCTGCATACGAGCTGCCGTCCAGTCATTGTAGTTCTCACCAGGAGCATCATGCCGGCCGTAAGATCCCGCCCGGCCGACATCATTGCCTGCGAACGGGACGCTGGGCTTGATTCGACCGATGGGGTCCCAGATATCAAGTCAGAACAAGCTTCTGATGATCCACCAGCTCGGCAGTCCACTCTGGTTGGTAGTCGTGATTCGCCGTGAGCAGCGAGGAGCTACCAGGAAACTTTACCAACCATCCAAAGTCCAAAAAGGGCGATATCCTGTAGTTGTAAACGAGGATGCACGAATAGCAATCTTCATTCAGCCAGTAAAGATGTACACTTTATTTACTCTACGTTGCCTACTTTTACTGGGTTCACGGAGTGTAACAGTGGAATTGGTGCGAAAACTCCAACACAGGTTGAACAAGTTGGATGAAACTGGACACTCTGAGATGCCAAAGAAGGAGCTGCCTCCAGCCAAAGATGAGAATAAAAGGCAGAACCGACTTCAACGAAGCCGGAAACACCAAGCAGAAACATGGTACCTTGAAATGAAGGAGCGAATCAGGTCGAAAAGAGCGTTGAAGACAAGAGAAGCAGCTCTGTGACCACTATCGCAAGATACCATAGGGTACTTGGCTACTCAGCTTCTCCTCCGGGAGCGGCTGGCTGTGAGAACGGAAACTCAGACTGTATCACAAGCACTACAGACCAAATTCCAACATATTATTCTTTTACACTTGTAGTCATACACGCTACCTTTTAACACAAATGTCAGGCGCAAAGATGCCTCTAGAGAACAACAGCGGGGCGTAGGACGACTGTGCCACAGTACAGCACTCGTGAGGCTCACAGAAAACCACCACAGCCATTTTCCACCTTTGAATCCGTAGAAGTCTGCAAATCCGCGCCTTCAAGCCTGCCTATTGGCCTGCCAGAGACCATAGGGGAACCATGGATGCCCCACCACTACCAGGCAGGACAGAATGGTGGGCCTTTACCGCATTCCCACGGGGGCTGAGCCAGGAGATCAATCTGCGACTGCCAGATGCCAGTTTCTTTGCCCAGACTCAACAAGTCGGGACTGAAGTCCTCGACAGCCTCCTGTTCACAGAGAGCCATCCGGTCGCGGTCCTCCAGCCATTCCCTCCTGGTGCCCACGGTGACCACCTTCCACTCCCTTTTCCACTCTTGTAAGGCGTCCAAGGCCCCCTGCGATGTTGACTGCACCTCGGTGGCGACAAGGTAGAAACCCGCCAGCTTTCCCACCCAGTAGCCCTTCTGCAGGATCGCGACCTTGGCAAACTTGACAAACTCAAGAATCAGTCGGATAGTCTGGATGTCCTCCAGCTTGTGCAGCTCGATGATCATCTTTCCCCCGTGCCTCAGGCGCTGGATGCCAAGCACCAGCTGGGTCAGGAGGCGGCGGCGCTCCTCGCGGCGGCGATTCTCCCGCCCTCCGCGGAACATCGCCTTTGTCGGCTGAATAATGTTGGTGCAGATTACAAGGTCGAAGCCGGATCCGGGGCCATCGTCGAAGTATCGTGAGAAGCGGAACCTCCTGATGTGGCGATTCCACAGGGGAATTTCTCCTACACGTAGACCCATGTCCGCTACGAGCATAGTCGTGTCCAGCCTCTGGATCCTGACCAACTCGCTCTCTTCCACTGCTGGGGGAAAGCCGCCCTGCCCCACAGGGAGGCTAAAGGCCAGGGCATGGGCGCCGGGGTTTTGTTCAAGGGCGTAGGTCAGAAAGCGGCCTGGGACCACTGACAGATCGAGAATACGCCTGAACCCTGTGCCGGGCTCGATGGTGAAAGCATCCGTGCTGCTCTGTATCCATTCTGCAATCCTCCTCATATCCGCCATCAGTCCATGAACTGCTTCCAAGGGGTTCTCGTTCGCCTTGCGCTCCTCCTCTGCGAAGTACTGCTTTGCCTGAGAACTCTGCCATCCCTGATATCCGTCATGGTCAGAAAGCCTGCCTTGTGTTGACGGGGAGGGTGTGAGGGCTAGATTGCTTGCATGTGGGCTTACTTACCTTAAAACGCTCCCACTGGAGCTTTCGGTAGATGCCTGAATTCTCACACAGGTAGTCTTCGATGGCCGCAACAGCGCTCTTGTGGCCAGGAACATCCTTATTGTTGGAGGTTTCTTCAATGTCAAAAGGAGCAGCTTGTGCGGTCACGTCGTGGCTTCCGTCACTTTCGCTGTCGCTGTCGCTGTCGCTGTCGCTGTCCCTGCCACTGTCGCTCTTACCGTCGATCTCACTGTCGCTGTCGTATTCTTCTTCATCCAGCTCTTTTGCTTCTTCCTGTTCTCCCTCTCCCTCCTCCTCATCATTGGCGGTGTTTTGGCTGTCCTCATCGATGGGCACGAAGTTGTCGTACTTGACTTCGCTGTACCGGTAGGTCGCCCTTTCAGCGTCAGCAGCGATGAGCTTGTCCTCCTCTATCACTTCTTCCAGCCTGAGCCTCTCAAACTTTGGTAAGCGCGTCTTTTTTGGTAAGCGCATCTTCATTCCTGGCTCGCAGCTGCTTGTTGGGTGGTAAATAAACGATGAATGAGAAACAGATGGGTGTGGATGACAGGTGTGGATGACAGGCTGACAGTCCTTCTGCTCGAGAGGCAGGAAGACAAATGGAGTGGGTAGAAGCTGGCGTCGATTGTTGAAGTGGGAATCTGCAGTGACCAAGTTGTTTGTTTACAATGAACGAGTTGCGTCTTGCGCGTCGGTTGCTGTGGGCTCAGCAGAAGGCAGACCCCAGCTCGCAGGTTCGAGGTACAGCAGTTGTTCGTACCTAGGTGCACTTCAACCACTTTTCGTCTAAAGCTGGTCCTAAGCAAGGCTTCAACATCGCTTGACACCAGAGCTTTTGCCTTTTGCGTGGGCTCTTGCGTACCAGAGCTGGCGTGTGAGCGGTCATGGATGATGAAAGTGGGCCCGAAAGCCTCGTCACCTTTGCTTCAAGTAATACAGCCTTGCACAGCCAAACTGCTCTAAACCCTCCTGCATCTCAATAGGACTCCTCAACTGCCCGCAATTCGATAACGCGGTTCGTCCATTCCAATCAACCCCCCCCCCTCGATCTTTCCACTACCCTCAGTACTTCATCTTCCAAAGGTTGAGGACTACAATCGCAAACCAACTCATGTATTTCACCTTTCATACTCACTCCATCAATTCACTTCTGACCCGTCAACCTCATAGTGACCATGTTTTCTAGGAATACCGATTGCACTGACTGATCGAGGCTGACAGATTTGGACTCTTATTCAATCCCCCAGCAAAAAGGCAATGCCAGTGGTATTGCCAGTCAAAACTCCTCAAGGGCCAGACCCCAAAAGCCGGTAGCACGATAGCCGAACGATTTCCTTTGTACCCAAGAGCGGCCGATGGAACGCATCCTTGGCTTATACGCGATACGACTCGCGCCGATCGAGGTAACACAAGATGATCTCCTCCCCGGTTCCCCAAGACGGCTGTGAGCCCGGCTGAAAGGCAGGTCGTCAATAGTACTCTAAGCGATATAGGTGTGGGCAGGGCCAGCTGGCACACACCCTACACAACGAGTAAGAAGCAAGCAGTCTTCCCCGCACCGCACGATCCACGGTTCATGGTTCACGCACCCTCATCCCGGCTCCAACGCACACGGTAGCGTGGCTTACACCACGTGCTGCAGGGCGAGAGGGCTAGTTAATTCTGACAGCTGCCCCCCGTTCACGACTCGACGTCACGACTGGCTGTCAGGCCACCCGGGCATGCGTGCTTTGTAAGTGCTCCCTCAGCATGGACCAGATGGAATGCTAAATTAGCCCCCGTGGCTCAATGCGCGGGAGCTTGTCCGCAATCAACAGGAGGGCCAGTGCGACGCGGCGAATGGGGTGGCCTCGGCTGCGCAGATTGACTTTGTATCTAGCGGAGGTGAACATCTCGGCAGAAAGCTAGATTGGGTGTGTTTGGGACGGATGGTGGGACCTGTGTTGGAGACAACGCGCCCCGAGCCCCCCGTTGCAACACTGAACTTTGGTCACGTAGTGTCTGTGAAGCTTTCCGAGGCCATGGGCAAATTAGTAGGCTCCGGGACCGAAATGACTGCGTAACACACCTGGGCATTCTGAGCGCTTACCCCGCCAGTCCTTCTTGCTCCCAAGGTTTGTATTAATACCCTCCGATCTCTCATTGAGCTTTGGCCATTGATAATGGAACATCCCCCAGCAAAGAGGACCAGTACGGCAAGGCCAGATGGTCTCATTGTAACCGCAGCAGAAGTTTTCAAAAGTTACAATCAGCCTCATCAACATCGAAGCCAAGAAGATGGCTACACCACTCGACAGGAACGGCCTCGTGGAGGATGAAGAGAAGGGGCACATACATCGGACCACGACGGGCGTGACCATATCGCCCGAGCTCTTCGAGAAGCTGTATTTCTCGCCCAAGACGCCTCACGTCGGCGACTACAACAGACGCTTTGCGAACCCCACCGCTCTCGGCTTCGTTGGGTGAGTGATCATATCCCCCCTACCACACGCAGACGAAGAAGTCAGGCAAATTCCTTGCAGCACTAGTTGGCTGACCACATTGACCAACACCACACAGCTTCGGAATATCCGCGTCGACGTTCGCCATGGTGCTGATGGGCTGGGGCGGCGCCTCGGGGCTCACCCCCGTCGCGGGCATCTTCTTCTTCACGGGGCCCATCCTCCTCACCTTCGCGCTGATATTCGAGTGGGTCATGGGCAACTTCTTCCCCATGATGGTCATGGGCCTCTTCGACGTCTTCTGGCTCTCCTTCGGCGTCCTGCAGCTGCCGACCCTCCAGCTCTCCAGCCCCTACGCCACCGAGGCCGACCCGACGGGGGCGTCCGCGCCGGCCTTCAACGCCGCCATCGCGCTGTACCTGCTCGTGTGGGGCTTCGCGCTGCTCACCTTCTTCTTCTTCACGCTCAAGATCAACATTGTCTTTGCGAGCATCTTTGGCCTCGTGACCGTTGCGTCTTTCGTCCTGGCTGGGGCTTACTTCAAGGTCAGCCAGGGCAGCTTTGATGATGCCTTGAAGCTGCAGAAGGTAAGTGATGGTGACTGCGCCAGGTAAAGCGAGATGAACAAGGTGACTAACTAACCCCTTTCAAATAGGCTGGAGGCGCGTTGATATTTGTCGTGGCCCTCTTGGGGTGGTACGCCTGCTTCGTAAGTAGCTTCCGAAGAAAATCCCTCCCCTTCATTCAAGAAATAAAAACATCAATCCGGGCCTATGTAGCAAGAGCATCACTGGCTGCAGGTGCTGAGACAGTTCATGGCCGTCCTGTAGCCCACTCCTCGTCATGCTCCCTTGGGGCTGCTTCTCTGTTTGATCTATGGCTAACTTCACAACTAGATAATAATGGCAGCGGAGATGAGAGTCCCTATCAACCTCCCAATGGGCGACCTGAGCAGGTTCTGGCCACACACCGACGTCGAGATCACAGCAGCAGGCCGTGCTCACCACGAATAGAGACCGCCTTCGCGACCCTGGTCGGCTAGGCGATATGTCGGCAGTAATACTTGCTCTCGGGCGCGCTGAGGGAAGGATGGGTTAGGAATGTTGGATGTCAGTGTGCATGACGGGCTGGATGGATGAGATGTAATGTTCGAGCGGGCCAGCCCTGCCCTGAATCCATTCATGTCTGAGCTTGAACAGTAGTTCCATGTTTTTATATACCCATTCTCGACGGAATGCAGACACTTCGTCTTGGTCCTGAAGTCTGCCTGGTGCGCTGCACCGGAATGCTATCTACCTAGGTATCCACTTCCAACGCCACAGGCTCGTACAGCACAACCCTCTAGCCTCATTAAGTACAATTTCCTAGCCACCTACGGTACCGTGAGAGCCTCTGGCCAAATCATCTCTGAGGTGATGACCTCCCAGGGGCTCACATTTGATGTGGGAGCCTCTATGGGAAACCTCTAAACAGTCTACCGGACGGCTTCCAACAGAGCAGAGGTCTTCAAGCGTAAGAAACTCCAATACGACATAAGACACGGTTTCAAAGATGGGACAATGTTACAGCAAGAGTGCAGACATGTGATGTCCGGAATCCTCTGGGAGAGGCCACCCTCAACCACACATTACCTCACACGCGACCTTGAAGTGAAGCCCGACGAGAATGGTTCCTGAGGCTCTAAACTACAGGTATCTTCCTCCCTTCCTAGAAGCCCCTGACAGACCAAGTCGATAGTGACGGCTAGGCATCACATCGGATCTGGAGTCCCACTGCAACCAGTCTCCCCTGGGTGAGCCAATTCATGGAGCACCACATCAGGCGTCCTTCCTGCCAAGGAGTACAAACCTCGAGTTTTCATCCCAAGCACCTGATTCGTCACACCGCAGCGTCGTAGTAGGGCAGCGAGGCAGGATCGGGTGGTTCTAACGCGGTCTCGAATCCAGGGGACAGTGCGCGCGGCTCCTGAGTCTGCAGTGGTGGGTGGTAGAGTTCTTGGGCAGCCTTGTCATCATGCGTAACATGTCTGCCGTGAGTAATGAGAAGGAGGAGCGAGATATACTTTTGTCGGCAGCTTGGGGTGTTGCTACATACCTAGGCAAGTACTTGGGTACACCATGCAACAGGATGAGCGCCGTCACAATTCCCAATTACCGTACACAAACTGTAACTGCATCGCCACGGACAGATGAATGTGAATGCAAGAAGGCGACGGCCGTCACAAGGAACACCAAGCACCGGCAAATCGGAATAGAAAAACAACAGAAATTCAATCTACACGCTTGTTGCTAAGCCTCGAAGTCATCCAAGCCATAACCAATGCCGTGCTGCCAATATCACCCGAAATCCCACAGCCGTGCCATGTGATCCTCTCCCTGCCGCTGAGGTCCAGATCCATCATCCACGGCCATCACTCCCGGCCAGCCACGCGAGTAGCAGCAGAGTCCCGCTGGACCCGGAGCGGAGCCTGCGCCGAGCCCGAAGCACGGCGTGCGAGGAGCCGGGCCCATTCCTCCTGCAACAGCCGCGGCGAGAAGGCGTCAGCCCCAGACGAGCCGCGGCCCGGGTCCAACAGGGACAAGAGGATGCCAGAAAAGTCAAAGGCACCCCCCCGTCCCGGAGGGCTCGGCACAATCACAACCTCAGCGCGACGCGGCGCCGGCTCACGACGGACCGGACGGCGCACAACCTCGGGCAGCGGAGCCGGGTCGCTGACGAACTCTCCCGCCCCCTTGCAGAGCGCCACCACGTTCTTCAGGCAGCTGCGCCTCCCGCCCTCCACGGCGCGGACCAGGTCCGGGTGCATGAGAAGAAACTCGGCCTGCCTCGCCCGAGTCAGGCCGACGCAGAGGCGGCTGCGGTCCTCGAGGAAGTCCGTGGGCCGCTGGCGCACAAAGTCCAGTATAACCACGTCCGCCTCGTGGCCCTGCGCCGAGTCGATGGTCCGGGCCTCGACGACGCGGTCCTTGAATGCTGGGTGACGAATCCTTAAGTCCGTGATGGCCTTGCGGTACCGGCGGAACGCCGCCGTGTAGGGCGCCATGATGAGGATGGTCCCCTGGCCGGCGCCGCTGGTCTGCTTGAAGTCGTCGTCCCTGAGGAGCTTGAGGACCAGGTCCATGACCCAGCGCTGGTGCCCCGGGTGACACCAGCTCTTGTCGTCGGCCTTCCGCGCCGCGCCGGGTTCTCTGAGGCTCACGAGAAGGCGGGACACCTGGCTGCCTTGGTTGTGCTTCATCGGCATGATGTACCTGTTGCGAAGGTGAATTGTGCTTCGTGGCAGGCCGCCGGGCGCCGCGGGGTCGTTGGCCGGCAGCATCCTGTTGTTGTAGATGGCCGCCGAGGCCAGCTGCTGCAAGCCTCCGTAGGCACGGTGGTTCATGTTCAGAGATTCCGCGCCCGGGAACCTCAGATCTGCCCGGGCCATCATGGATACCTGTAGCTGAGGCCCGAACTGGTTCCTGCATGGGCCGTGTGCCAGGGACCCCACGAATGGCTTGGTCTGCCTCACGTCACCCGAGAAGATCCACGCCGCCGGGTTGAACTTGGCGACGGCGATCAGGTTGGACAGCTCGCGCGCGTGGGGGCTCTCGTCGAAGATTACCAAGGTCGGGGAGAACAGGGACGAGGAGAACTTGCTCGCGGAGACGGGCGTCGTGAAGACCATGTCGGCGTCCATCAGGGTGTCACGATAGAGCGTCTCCAGCTCCTCGTTCTCGAGCTCCTCGAGGTCGGTGCTTCCTAGGCGTTGCAGGCGGCGGCGGATGCCCTGGAGCCTCCGGTACGTGGTGTCCTTGTGTTTCTCGTACAGCGCCAATGCTGCTTCGTCAAGGGAGGGAGCAACGCGCTCCGATTGTTGATCAGGCCTGTTCCTGCTCTCGGCCTCCGCGATGTTGAAGGCCGGAGCGAAGCGGTGGATCTGGAGCCTCTCGCTGTCATCCGCCTGGGCATCATACTCTTGCAAGGGGCCCCGGCCGGAGTTCTGCTGTCCTCCACTCCCCTGTTGATTTCCCTCGGCGGGTTCGATTTGGCTCATCCGGTGATTGAGTTCCTCCCACTGGGCCTCTAGCTGCCTCCGCCTCGGCGTCAGCTTCTCATAGCTCCAGCAGTGCATCCGGATGGCGGTCCTCGGGACGGTCGACCCATCGATCTCGCTCGTCTTGGTGAGTTCCAGGTCATCATACAAGCGGGCCATCTTGTTCGCAGCATCCGTCAAAGGGCGGTTGATGTCGATGAGATACAGGACCTTGTTCTTCCGAGGCTCTGGCGACTCTCGTCCAGGATAAGTGATCTCGTCCTTTGACTGCAGGGCGGCCGCCACGACGAGATTCCAGTGAGTCTTTCCCGCTCCAGGACAGCCGTGAACGACGCATATGCCGTTGGGGATCTCGCGGAGCAGTTGCTGGAAAGCGTGCTGCTGCTGGTCGTTCAGGGTCTGGAAAAGCCGCAGTAGCTGAGGTGGAATCGAGTCGGGTCTCACGAACGCGTCCAACATGTGTGGAAAGAGCGAAAATAGAGGCATGTGTCCCGTCGGATGGCCCAAGAGGACGAAGTACTTGTATGCTTCGATTTGCCACGGCGAGTGTCCGTCCCCATGCCCTTTCACTCCCTGATCGAGGGACCAGAGAGCCCCAAGCTCCGCATTTCTGGTCGAAGTCGACACCCGAAGCTTGAAGGACACCCGAAGGGTTTCCAGCTGCGAGATTGGAGGTATGCTTCTTCTCCCCTGTGCCAATTGGAGACGAGGGAACTTGGCCATGATGTTGTCCTTTCCTGTGAGATGAACGTGAAAGGCGGAGCACTTCTCCCAGAGTTCATTCCTGACGCGCCACAGGGAGCAAGGGTTGTCGACGCGGGTGGCGGGAGACTTGCTGTTGAATCCCGGAATGGAGATGTCGCAATTCTCGCCCTCCTTGGGCAGCATCGAGTCATGGCCGGATGGCTCCACAAAGAAGAGCAGTACGGCCGAGTTCACCATTTGGCGGATGTAGAAGATCGGCCATGCCTTGAACGAATGTCTTTGGGTGTTGAATGCCTCGATTTCTTCTTTCTCAAGGAGGAACTCGTTCTGGGTGCCAATAGAATGCCTTTTGAAGAAAGTTTCCATGTTGAACTCGTACAAGGGCTCAACCGGCGTGACCACTTGTGGTATCTCTCGATCATTCGGCCAGTTTGGGTCCGTCACCCGTGGGGTGAAATGAGGATCCCAGCTCACCTGGGGGGAAATGTTAGTTAACATTGACGATCATTCTTGGAAGAGCATGAGGAACATACCATGTTGAAAAGTGTCGGAATCGACGAACTGGGCAAGGGGATTTGTGAATCTTAGTGCAGATCGCGCTGGGGGAAGTTGGTGATCTCTTCAAAATGTCCACTGGAGAGCTTTTGAAAGAAGAAGGGATGATCCCATTCACTTGTCCTGGAACGAAGAGGAGAAGAACGAGGCTGGGGAGGAGAGTTCACAGGAAAGCTCGCTCATCAAAATGAGTTTGCAAAACAAGACCAAGCAGTGCGCCGCGCCTGACTGCCGCGTAGAGATCTCAAATCGAAGTGGAGCTGAGGGTTGCCGCAGCAAAAGATTCCAAAGCTCGTCGAGTGGCTGAGTTGAACCTTGAGGACTTCAAAACTGTAGAATCAGAAAACCATGTCAGGAGGTTCGTGAAGAAGCTGGGGTAACTGGTATAATCATACACTCAACAAGTCTCGAGGTCGAACCAGAGAGAAAGGGCAGAGAACTGAAAGCTCCAGCTGGCCAAGGAAAAGCGCAAGACGAGGAGACACCCTCAAGCAGTTCCAAAGCTGCCAAATCCAAAAGACCAGGTGTTGCGTCAACTAAAGAAGGGAGCAGAGACGACCCAGCAGCAGTAAGCTGAACAAGGCAAAAGAATCGTAAGCTGAAGAGGAAAAGGTTGCTGGGGGCTTGGGCGGTCAAGAAGCAGATGGACGGACGACAGGAAGCGCTCCCCTGTGGACAGTGCAGCGCCTCTGCAAGAAAAGAGAGAAACGAGGCCTCTCTTTTGGTGAGCTGCCGCAAGGCGGAGGGGAGTTTGCGAGGGTTGAACAAACCGCTGAGCTGGAGAGGAATTCAGCAGCAGGAAAAGAAAAGGGAAGCTGGGTGGGAAGTGGACGAAGCTGATAGCGTCGTGGGATGCTGCAAGCCCAGCAGAAGCGTAAGAGGGGGGGGGGGCAGCTTGCTCAGCAGCAAGGGAAAGTAGACACTTTTGCAGCTGAAAAAAACAAAACAACACTCTTGATTTTCTAGCAAGCTCTGGGAGCTTATCGACACAAGTAATCTCATCCTCCCAACGAGCCCAAATTCCCGTTCAAACTTCAAAGTCCATACTCCCAGCACAAAGCGGCACCATTTTCCGTCCAGTCCATCCTAGCTACCATCATTTCAACAGCCTCGAGCACGGGGCTTAGGAGCTTTCTAGAACCGCCTCCCCCCCCCCCCAAACCAACTAAAGACAAAAACAAAACTTTTCCCTCAAAACCATTCAGAATTCAACACCGTAGCCCCGCCCAACCCCCAGGCCAGAACAACGCCCTACACACCCTCAGTCGAACCCGCCAAGGGATCAAGACCCAGCTGCATAGCCTTCCTCACCATCTCGAACCCAAACTTGGCCGCAAGTCCCAACATGTCTTCAACGTCACCATCTTCATCGTTACCGTCTGAAGCTGACAGGCCGGACCCAACAGCAGCATCAGGAAGCTCTTCAGCCTTTCCGTCCTCCCGCGGCTGGTCAAGATCGGGCGGGAGCTCCGGGAGCTGCCGAGGCACCGCAGACACATCGGCTCCAGCAGGAGGATCCGCTCGGTGTAGGCTGTAACTCCTCCTGGACTGGCTGTCATCCACAGGGTCCACAGCGATGACCTGCCCCAGGGAGTCGCAGTGCTCATGGAGCAGCCTGATGTGTGGTCCTATGTAGCCAAAGTTCCACCTCCTCGGCCTGTCCCGCTGCAACAACATGGTTCTTTCCATAATCACAAACTCGGCCTGTTTGGCGCGCGTCAGAGCGGCACACAGCCGGTTGGGATCTGCTACATGTGGGGTGTTCTCCCAGTTGACGAGGTCCAGGATGACCACGTCTCCCGAGTGGCCCTGGACGACATCGGCCGTCGCTGGTTGGACTTGGACCTCCCTGTGCAACCTTCGGCCCCGGCTGCCTGAAAGCTGATGCTCGCGGTCCAGGTCACGCATCAGACTGTTGATGGCCTTCCGATAAAGCGTGAACTGTGCACGGTAAGGTGTAGTGACTATTATGCTGCCAGGCTCGTTCCCATCTGTCGATCGAAAATCTGGATCTTGAACAAGGTCCCGAATTATTTTCTGGACCACCCAATTCAAGTGTCTCTTGTTTAATTTGCTCCTCTGCTTGAAGTCCTCCTCACTGAAGCCACTCACATGAACCAGCAGCCGAGGGAATGTCAACGCCTGGTTCCCGGCGAGGTCTCTGCAGTAGTGGAGCAGGTGCATCGTCGACGGAGGGAATCGCTCTTCCCTTGGCAGGGCAGAGTGAATACCGCCGTCCCAAAACAACTCAGATGAGAGGCGGTGCAAATTCCCATAGGCTTGATGGTTCAGTGAAAGACGGGGTGTGTCTGGCACTGTGTGCAAGTACCTCGCCATCATCGATGTCCTCAGCTGCTCGGTACAAGGGTTCCAAAGGTGGCTGCCGTGAGACGCGAGGTACGGCTTTGTCATCTCCACGGTGCCTGTGAAAAGGAAGGCTTCGGCAGATGGGAAGTTTGTGATAGCTGCGAGGGTGCCAAGCTCCCGAGAGCGAGATGCCTCGTCAAACAGAACAAGGGTCGGACGAAAGTACTTTGCGATCTTTGCCGCTCCAACGGTGGTCGTGATCACAAAGTCAGTCTCACCCAGTACGATTTTGAACAGTTTATCCCACTCCTCCCGTACGTCTTCATCAAAAGATGGGCGGTTCTTGAATGCAGCTGGATGCTCCGCGCGGAGTAGTTCTGAAAATCTTGGAAAATCTTCCAGGTGGTCTGACAAGTACTGCTGCGCTGCTTCCTTTAGGTTTGGGGCAAGGCACTCGCCCTTGCGACCCCTGCGAAGCTGTGGCACATGATCCGGACGATGAGCTTCAAACATTTCATCGAAATTAACGCCAGAAGATTGTGTGTCGCTGTCTTCTTGTTTCAAATACTTTCGAGCACTCTACATTCAATGGTGTGTTAGTGGCCTGGGCTAAGTGAAGCACTCGGGAACATAACAAAAGAATAGGCCGGAAAGAAAATTGAATATGCTTACCCAGACGCCCTCATAGTTGAAATTGTATGCCCTCAAAATTCGCAATTCGCTCCGTTGCAGTTTCTCGAAATGCTGCACCACATGAGTTGCGGCAGCGTTTGCCGGGCGATTTGCCTCCAGGATAAGCAGGATCGGGCCACCAGTCTTTTGCACCCCCTCGATGGGCGTGAGTGCCAGAGAAGAGATCGCGAGGAAAAGGCTCGTCTTCCCCGTACCCGGACCGCCTGGTAGGATCCCGACCCTGGCGGGGAGTTTGCTTAGAACTGTTCTGTAGGCATGTTTCTGGTCTTCATCAAGGCGTTGAAATAGCGCCGAGACGTTTTCGGGCAATTTGCGATCGCTGCGAATGTTGGGAAGAGCTTGAAAAAGATCGAATGTCTCAGTCGTTCTCTCAAAAGTGCGGACGTACGAAATCGCCTCGCGGGTACGACTGTGGACTGGCTGGTCAAGCGCTTCCGTCAATGCATTCAGTTCGACAGTCATCGTCGTCGTACTGATCCTAATCCAGACATGTGCTTCAAAAGCGGATGCCCGATCCAGCACCATTCGATGCTTTTGGCGGCCGTCACGTTGAGACATCGTGCGCCAGTCCAGCTTACAATCGACGCCGTCCAGCAGAGAGTAGACTTCGGCAGAGTCATTGCACAGCGAGACCTTGAACGTGCAGTAATTGTTCCAAGAAGACCCGGCTGCAGATCCTTCGTCCAAGAGAATCTTGTCATAGGGGTTGTCCAGCCGCGCGCCGACCTGGTATTCCAGCCCTTTCCGCTTGAGCTTCGCGTTATCTTTGGTGGTGGCCGCATCCTTCTCCGGCGCAGGAATGTGGCTTTTGAATGCAAGTTCACACAAGTCTCCCACCTTGGGGAAATCTTCTGGGATTTCTCGCACGGCCATCACAACAAGGTACTGGTGGCGCTTGGCGCCATTTGATTCGGAGCGAGAAAGCGCGCCGTTGTGGGTGTCCTGGGCAACGAGCCAGCACTTGTAGACGCTTTCGAGGTTGAAATTACGTATCTCTGCGGCCTCGAACTCGAAGTCCTCCTCTGTTCCCCAGCGGAAGATGTCATCGTACTGCTTGGGATCATGGAATTGCCAACACGGGTCGGGCACGGCTTTCCTTTGTATCTGGTCTTCGAGCTGCGGTGTTGACTTTATCTTGAGGCAAAGACCTGCCCGCAACATCTTCTCAGAGCAGAAGATTGGTCGCAATGCTCCATCTTCGGGGTCCTTTGCCATCTCCAAGGGGGCAAAAAGCGGCTGCCTGTCATCGTTCAGGGAACGAGGAACTTTGACTTTGTACGTGGAATAGACGCATTGGTTGTCGCCCGGTATTGAGATGGTCGTTGTGGGGTTGGGGACGCGGCTCGCTTCCCACCAAGTTTGGCCTTTGACTCGTAGAGAGCACTCGTCCCGTGCCGTTGGGAAGCGTGCATGGGCATTGCCGCTGACAACAACGATCCAGACACGAAATCCCGAGTCTTCAACCGGAGGGAGCTCAATGACAAACCAGCACTCGAAACGTCCCTGTTTTAGTTCGTTCTCATCGTTAAAGGCCTTTATCTTTTTGAATTGTACCAGTTGCCAAAGTACCTCGGGGGACCTGGCCGATGGCCCATCCGGGGACCCCGCTGGCGACATGTTGAGGGCAAAATGAAGGAGCTGCTGGAGGCTGGGGGATAATGATCAGCTGGAAAGGTTTAGGTGATCGGTGGGCGATTGCCTCGCTTAGCTGAACTGTGCCAGGTGGAGCGGAAAGGAACAGCTCCAGGGCTCTTACCTTGGGCTGGATTGAGTTGCAGACGGGGTGGATGAAGTCCCGTCTTGCGCGAGAGACGGCTCAGGCTGGTGGAAGGTTCGGTGAAAAGAAATAGGGTGCGTGGGGACCGAGGTCGTGGGCTGGGGTGGGAATGTGCAGAGCACGCTGGAAATGGAAGTGGATGTCGGAAGTTGGAACTCGAAACGTAAGAGACCTCGCAGGATCACGAGGAGGAAAATGATGGCTGAGGGCCCCCTGCCACAGTTTGTTTTGCAAGGGTTGGGTTGACTTGGGAAGGCAGGAAGGAAGTAGAGGCCCTTGTCGACGAAGGGGCAAGCAAAGCTTGCAAGTGTTCAGAGTGGCAGCTCTCAAAGTGTCAGGGCTTTAGCAGTAACAGGCCATGCTCAATAGCTCCTTGCTCCCAGGGATCGGTATGTAGGTACTGATTTTACAATGGAGAGTCCACTAGCCAAAGTCCCTGCGCATTCAAACCATAGGTAAAAGAAGAGATTAGAGGTTTGCATCTGAAAACACAAAGGGCCAGCACCCATAGAATAATCACTTCTCAGATGGTCTCTCGCAAAATATTCTTTCCTAGATTAATGTCTTAGTGTATTATTCTAAAAGTTACAGTTTCTGACCCTTATGAGGTTGTCGTGGATGTTGTGCACAACGACTTGGAATCCCCTGCAAAAGACCACCATCTATTCCGTCTTTCAAGTGACTTTTAACACACCAACAAGCTCAGTCAAATCTAACGGTGGGATGCCCAGGTGCTGGCCATTAAAGGCCTTTTGCCCCCAGTAGGGGGCCAAAAAAGGATGAAGTGACTTATCGCATGTGCCCAACTCGTAAAGCCCAAATTTGTTTGACATCATCCACGGCCAGGCCAGGCCCCCAACCTGAAGTAACTTGGAACCTCAAGCGCTTGGAAGCTTCGATCGCACCCGACGCACGAGCTCTACCTGCTGGCCAGTCAACGGGGCCATCGCTCATCAACCCAACAAGCACCACAACAAACAAAGCGACAAAGACTCCTGCAAGGCGCACAGTTTGCTACCCGCACCCACCCTTTCTCCCATCCCTTGCTGCCCGTTCCCCCAGGCCAAAAAGACCATGTCCGCAGAGGAGCTCCTCAAGAAGATCCACAACCGCGAGGCAGTCCTGCTCGCCAGGGCCGCCGAGACCGAGGCGCGAGAGGCCGAGCTGCAAGACCTCAAGGACTCGCTCACGAGGCTCGAGCGCGCCCGCGACGGCATCCGCGACGCCATCCAGGGTGCCCTGTCCGGCAACGTACCCAGCCCAGGCCCAGGCCCGAACCCAAACACGGGCGGCGTTGCGCCCGCTGACTTGATCGAGCTGGCTGTCAAGGGCAGCTCGAGCAGCAGCAGTGGCAGCAGCATCAGTGGCAGCAGTGGCGGCAGCAGTGGCAGCAGCGACAGCAACCCCAGCAACCCATTCCTGGGTGAAGGTGGCGGCGTCAACCTATCCGCCCACGAGGCTGTCGGCCTTGCGCTGATCGCCATGAGGGACGAGCTGGGCCCCAAGGAGCTGGTCAAGTTCGTCATCCAGACTGCCATCCAGTCCAGCGGTCTGGATTCCCAAGAGGTGATCCAGGCCGCACTCGAGACCGCCGCCGGGGACGAGCTTACCGTGGACGACGTCGTGCATGCTTGTCTGGGTGCGGCGAGGGACGCCGGGCCCACGAGCATGTCCGCCCGCGCCATCGTGGGCCCCGCCGTGAGGACGGCGTCGCTCCTTGGCTGCGAGGTGCCCGTCATCTTCAAGGAGATGTTTTATGCGGCCGCCTCTATCCTTCCGCATGATCCGGCCATGACCAGGAGCAGCGTCCTTTCTGTGCTTGGCTGTGCGATGGGCATGGGGATGACTCGCCAAGACCTCATGGATGTGATGGAGGTCTTCTCGAGGGAGGTCAAGCATGGTGCATTCGGCGGTGGATCTGGTGGAGGTGCGTATATATCTACACGGGGTGCTCATAGTAATGTCCTACATGTGGCCTACGCGATGACAACCTCCTCACGGCGGTTTCCTGCCCATTCACTTGCTAACATGTTCTTCGGCAGAGCCACCGCGCACAGTTGGTCCCTCCACTCCCCTGGAGACCCAAGATCCCGACCCACTGCAGCCTCATCATCCTCAGCAATCGCAACCGGGCGCCGACTCCGCCGATCATGCAGACACTATTAACGTGGCACTGGACCATTCCGCCGACACCAGCCATCTAGACCCAGTCAACAACGACACCCAGGGACTACCCGCTGAGGAAGACATTCTTGAATCAGTACTCTTTGCACCCCCCTCCTCCCCATCATATCCCCAGTCCATCAACAACGCCAGATCGAGCCCCGCGCCTGCTCCGATTCCAGCCAAGCGCAGGGCAGGTGATGAGGAGGATGACAACAGCGACGCGGCTAGGCCTAGCAAAAAGATCAGGACTGGGTCGGAGGGCAGTGAAGACGCTGAGAAGTGAGCAGCGGTCGGATGGGATGGCCGGGATTGCTTTTTCTCGTGCTTTCTTTGGAAGGAGCGTTGGGCAGTCGCGTTCACCAGACCGTTGACCGTTGCCACATCTCGCGGGCTTGGATCACTTGATTGCAAAAGAAGAGCTGGTGAAGACACAAGATGTCATTGATGCTTGCTGGTCTCAGTATCTAAGTAATGCCTCTTGTTTGGCAAGGTTCTGGTACGAACCAGCTTGGCTTTGTTGCTGGTGGTATCACAGTAGACACTCGTAGCAATGACACCCAGCAGGTCAACAGACTGGCTGCATAGATAGGCAAAGGAAGGTATTTTCTCAGACGACCAGTCAAGCTGTCAAGGCAGGCACATTGGCACCGGGATAGGCACTCAGGTCCCTGCATACTTGGGTACTGGGTGCTTGTCGATGTCCAACTTATGGCAGTTGCCAGGTGTGGCTCGTCCCCTCCTTCCCTCTGTCTCTCTCTCTCTTTCTCTCTCTATCCCCCCTCTATACCTCCCCCCCTTCCCTCCCCCCTCTGACCTTCTGTCCTTCTCGCCCTCCCCCCTCCCCCCTCCCCCTCCCTCTTTCTCTCTCTAACCCTCTCTCTCCCACCCTCCCTCCCACCCCACCCAATCTTGACCCACCTGGGCACCCAGCCTAACAAAAGCAGCTCTCTACCTTCCACCATTCACACATCAAGCCCTTTCCCAACCATCACACCTAACGTTTGTACAAAATGTCTCACTTTACCAAGCTCAAGGAGCAGTTTGTTGCCCAGGAAAGCCTGCTCCAAGAGAAGATCAAAAATGTCGATGAGCTCGCCGCCCTCACCAAGAAGCTCGAGGAGCAGAAGCTCGCCCTCTCCGCCAAGTCTGCAGAGCTCCAGCAGTGCGCTGGCGACGTCACAGGCATGAAGACCCGCATGAACCTGCTGTCCGACCTCGCCGCCCCGCTCGATGCCGCAATGAAAGTCAAGATCACCGCCGACGACGTGCTCCAGCAGGTGCTCGAGGCCGTCCTTCGCAACAAGTACCTCACCAGCGGCGAGATCATGGAGCGCACCGTCAACATCGCCAAGGGCGTGGGCGAACGGGCCCGCGGCGACATCCTGGCCGACATCATCGCCGACCTGATCGACGACGAGCAGGGCCTCAAGGCAGCCATCGAGGCTTCCATGGCCAACTTTTCCAGCCCCAACGACGTCCTGAAGACCACCCTGGCCATCGCGCTGAAGCAAGGCGCCAAGCCCGCCGACCTCCTCGAGGGCGTCGCAAAGACCGCTTACGACATGCTCGGCGACAAGGCAAAGGCATCATCCACTCCCCAGCCCGCCAAGGAGGCTCCGATTGGTATGACCCCACACAAGCCCGAACATTCTTCTCATCCCGGAGGCTAACATGTCAACCCCACACAGCAGTCAACCTTCCCAAGGAGAACGTCCCCCCTGGCGGTCAGTCCCAGGCGGCCCACCCCGTCCCCGTCAACAAGCATGGTCTCCGAGGCCAGGCTGAGGACTTCAAGCCGCGCGATGCCCTGAGAGGACCCCCGAACGGAAGCCTGAACGGAGCCCCGAACGGAACCCAGCACGGAAACCAGGACGGAACCAAGAACGCCGGAGGTGGGTGGGAGTCCTTTGCTCTTGGCAGCGCCGTGACCAATCTCGGTGGAGATCACGGAGCCTCCCCTGGACGCGCCGCGCCGTCTGGTATGCGTGGCAGCTGGAGCACCATCCCTAACTGGGGCCTTTGAATCCCAGAATATTGGTTGGAGCTCAACTGGAAATACATTACGATGGTTGTGGCGGTGTAAAAGAGGATGGATGTCTGGCCTGAGGGACCGGTGATCGTTTGGCATTCCTTTGTCAACAATTAGCAACTAGCATTCGAACCATCAACTAATAGGAATTCATTCCACGTCTATGCTCGCATTCATCCAATGAGGTAGTTACATTGTAGGCCCACAAAAGCCCCTTGCGTGACGGGCTGGAATGCTTCGGACAGGCGCAGCCTCGCTTACAGTCTCGCAGCAGCCAGCATCAAAGTCAGCAACCTACGGCAAACACGCCACAGCCTCAAGACATAAGGATCGCAACGGAGTCCCAACCCCGTTAACATCAGTTATTGTTCTCACCCAAAATCATTACTGATACACAGGTGAGCATTAAAATTAAAACGAAACCAGCTTGTGTCATGCGAGGAGCCCAAACAACACTGCCGACGACGGCCCGCACCAGGTGCGGGATCAGGCAGCCCACAAGCACCTGGCCTTCGAGCTCGAGAGGACGGCGAGAAGTCGAGGCACCCCACGAGGACGACTCATCTGTGTGCCTTGAACGCAACAAGGTGCCGAGGCCGCCCCCTGGTTCGAGATCCCGGGCGAGGATGAGGGGCGGGATGCCGGCGAGGCGTCCGGTGGAGGAGGCAGCTGGGTCGGAGGGACCTGCCTCGGCTGCTCGTGGCGGGCTTGGTGTTTGCGAAGCGCGAGACTTGCTTTGTTTTGGCTGGAGATAAGAAGGGTTCGCCAGGGCTTCGGCTATTTTGTCTTGGGTGTGGATGAGAAGGGCATCGGCCCCTTGTATGGGATAGCCTCCTACTGGAAAGCATGCCACGAGAAAACGAAGGAAATTTCTTTAGGGACACATCTCATATGCCAGTCTCACATTGAGAGAGATAGTGTCCCCTGGACTTCATGTTTAGCCCTTCTACGGACTAGGTTCGGTGAGAAGGTGTGTGGTAGAGGGAGCAAGTGGTGTTAATCCCAATACATATAAAACGTGTGCGGTGCCTTCATAAAGAAGCAGCAAACACTTAAGACTTAGCCTTTCAAATAAATACAGTGCCAATAACGGTATAAAGACAGTACAGTACGTGGGACGTGGCCTCAGCCTCGTGCCGCACAGACAAGACTAGGAGACATCACTCTCGACGGCGCCGCTGACTAGGATCGTCGACACAAGTAGCCCAAGGGCTAATCTGCCACGGTGCTAGAGTTAGTAGAGGGAGCAAATGGAAGGAAGCAAAGCCGCCAGGTCCCCTCATGTGCTTTCACAAATTCCTTCAACGTGGCGTCAGGCCCCGAAGGTCCTTTGTAATTATGTGTTGGCTGAAACCGGTTGGATGCATCATGACCCAGATGTCTCCACCTGGTTCCTGAGCGACACGTGCATGGCCTTCAGGGGACGACGTGTGTGGTTGCCCAGGTGCTAAAAATGCACATTCCCGTTGCCATGCCCAAACGGCCGTTTAAAGTTGATCCGCTTTACCACGAATCCAAAACAAAATCAGCATTTCAGGAACCTTCTGACAGCTACCAGGCAACAACTCTTGTCGAGGCTATTTGTTTGCCTGTTTTCTTCTCTTTCCCACGCCTTTGGCGACCCCATTCCTCCTTGCTTTTGCAATACACTCATCTTGGATTTGTGAACACCGAAGCCATGGATGTCTTCCAAAACATGAGCGCCGCGCCGCTCGAGCCAGCAAAGGTACCCTACAAATCAACGACGATCAGAATCCCGAAGAACGATGGGCTTTTGGCGCGCAAGCCCAGGGACAGCCTGCTCTGCACAGTCTGCGACAGACCAGGACACCTGAAATGTTCAGGATGCCACTCGATGCGATATTGCTCTGTTCAATGCCAGAAGCTCGACCGCAACACGCACAAATTCTTCTGCAAGTCATTCGCACGGTTCACGGACGACAAGCGGCCTTCCCCTCATCACGTCAGGGCCATTGTGTTTCCGGAGCACAAGACGCAGCCGGAGTGGACGTGGGTCTTGAGGAACGATGACCGCACTGCTCTCTGTCTGTCGCACATGTACGAGCGTCTAGACACCGACGGCCTGACGGAGCAGATGCCTGTCATGTACATGAGCTGCACGGTCAAGCGCGTGGCGCCACACTGGCTCTTCAGCCTCATCCTCAGCCAGTCCAACGAGCGCAAGTGGACTTCGATGATCAACCAGAGCGTGTTGAACCTCGGGCCCCCGGGCCACCTGATGCTCTACTGGGGACCTATGCTGGTGGTTGGAGGGACCCCTCAGATGGCACCTCCAGATCAGCATCACGAACATCCAATGATCAACCGCCTCGAGGATGTGACTCTGGACGACACACCCTTTGTCATCGAAGCCGTTCTTTATGGAGACCACGATTCTCCATGCGTCGTCGACGTCCCCAGATACTCCAGATACTGGAAGTCCTTGCCAGGTCTGAAGGTGAACTGCCTGGGCGACTGTTTGCGTGTACGTTACGGATCCCCTTCCTCGATGTTTCGTCATGTTCTCCCATGCAACACTTCAGGACCCATAGGAATACTAATGGCGCTGATAGTTCCACAGCGAGAAAGACTCGTTCAACATCCCCAAATGGGAGGCCACAGCCGTCCACGAGCGAGTCACCGTACCCAACAAGATGGAACTCAACCTGTGGCGGCAGTTCCCATGCATCCTTCCCTTCCTGCTAGGCCTCCCGTGGCTGTGCCGCCGCGCCGTCAACTGCTTCCCCGAGCCCCAAGAGACGCCCATCGACTGGAAGTTCGCCGTGTCTAAGCTGTCCAACTCGCACCTGGGCAGGGTCCACGCCTGCCTGTACCAGCACGGCTCCGAGTCCTGCGGGTACCCCAGGCCCGAGGTGGATCCCAAGATGCCCGCCAACATCGAGGAGCTGAACCCCCCGGGGACGAGGATCCTCGTGCACCTCTACGGCGAGCCGATCCTCATGGGACACCTCAAGGTGTTCAACTTGTTCGTGAAGCAGGCGAAGCTCGACGACTGGTGGAAGCCCGGTTTTGGGTACAAGACGTTCAACAGGGAGCTGTTCCGCCAGTTCTGGGCCGACAGGAAGAGGGCGAACGACGTCCAGTATGTGGACCTCACGGACGTGCCTTGTCCTTATGCCTGGATGGATAAGCCCCGGCAGGAGGACAGGTACGTCGAGGGGTTTGCGCAGTTTGAACGGCTTTTGCAGGATGCGGTCACTGATGTCTACTTCGACAATGTGTTCCGGGGAGGCAGGCCGAATCCTTGGGCTGGAGGTACCGGGGACTGGAGCGAGTATTTTGACCCTTTGAACTGAGCAGAGCAGCTCTACACGTGGTCCCTTTTTGGAAGCCGGGTCTTGTGAAGTACTTGTGGCAATAGTGGCAGCCGGTGGGGATTGTTTTTTTTTTTTGGATGTCATGTTGAGACGAAAATGACCAGAGTGGAGAAGAACCAAGCAATGGATAATTTTGGTCAACCTAGGTTAGGTAATTATCAACATGATCACACGATGAATAATCTCTCGGTGCCATTTTATTGTCCAGTCGCCACGAACAGTTTTCGCAGTAAGCCCTTCTCCAGGTTCCAAGGTGTTCGCTCAACCATGCATACAACCTCGTGCTGATAGATGAGTCATTTTGGGAAGACGACATGAAACCTTTCCTATGTGCACACGAATCTCAGGAGCTGACCTGGAAGGAGATAGTCGGAGAGCTAGGTGGAAAGCTTCCAGAACTCGGAATGGATTGGCCGAAATTCACTGATGCTTGACTATCTATCCCGGCTTGTTCACGTAAACCGCCACCGGGTCATATAATTCGGATATTGCAGTTCAATGGGCACCATTAATTAGCACCATTCTGCCCGTTGGCGGTCCCGTTCGCGAGCGCCTTTTGCCAAGGCAGCGGCTCAGTAGCAACCTTGACCGGCCCAACATCACCACCGGCATCCCGCCTCTTCTGCCACGCCTCGATATCCCGGTGATCCACAAAGTTGCCGTGGAGCCCCAGCTTGAGCTTGAGGGGCAGGTGGATCACGGCCAGCGGGCCCTGCGAGAGCCTCTGGGCGTCGAACACGGCGACGTCGTTGCGCAGCTCGTCGAGCCGGTTCACCAGCGCGATCAGGTACCCCTCGCCCTCGGCCGCGTCCTCCCCCCGCGGGATGAAACTCGGCTCCTGCACCGTCGACGTCGGGCCGAAGAAGTACGTGTCCTCGTCGCCGTGGGACAGCGCGTCGTCCGGGTCCCACGTGTAATGCCCCAGGGAGTTAAACAGGCCGCCCGCGGGGGGGCCGCACTTTTGGAAGTCGTACGGCTTTGAGGGGTCGATCCTCGCCTGCCAGAAGTGCTTGTACTTCTTGGTCACCCAGCGGTCGTCGATGCGGCTGAACTCGCCGTTGATGTCCCACACGTAGGCGGGCTTGATGCGTGTCTCGGTCTTGGCTTTTGGGTCGAGGATCCAGCGTGTTGTCTGGCTGTTGAGCTTGTCTCGCGGGGTTATCTTGTCTGGCTGAATGGGCGTGAGCTCCTCTGCATGTTTGGTATGTGTCAGCCGCGTGCTACGAACTCTGTACTGCTGCTCCGTTCTGGGGTGAATTAAGAACAAGAACAAGAACTTGAAGTGAGATTTGGTCAATGGAAGAAAATGTTATGTACCATCTGGGGGCCACCAAAAGAACACATTCCCGTCGGCGACGGTGAGATCGACAACGACGTGGCCGTCTTCATTTTCGTAGCAACCTGCTATGTGGCCCTGGAAGGCTGATAGTAGATGTTAGTTTCCGGGCTGAATAGTGGCAGTAGTCCGGTATGAAACTCACCATTATCTGCCCGGAACCAAATAATGTCTTCGCTTTTTCCGTTACGCCTCGGCACGAGGCCATACCACTGATCCTCGTAGGGGTCCCACGCAAACTTCTCACCTCCTCTCTTCATTCTGTCCATATTAACTTTTATCGGCGTGAGCGGCATTACCACATAGTTCTTGCTCACGCCAATATCATGGATCATGCCAGCGAATGGCGCCTTATAAAACGCCTCCTCCGTCTTCTTCCCATCTGCATCAAAGGTCCACATGATGATGTCGAGACTCCCGTCGTTGCCGTTCCCACCAGCCTCATAAGCGAAACATATCATCTCGCCAGTATCGGGATCAAATTTAGGGTGTGCTGTGAAAGTCGGCGACGTGATCTGGCCCTCAAAGTCGTACCGCCCGAGAGTGTCGAGGGTGACGGGGTCCATGGCGAAAGGCGGTCCCTAATCATTGTTAGCTCTTGAGTGCTCGGCCACGGATCCGCAAGAGAGCAAAGGTGCCACGAACGTCCTCCTTGCTGGCAAGCAGCATCCCTCGCCAAAAAGTGATATTGGTATTCGAAGCTGTCCTGATCACCCCCTTCACGGCCTCATTATCTGTGAACGGGTTCCTGTACCGCCCAAACAGACTCTGCCGCGCGGCCGTCTCGGCCTTGTAACGGTCTGTCTGCACATATCGCTGCTTAAAGTCGGCGTGCCCGTTGGAGATCCTGATCGCGGTAACGGAGCCGTCGCCGTTGAAATGCACGTCGTCTTCGAACAGCGGCGGGAAGCGCTGGTCTGGCTGGATGCGGTAGAAAGTCGCGTTTATTTCCTTGGGGATCGTACCCGTGACTTCAAGGTCGAACACATCGCCTTCAAAACGCGACGGCTTGTTAATTCCGCTGAAGACCGGAGTCTGTGGAAATGTGGTTGCCTCGCCAGGTCTTGTCAGGAGGCCGTCCTTGTACCCCTTTACAGCGGGTGCAAGAGAAAAGATGTGCGCCATGGTGCGAGTTGTGGGGCTACTCGTCTTTGCGCGCAACAGCAGTATCTCAAGGAACTTTGTGGGTTATTGGGATGTTTATTATGGTCAGTTCAATCAAAGTGTCTGGTTCTCTTTCAAGTCCTCGTGCAGTAACCGCATGGAGGTCCCGAGTAGATGACCATTTTCCTCCGGGCCATCAAGAAAGCCCGCACAGTTGAGACGTCGGCTTCAACTCCCCGTGGCGTCGGCATCGCTCCCCAGCATGGCATGCCTCGGCGGCCTGCATTGTGCGCTGCGTTGTTGGAGACCGGGTAATCTATTCCATCTGTCAGGCATTGATCATCCTCGGGATGCGGGGTGAATCTGCTCGATGCTACGGCACTTGCAGGCGAAATGGAGCTCTCATCCCTGAGCTCCAGGCTGGAATATCTCCAACTGGGCAAGAATCCCCACACTGATTCTCAATGCGGAGCATCCCACTGGGCTGATATCCCCGTAATTCCGCATGGAGGACTAGTGAAACAGTGGGACGGATGCTTGGCTTCAGGCCTAAGTAGTGTATTCATGGCTGCTAGCGATAACAATGCGCTCAAGGAGGTATTTCTATTACCCGTGCAGAGTAGGAACTATGGAGCAGTCCGCTGCAAAATTCAGAGGCAGCATCCAAAAATCAAGGCAAAAACGATTCTCGATCTAGCAGCTGCAATGATAGGTATTAAGCACCGTTGACCGGCTTGTTCTGCAGCAGCTCCGGCAGGATCTTCGTCCCGGGTTGAGACTCGCTAACCCCCTCCTCAGCCCCAGGCCTCGTCTGCCCATCCGGCAACTTTAGGGTGAGGGGCTTGTCCGAGGTGTTCACGTCCTGGCCCCAATGCGGCGCCCTGAGGTCGTCATCGTTCACCTTTTTACCGGTTACAGGGTGAGGGTAGTGGAACGGGATTACTCGCGTGTCAGGCTGTTACGTGTCAGTCAAGTAGTAATTAGGTCCTCTTTGGAATTTTTGAAAAGATCAAGATCAGGGCTTAGGGGGAGGTGGTGTACTTACCCAGAGCATCTTCTGCTCGAGGATCTCGTCCGGACCCATAGGGTCTTCCGGGTATGTCTTCGTCGGCCAGGGTATGTAATTCTTCTTTGTGTGACTCCAGCCGCTCTCAAATTCCGCGTGCCAGAATGGGAAGTAGCGGTAGCGGAAGAGTTTCCAGACACCGTTCTCTTTGATGTACTCGTTCTCGTATAGGCCGCCCTCCCACCACTGTACGTGCCCGCGTGGGTGCGTCTCGTTGACGGAGTCGTGCTAGTATGTGTTAGACGTCGGCCACAGCATCGAGACCATACACTCCGAGGCCCTCCAACAAAGGACAGTGCCGCCGCAGAACCGAAACGGAAGAGAATCTGAGCTCACAGTTCCAGCACTCATTAGCGCTCTCATTCTGACCCACGCGTGCGTGCCACTCGAGTCGACATCCACGATATCTTGCATCATGATGTGGTCGAGAAGAAATCCGTAGACTGGGCCATTGCGGCCCTTGACGAACGCGTTCTGGAACCGGCCCTGGTACAGCCGCTTGACACCCTCCTTGCCCCTGTATCGAGACCCGAGGAACTCGACGTACGTGTCCGGATGGTCGGCGAACATGTCCACTACCTCGTTGTAGAGGCACTTGTCGAGATAGTACCCATACTTGAAGTGGGTTTTACGGATCTCTGCTTCATCTGCGTCCTAGTTGTCAGCGCAAGTGTCATTCTCGGCTGGCTGGACGAATTCTGAGGCGCTCACCAGCTACTCGTGTGACCTCCTTCTGCAGGGCAGCAACCTGCTTCTTTAGTTCGGCGACTTCTGCTTCCATGACGGCGGCGACGACGTGGAGGTGTGCAAGCGAGGTACGACTTTGCTTCGGATATGCTTGATCTGAGTAGATGATCTCAAAATTTCCGTCGAATATGACAGATTATTTCACGACAGAGCGGGGCTTTTACCTGCTCTTTAGTTTTATAACCCGAACCACTAAATCCGCATCAACTCTTACTACGAATGATCAGCATGATGTGGAGTAGTGGGGCTATTGGCGGTTCCCTAGTTCCCGTCCGGGGTAAAGATCCACCTGGAGACCTTCTCTACGGGGCAAAACAGCTCGGACTCGGCCGGGTGCTCCTCAATGCGGGGCTTGAGGACAGGGGGACTGGTTCGTAATGCATGACAGCTCCTCGGTAGGTTCCTCTACGTCTAGGCTGTCGCTGTTTTCCGGCACCATGTTTTTCCCGATATTTATCCACGATATTTCCTCGTATCTTTTCCGGGCCTGATGCTGCATTGATAAACCTGTGGGGGGTACCTAGGTCTCTCAGCAACTGACCGTATTGGCTTATCGTAATTAGGTTTCACTGAAACATAGGGGTTCTCGGAATAACGGTCGCTTGGCAAAAACCAGTTGACTGCACCGGCACGATCGCAGCAAGAGATTATAGATTATCTGCGCCCGCGAGTCTCAAGCGCCATATGTTTATTAAGTATTGAGGTCTTCCACTTCTTACGTCTACACACAACCTCCATACTCCCCAGGCTCCTCTCCGTGGTTTCACAAACAAAGCCTTTCGCAAGAAGCCCCTGGCAGGCTTTGGTACGAATGCATCAGTGTGTCGCAAGTCGATCTCATTCATGTGCCACGTTTGTGGGCCCACGAACGCATTGGTAGTGTCTGGCTGTAGCAACGAAGGGGAATGTTACTTTCTGACGCTCGTTTCTTCTGTCAAGTCAACAACATCCATGACTTCGGGTGTCTTCAAAGGTCGGCCCTCCGGACTCCAGTGCTTTTGTGGCGGCCTTCGAACCATTCATGAACAAGTAATTTGTCCGCGCCCACACGATCCTCTGGGAACCACCTCAGGACTTGTCTCAGGAGGTCCACCGCTCCGGGGATCGCTTCGCGCTCAAGCCGCCGCCTGATGGAGAACTCTGAGGTGCCTTCGACCACTGGGAATGCAGGCCTCTCGTATCTGTCCGCGGACGCAGCAACAGATGCGCTAATGGTCTTTGGTGGTCTCCACATTGTATTGGGATGTGGATTACAAGCCTCATAGCCGATGACTCCGTACAGATTATCGTCTATTCCGTGCTGTGCTGTGACTCGTTCCCGCCTATTGCTGAGGCTCTCTTTATCCCACAACAAGTGGGCGCCGTGGTCTGCTTGGCTGTCAGGGCTGTAGAACGAGCTAGACTCGATAAACTTGGACCTGTACGGCTCCGGCATTGGCCCCAGTGACAGCTCCACCTCCCCGAAATTAAAACCGCCAAAGAGTTCGAATGGGGTGCTGCCGCACAAAACCTCCACCATTGTGCAGCCGAGTGCCCAGAGATCACTCCCGATGCTGGGCTGCTGCGAGCCGAGCTCGGGGTGGCACTCAGGGGCAGCGTAGTTGTCCGGGATAGCTGTCGGTATGTTCGGGCATGCCGTTTCGAAGGCAACCCCGAAGTCGATTATTGCAATCTCTTTGGTGATGCACTCGTCTTCCAAATGTAACTCGAGGGGCTCTATGGCGTACAGCGGCGCATGAGGGCCGCATGGCGGCTCACCATCTATGGGCTCGTCGACCGCGTATATCTCATATGCTTCTGGGTCTGGCAGGTAAATCTCCATCTCCTCTTCAGTAAGATCCTCTAGCGTAGTCTTGAACAATATGTTCGGTGGCCGGAAATCACCGTGCCCGAGACCGTGGCGGTGCATGAAGTCCATGCCTTCGACGAGCTGGAAGCAAATATCCTTCAGCAATGAAGTGTCGTTCCAATTGTGCCTTCGTGAACTGGTAATGGAGGGACCCAACAGTCTCGTCACTATACAGATATGCTCTCCGTTCGGACCCCTTTGTGTGAAAGTTTCCAATGGCATGGCGATATGATTTTGCCACGCTTCTTCTGGAGAGATACCACCCAACATGTTTTGAACCCTCAGCTCTGGTAATTTATCGGACTGTCCTGAGAGCTCGGCTCGTAGGACCTTTACTGCGCAAAACTTGCCCTTCAACAGATCTCGGCATAGCCAAATGAGTCCATATGTTCCTTGTCCCAATTTGTGCCAGACCTCAAACCGGCTGTCCTCGCCGAGTAAGTCTCCCAGGACAACAGGATGGTGGCCTCCGGGCCTATACTGCTCAAAGTCCTCGAGGTTCTGATATTCGCTTCCATCCCACGGGTAATATCGCTGTCCCGGCGGCAACTGCACGTCGTCACCTGGGTATTCGTACCCATCATAACAAAACTCTTCAGAGAGATCGTGTTCCACGATATGTGGGGGATCGAAGCCATAGTCTTCATAGAAATTGTCTGAATCTTCCAGAAAAGTGGGGTGCGCTTCGTGGGCTGGCTCACCAAGATCATCTGCGGCATGGATAGGCCTACCGGCTCCCGAAGAGTTTTCCATGGCGGATATCTGGACCGGACCAGAGGCAATAGAACGGAGTTTGAGCAATGTGGATTGTTGGCTACCAGTCCAGGACTTATTGTTTATTCCTTTTCGCTCATGTTATTCATCTGCCTTTGGGGACAGGTATTTGTTAGGGCCGAGCGTAGCACTTGAGCTTGACTTGGATGGACGAGGGCTCTTTCTGGGAACAATGAGCCTTTGACCACACTGGTCATAATTGTGGGGCGGATCGGTACCATGCTGCTTTGTCAAATTCTTTGACAGATGTCCACAATTGGGAAGAGATCAACCTGAAATCATGTGTCATTTTGATTAATTAGAAAAGCTTTTAATAGCTCAAAACAGACTGAGCGAGCCGGTTGCCAAGAACGACATTAGACATGGTGTTTGTCACCCGGCTGAGAAGGACAACGAGCTTTATCGAGCCAATAGCTTTCATGATGGTGTGAATGAATACTCCAGACTTCAAAATGACCTGTAATTACCTAGAAATTTCAGTCTGTCTCGCGGACACGTCTCGGTAAACCAGCGACTCTCATTGCAAACAAAAAAGAGGAGCTGGCCAGGGAAGTCCAAAGCAAAGAGATACACAAGAGAAGATCAGGATCCCTCGAGATACACAACTACAAGATGGCCAGAACTCAAAAACCGTGGCACCCTTACGCGAGGCGAAACCTCGACTCGCGGCGGCGCCAGAAGTGTTTCAATGACGCCTTCAGCAAATACGTCCCGAGGAGAAGTGCCAGTGCCAGATACGCTGGAGGCACCCAAGTCCCACATAGGCCATACGTGTCCTCGTTGAAAAGCACGAAGGCTAAGGCTGTGAAGGAAGCGTGGAAGTATTGCAACGGGATGAGAATTGGCAAAGGCGTTGCGATGAGTCCCGGCGAACTCGACAGGCTGTATAAGGGCTCCGGGAAAGGGACACTGAGTGATCCAAAGATTTACTACAATACAAACACTAACAGTGTGTCCAGAGTGCTGCTTGAACAGTGCGAGAAGGTTGCCAAGGACGAGGCACGACGGCTTGGGATGACGTGTGCCGTCATCAGGTAAGTGACTCGCTCAAGTGACCCTTCGTGAAGAGGACATCCGGATGCTGACCATATTTACAGAGGCGATCTACACAACACTACTCGAACCCTGGATGAGTATACCAAAGAGGTCATCATGGTCGAGGACCCAACGAACAAGGGCAAATTGATACCGCTCTTGGAGCCTATCGACGATCACTTGACGATAGCATTCGGGTCAGTCCTCTATGACCGCACCACCTGTGGGACTGACAACATCCAGATACAGGGTCACCTGTTCCTCAATGTTGAGCGAGAACCCGGGTCAACGTCTTGGACAAACCAGCGCCACGAGTCCGGGCTCATTTTGCCAAAGCCGCTCTGGGACATGTCCAAGGAATTCGATGCTGGTCTTGCAAAGATCACAGGTAAGATGCCGCCCTGGAAGCGTAGGCACATCCAAGTTGACTATGAGGAGTGCGGCCAGGAGTACTGGGAGAGAGGCACGTCTCTCAAACATAACCCGTACAACTGGCGGTTCAAGAGGTAAGCTGCAGGTAAGTTGTTATATCTTGGTCTCATACTGCCAAGAACGAATAAAACGGCTCCCATGCTCGTGACCATCGGAGGTCTTCCAAAGTTGGGCAGAACTCAAAGTTGCCGCATAAACGATACAGATTACCTTAGACATCTACTTTTTCGGGTTATTCCGGAACAAGGCAAAAGCCTGACGGTCTCCTACTTCTAAGTTTCCTATGTACTCTCACAATCAAATTTGGTTTCTTACTGGATCAAGTTCCATAGAATCAGGTCACAGACTTCGTAGAAAAATCGACTTGCCGCCGTCCATCGAAAACTCTACGGCACAAAATTTTAGACGCTGATCTCACATATCTGAATTGCCAATGCACCAATGTGAACTCTCTTACAGTTGTCACTAGTCCACCTTTGTCGGACATGAACTCGAGCTTGATTACCTTATTCCCTGCACTCCTCTTTTCCTTCATCCCACACATTCGTGTTCTCATCCCCCCAGATGTTTCTTTCTATCTTTTCTCGGCGGTCTCACGCTGAATAAGCCACTCTTGCCACAGGATACCATATTATGTCAAAGCCGTGCTCACATGGTGACGGCTGGTGGTTCTCGTTCCGCGGCGCCGAGGCCAGAGCAGTCAAAGACAACATGAACCAGGCAGTGGAACTGAGCCCACGCCCGTGGACTTGAGATCTGGGCGAGTTTTCCCCCCCTTTGTCCAAGGCGCAAAGCGCTCCCGCCTGTAAACTCTGTGACCAGTACGAAGACGTTCATGCCAAACAAAGCTTGTGGGCACAAAGGCTGTGCAGCCTCACCTCGCCACCCAGACAAAGCCAACTGGCTCTAACCTCGAGGCAAGTGAGTCCACGCCGGGGTGGTAAACCAACCAACCAACCTGCCCTCCCTGCGTATCGTAACCCACACACCTTTTGACAAGTCCAATTTCTAGATCCAACAACAACGAGCCGAAGCACGCCACACGTCCTCTTGCTAGTACCATGAGTTGGGTCAGGAAAGCCATAGACGGCATCAAGGCCAACCCCTACGAGGAGCTCTACCCCACGGCATATGGTAACTCACCTGAGAAGCCAGATGTAAGCACCCACAAAGCCCAAGCTCCTGCCGATACTTGCTTTACTACCAATACCAAGCAAGCATTCCCCTGGAGACTGTGTTGACAAACCAAAACCCCCAGATATTCTGGGGCCTCAGCCCAAACGACATCCCAAGGCCGGTCAAAGACGCAGTTGAGACGGCCGTGCGGCAGCAGATAGTTGAGCATGGCCTCACTTGCGCCATCATCCGGTAGGATTGTCCTTATCCCGCCGCTGGCCCCCCCCCCTCCCAAGCCGAGAGAGCAACCTAGACAGCTGACACCTGACACCGGCCTCGTGCTTTCCAGCCTCGAAACGCTCGCCGGATACTACGACGGCGCCAAGAACAAAAACACCGCCACCGCTGGCGCCCCGGACGAGCCCGTCGGCCACTTCGCCATCTACCTAGGCACGACCCCAGCAGACGCCGAGCTCAAGGTCAGTCAGTCAGCCCGCCCTGGGGCCTGCCAGCCCTTGGAAACCCAACCCCCCCCCCCCCCGTTCCCGTCCATGAGCACCGTCTCGCCTCTCACGGCACTACACTAGTTTACTTACCTCACCACGGGCCTTGCCCTTGTCCCCAACCTCCCCTTGGCCCCCAAAAGGGTCCAAAAGCTGACCCAGCCATTTCCATCAGACGCACCTCCCCGCAGGCTCAGGCAAGCCAGGTCCGCCCCACGCGTCGGCCAGCCCAGCCGCAGAGCAGGATGATGATGGGGCGCGGACGCCGTCGATGAGTGAGATTGAGGAGGAATACAGCCAGGTGGAGAAAAAGTCCAAGGGGGCGAGCAAGAGGCTGTCCAAGATCGGGGCCAGTGTTGGGAAGTTTGTGCGGCTCAACTAGATCTATGGTACAATACATCCTTTTCGAGGAAGCGCGGAGGCGGGCGGGGGGCTGCTTGGCCCAGGCACCAGCTTCCTAGTAGGTATACAGTCACAAGGCGCAATGCCAATATTATTTTAATAGTTTTTATTTTCTTATGGTTGACCGATTAAGGATTATGACCTCGGGAGATGGATCAACCAAGCCCCTGTTCCTTGACTCCTCGCCACTCAAGAAAAAAAAAAGCAGAAAACACAAAAAAGACGAGGAAGACAGAGCACGTGGTTCCGACGGGGCTCTGTGGCGACGAATATATGCCTTTTCCCAGATGGACCCTTTGTCTCTGACTGTGATCAATTGCCCCTCACCGATTCCATTCCAATTGTCCCCCCCCCCCTGGGATCCAGGACGTAAGCTGCGCCTCAAACGACAAGTGCCGAGGCCGAGGCCATTGGAATTTGCGTTACCGCTGGGTTCAGGCAAAGCTGACAGCAGCCAAACAAGAGAGGAAGAGCGACATGAGAATGATGTGTGAGAGTCCCTTTCAGATACGAATTCCTCATACTAGTCGTTTTGGGATTGGTTCAGTGTGACACATCACTGGTCAGATTGTTGTGCGTCGACCAATGATCCCTGGGTGAACCAGTCTTGGCCATGATTGGGTCCTGAAGACACGTCTCCATGACCATGATACCTCTCAGGATGCAATCTGAGAAGGGTGAGATTGAGCCGGTGCTGTCGCAACAAGACCGCGGCACGATCCGCAAATCGCTAGTCGCTTGCCGCTCCGCCCAGCCCGACCTAGCATGGTCAGGCCACTCAATACAATCCCAAAGCTGCCAACAAGACCAAAAGTTCGCCGGCCGACATGTGCCGCTGTCCCTAGTACCGGGACCGACGAAACCGAGGTACAATGGTGCGGTTCATGATGACCTTGAGCTCCTCGGTCACGGCCGCGAGTATCTTGTTCTCGCGCTCCTGATCCCAGTCGATCCTGACCCAGTGGTTGGTCACGTGGTCGTAGTAGTTGTTCTTGAACTCCTCACGAGAGAACTTGATGACCTCGAGGATGGCACCGCTGCCCCTCTCCTTGATCAGGGCCTTGAGAAACGGGTGGCAGTTGCTGTACAGCCTCGTCGCAATCTGCTGACCCATGGAGTTCTCCTGGTTGTGGCCGGCGCGCGCGGCGCGGATGTCGGGGCGGATTCGGCAGTCGAGGCGGAGGTTCCTGAGGAGTGGAGCGTCACGTAGGAGAACGAAGGCCGGGAGGACCTTGTGGTTGTTCCAGCCGTGCTGTAGGATGGTGATGTCCCTCAGCCTGGCGATGGTCTCGGGGCGCAGCATGAGGAGGAAGGCGTGAAGGCCTTGGACGTCGCTGAAGAGGAAGGGCTGCTCCCAAAGCTTCTTGGAGGCCTCGCCGTGGATGGTCTTGGAGGCGGCGATGAGGTTGGGCGACAGCTGATTCTTCTTCCTGGGGAGCTGGTTGGCGGGGACTTCGGTCCACTTTCCGTGATGGTACCACTTGGGGGTGAGGAAGTAGGCTGTCCTGATGTTGCTGACGGCGACATGAACCGGAGTGCTCTCGTACTTGTCGGTGAAGGTGCGGATGGTGACGCCATCAGGGTCAACCAGGGCCTCATCGTAGACCTTCAGGCGAAGCTCTGGGGGCAGGTCCCTAAACGACAGTTAATACGGGTCGGGCTGTGGCCTGTGGGATGTCCAAGGTTTCGAGGCTACTCGTGTGGGGACAAAGAGTGTGGTGTGTGTGGGAGACTGGGCCCTCAGAGGTCAGGAGAACAGCTCACATGAGTGGGAAAGGCTTGAACTTGGGAGGCTTGGGCTTGGCCTGGAATCGGCCATTGACCCTGCCCGCAATCTTGCGCTATACACCAAAGTCAGCGAGTTGCGAGTGCGAGTGGCAGTCGAGAGATCGAGACAAACCTTCTTGAGCTTCCTGCGAGAGCCGTAGGTGGCGTCCTCGTACTCGCTGTCGTGGTCGTGGTCGTCGACACTGGGAGTGGTGGTGACCGTCTTGGAAGGCTGAGCACCACCAGCACCACCAGCAGCACCAGCAGCGTTGTTAGAGCCGTCAGAAACGGTAGAGTCCTCGCCAAGCTCCTCGGAATGGTAACCATCCTCCTCGTCCTCGAGTTCGGAGACATCGGCAAAGGATTTGTCGACGTCGTAGTCAACGGTCGCTCGCTTGCGCTTGGGGTAGCGAGCCTTGGTCACGGCTGGGGCCATGTTTGCTTGTGGCGTGTCGCGACTCTGCGGGGTGTTTGTTAGAAGAGCATTCGTGCAGAAACGACGAAAAGCCCCAAGCATCTTCAAATAAGACTGTACGTGTTGGTCTGAGTTTGCTAGTTTGGGGCGCCGCCAGTTGACGGCGTTGAACGCCACGGCCAGAGATGTCGGTGGAGTGTTCAGAAGGCGTTTATTAGAGTGACTTACAGACCGAAGTGAAGCCCTGGTGGAGTTGGTTCTGCGGCCAGATGCAATGGATGTAGAGAGGAGGATGCCAAAGGTGAGGCGAACCAGGTAAAGCGCGCCTTCAAAGTCAGACATGTGCACAAAGTGGCGATGCGGAAGCTGGAATTGTCAAAGCAGGCGACTTGTTTCGAGGATGCCTGTTGGGCTTGCGAGAGTGGAAGTCGCAGCTGCAGTGGGCGGAAGTGCCACCAAGACGGAGCTGCTAGTCGAGAAGCCAAGTGGGCCCACGCACGTCGCACCTTGGTACCTAAGGTACCCAGGTACCTCAACTTCAATCTCTGGACGCGATTCAAACGCCGCAGTGAATCAGCGCTGCAGGCTTGGTTGTGTGCAGGACCCGAACTGCCAGCAACAACCAGCGTTTGCTTGTTGTTGTGAGGGGAGGTGCAGTGGACAGACTGTGTGTGCGCACAGAGTGTCAGAGTGTCGACCCCTGCAACACGCTTTGCGCCTCGCACCACCTCAAACCACAGGCCGAGCTGCAACCACCGTCAACGTCCTCTGTCGATCCCCACCATCAAAGTCCTTGGTGACGCTGATGCTGGTTTCTGGAGAAGTGGGGCCCTGTCGTAGCTGGCCACAACCACAAGCTGACTTCTTGGTGAATCCAGGGCGAGAGACCCGCCATCAGTCACGCTCCATACGGCAGGCCTTCTTGGTCGCTATCGATGACGAGGTTTTCGTACACGTGGACCTCCCGAGTGTCCATTTCCAACAGACCCATGGGCTCCTCGCTCAGCCGCAAACCCGTCCCAGAAGTGCCATGCCGCGTCCCATTTCGAGACAGATGAGAAGCCTTGGTCGACATCCGTGTCGAGGTCCCCGTCCGTTGTGTCGAAGTCCCCGTCCGTTGCGTCCTTGAACTGCCAGATTGGGTCGTCGTCGTCACCGACATGGTCTAATACGTATTAGTTAGGTTAGGTGTCCCCCAGAACTGCCGTACTTGAGAGGGGCATCTCGAATAGAACAACAATGCGTACGTTTACATCGAGATTCACGGGCCACTTCCACCACCTGTCCGTGTTGTATGGCAACGGTTCCTTGTCGCCCAGCTCTATATCCTCGTTGTACGACGGCAGCCTGGGCTCTTTGTACCGCTGTTGCGACGAGTCCCCCGTCATCTTTGAAATTGTCTTTGTCACGGCGTGTCCGAATCGTCGGAGCAGCGGTCGCATGGCCATCAGCGACACCACCATGACCGATATACCTGCAGCCGGTCAATCACCTGATGAAACAGCTTGCGGGTGGAGAATGTCTTACACATTTCCACTGTTGTCCAGACACTCAGGGAGATGTCATTAGTAAGGAACAGCATGAACATGAACCGGCCAGTGCTGACGAGGATGGTGAACAAGCCAAGCGCAAAGATCAACGCCAGCCCGATCTTCTCCCTCAGCTCGGTGAACTTGAGGCTTTTCAGGATCGGGAATGGGAAGATGAAAAGCAGTAGCTCCCCAAGTATGTTCATGGCCCACGTCACCTTCTGAAGGTGGGGATTGGAAAAGGATGAGCATTTCAGCGGGTTCAGCCAATTAATCGACACGTCTACACCGCACCAGAACAGGTCGGCAAAGATAGCTGTCAGGCAGGCGAGAACAAGATACACGGCGATGATCCCCAGGAACATGCGCATCCTCGGCTCCGTCAGCGGTACCATCGTCGAGTAGTTCATGAGGAGACTGAACTTCGGAAAGTACAACCCAGCGTCGAAGAAAAACTTGGTCGAGAACCGGACCTGCCAGCACCGTCAGCCGTGGTTCCATCACCTGGGCAACCCCGGTGGCCAGCCCGTACATCCAGACCTCCTCACTGACCTTACCCAAGTACTGCGTTACATGCTTGTACTCCAGCAGCCCATCGACCTTGTATATGAGGGTGTCGCACATGATGTTCCCCATTGTGCACACGAGCGCCACCACCAGAAGCACATCGGAAACCCATGCCTGGTATTGTCGAAGCGAGACGCGGACCCAGAATCGTGCGAGGAGGAACGAAAATGCCAGCACGAAGAAACCCCATTCCATCGACTGCCGAGGTAAACACGTCAACACAAAACCTTTTCGGATACCACATCCTACTGATAAGGGACTATCGGTTGGGACTTACCACCGTCTCAGTTGGCGTGAGCATGGTGACGGGCTCGAGGATCGGCCGAACTCAAGCTACGCACGCCGGCTCCTGGTGTAGCCTCAACTCAAGGCGACGGGGCGGCGCATGACTGCTAAGAAGACTTGGGAAGTCGACTTGGCGGCAGAGGAAAGATGCAAGCCCGGTCTTGGGTGCGGAAATAAAGGTACAGGACTTCTGCGCCACCCGGCAGGGCGAGTTCCATGATTAAGGAGTAGGAACTTGCTATTCGTCGGCCCTAAACAGGGCCAACCACCAAGAGCCCTGCCGTCAAGCACGGCTCACTTGTCGGTCCCTGGAACGGGCCATCAAAAGTATGCAGGTCTATGCGCAGGGCTTCTGTCGTTTTCCCTCCGCCCGGCCAGTCGGATAATCGCATCGGTCAGACCTTATCCGTCGGTCTAATACCGGTAAAACTCCCCCAAAAAGAAGCACAGGCGTGACGAACAGAGCCTCGAGGGCCTCTGTCTGCTCAGTGCTGGTGCCGACGAGCCTTCCCTCCATCCTATGTAAATAAGGTTGACCCACAACTCCACCCAGCCCCACAGCCGCTGTCACCTTGCCATGGGAGCACCCGTTTCCGGTGGGAATGTGCCCATACCATTAACGTTAACGAGCCGGACTAAGGCCTGGGCCCACCATCGAATGCTTGCCTTCTGACATTACAGACCTACCACGGCGCGTCGACAGCAAACCCAGCTGTATCAGCCTCACACACACACCCATCGCCTGCCACCCACCGAGGGTCGCATGCTTCCAGCCCGGGGCCTGAAACAACGCAGCTGGGTGATCACGACTCACCCCCAAACCTAAGCTAAAGTGGATTGATCGGCACCGCCTACATATGTATGGAAGGAAAGCACACGTTATTTGTTTTCGTTTCCGTCGTTGCTATCACCTCGGCACCCAGGCCGGATACGAGCTCCAATCTACGAGCATTGAAATGGTGGCTTCACCCTCCCGCAGGACAAAAAAAAAAATCGAAACCCGTCGAACCGGTCAGAGAGCTTCTGGATGCTTGGTCTAATTAAGGGCGAACCACACCCTGCTCCCACGCAGCCCAACCTTAAAATGATTCAGAGTTTCTCCATAACGGCCGTTCGCACTCTGGTAGCTTCCATCCGCCCTGCCTACCCTCGGCCCATGTGCGTCACTTGTAGGGCAAAGAGAACAGTGGCACGTTTTTTTCTTTTTTCTTTTTTGTTCAGGCCTTGGCGCCTGACGTCCTCCACATTCAGACCCAACTCATGAATTGACAATGGGCCATCCTTGCGAATAAGCACGGTTCTGGAAGGCAGATGCGCCTCGCACGACGTGAAGATTGTGTTCCGGATACGTCTTGATCCCCGTTGTTGGTCACAAGGCCTAGGCCCTACGGACATAGTGACCCTGCGGGTATCGTGACCCTGGCCAAAGTTTCGTATCAACACCGAACTGTGCTGTTTTCCGTGTCGTTGCCTGTGGGGCGGCCGTGATTGGCCGTTCCTGATGACCAGCGTCCCCGGCTGCGGCGGGAATCGTGGTAGTGTCGGGTGAGACCAATTTGACGGGAGGTGACCTCGCCAATCTTGAGCATGAACATCATTGGCCATGAGTTCCTGGGTATGCATCACCAGTCTTGGTGATTATACTAAAAGGATGATCCTCCGGCCTTTTGACTACCCCTCGATGCATCGATGGCATCGAGATGACCCATCCCCGACACATGAATCAAACTGAACTTTGTATTTTCCATATACAGGGTATCTTCGTGTTGTCATTATTGCCGGCTTCCATGACCCACTCACATCTGCCCAGAAGCCGTTGCGTCCTGGCCACTGCCAGCCTCGAGGTCATGCCGACCAACCCGGTCCAAAGCCCGCTCAGGATCCGACAGCTCCGTTTCCGATGCCTGATCAGCACCCACGGTCAACTGCGTCGGATCCTCCGAACCGCCGCCCTGCCGCTGCTCATCATCCTCATCATGGATAACGACGACAGCCTCGCCGGGACCAGACAACCGCCGCGCTGAGCGCTGATGATTGTTGTCCTCGTCCTCCGCCTCCCCCTCCTCCGCATCAGCCTCCGTCTGCCCGGCCACCACGCGCACCCCCGAGCGCTGGCCCCGCGATATGGTCCGGGCCCCCGTGCTCGACCACCAGGACTCGGCGGCCGCGAGCGCCCTCAGCTTCAGGCTCCAGAACCCGGGCGAGTCGGGCGAGTCCGGGTGCGCGCGGCGGACCCCGCCGCGGCTGCCGCGGCCGGTGACGGTGCTGCGCTCTTCGCCGCTGCCGTGTCGCCGCTGCTGGAGGCTTGGGAAGATCCTGCGCAGCCCGGCGCGGGCGCGGTCGTAGAGCGGGTGGAGGACCGGGATGCAGGCTGCTATTATCGTGACTGATGCTTCTGTCCTGTGCGTGTTGGTTGGGCGTTGGTCAGCTGTCTGGCTTGGTAGGTCGTGGCTTGGGGCGGGGGGGGGGTGAGGTGGGTCTTACATTGTCCATATTGTGAGCTTCGGACTCGTCCCTTCGGAACGGCGGTCAGTATCTATCTTGTGCGCAAGAGCGCTGGGGTTATTCTGTCCGGGTGGGTGCTCACATGTGAAGTCTGGGTTTGAAAGAACGTGGAGGTGCGAGATCTTGAGGCAGGCCACCACCGTGACGACCAGGCCGAGCCCGAGGACGACACTGAGGCCTATCTTCTTGATGATGTTGAACCCCATCTTTCGGAAGACCAGGGCCGGGTATATCGCCAAGTAGAAGTCAACGGAGGCAGAGTAGGCTGGGGGTTATATATGTCAGAGACCGTCATTCGACAACGTCAACTCTGGCCACGGGGACGGAGACTGACTAGATGTGAAGTAGCACAGGTCCAAGTATATCTTCGCGCTGACACATCTGACAGGCGCAACCCGCTCGTCCCACGCAGAGGCGAGCGGGATGCACATGAAGGTCGACAGCGCGCTCACGACGACATAGTTGGCGATGCCGATGCAGACCACAGACGTCATGATCGTCTTGGTCCAGATGTCCGGCGTGAAGATCCGGATGATGAGCCCCGCGACGGCGGCCTTGGGCACCGTGATGGCGAGCAGCGCCGGCCACACCGAGACCTGGTAGTAGAGCTTGGCCCTGGCGCGCTGCTCCACCGTCAGGGTGTCGAAGTGCTTCCCCATGCCGTTGAACACGGTGACGATGCTCACCGCGGCGGCGGACCACAGGAATACCTGTCCTGATGATCAGCCATATTTCCGCCGGGCGTGGGCACGACTCGCGCAAGAGACTTGCTCTGTTATGATTAAGAGGGCAAAGAGTCAGCGGGACGGAGGCTCACCAGCGAAAGCACAATAATTATATCCTCGCGCCGTGTGCGACGCATCACGACTACACTACAGTAAAGCCGCGCCGCGACGAAGGCGGTGGCGCTGAACAGGGCGGCCGCGATGCTGCCGCATATGAGCGGCCCTTGGTCGTCGTCGCTCATGGCCGGGAGGGCAGCATGCTGGTGATCGGATGGCGCGTCGGGCCGCTTGATGCTAATGACCTTGGAAGCGAAGCACGGTCAGTTGGGGGCTGTTTCTTTCCCGCCCCTCCGGCCCCTATTTTTGTTTTGGCTTGCGGGCCGGACCAGGTTTTTCAAGGTATCTTCCGTGGGCAACAAAGGTAGAAACGTCGATCGAGGTTTGCAGGCAGCCCTGCGGCTGCCAGGTAGCCCAAGTAGGAGCTATGGGAAGGTAGAAGAGGGCAGGATGGGTATCTTTATTCCTCTTTTCCCATTTTTGTTCTAATTTTCTTCGAGAACATGTTGTATGGAGAGCATCGCGGACGGCCATCGGGTTGAATACTCGGACGAGGACATGCTATTGTGAGTTTGATTCTCGAGTCATGATTCTCTAAGCGAAGATGTTCTAGTCCAGTATTGATGTAGCCCTGCGGATCCGCAGCGCATATGCATCGGAAAAGAATCTCCAGGAGTATACTCATTGTGGTACCAGGCCAGGTGGTAATTCCCGTATGGAAATCACAAACAGCGCGTATCGTATGTGTCCGGTGCCAACAAGTTTGTGGGGAAAAAACAAGTTGTTGACATCTATCACTGTTGGCGTCAGTACCAAAAGCTGGTACCCTACGTGATCAGAGCCGTAGAGATTTTTCATCGCAAACGACCGCGTCGCCATGGATGTTACGAACCTACGATGCTTGGGCCAAATGGCGGCATCGTGGATCGGGAGGGATCCCCCGAGCATGGGACCAATGACCGGGCCCCGTGCGCGAGTTTCTGGTCGCCAAGGGGCCAACTTCTCAAATATTAAACCTTCGAGAAGGTTCAAACCTCGGTTGGGACACCAGGATTCCCGGCCGACGATCTCAGGCAGGTAACGTTGCCACTGCACGGCGGCCTCACTTCAGCAACCGCCGACGAATGATCAACGATGTCTCGTGTGTTTCGTCCAATAGACTCGTTTCCCACCCTACCGGAGGCGGCACCGTAGCTCCCACGCCAGTGTGGTCGGAGCCGGCTCCATGGCATCGGCCAGGAGTCCGGCTGCCATCTCTGTAACATGTCACGGACAGTCTGCCGTATGTGCGTCTGTTTTCGACATAAGGAGGCTAGGTGGTCTCTCCTTGCTTCGTTGACCGCCCTTGTGGGCTCCTTCTAGACCTCCACACATATATTAGCGCCCTAGGACCCATCACACCTTAGTATCTAGGTATGTACTTAAGGTGTCGATCGTACCGGCCCGGCCCGCATTGGGCGTTTCAGCTGAGGCTACTGCTTCGTTTTATAATCTATTCCAGGCTGTGGACTATCGTGCCTAAATCCTCAATAGCCGGCAAGAGCTTTTGAGCAGTACGTGCGCCTCAAGACATCCTGCTGGAAAACCTCGGAGACTGCGATCACATTTGGAGGAGCCACTGTCCCAAATGTTCCGCGCGTTGGTATCGTGGGAGACACAATGCATTAGCCATGAAGGGCAATATTCTTCACAATCCGGGTCTTGGAGGTCTTACTGAGCCTTCCAATGTGCTGTCCCAACGGCTTGTAAAAGTGGTGGCGCTGAGCGAGACCGATAATGATTGATGGGCGAAGAGTAACCCCAAAGGGCATTCATAACGACACAACCGCTCTGTCTCCCTCCCAAACCCGCACTTGGGTCTGTCGGCGGTGTTTGAGGGCATTTGCAGGTGTTTCAGAGGCAAATTCCATCACGCCAGACGCAGTCGACCCTGGACTACTCGTACACATACGGAGCGGCAGACAGCATGTTTTCACGCATGTGAAGCGGGACGAACCCCGGGGCTCACATCCTCCTACAGTGTAACTTCACAACATGTTACATTATGACTTCTTCAAGGACAACCGCAAACTCTTTTACGATCGTCTCTATTGACAGGGCATGTGCCTCTACGGAACAACCCGTCAACGAGCTCGTAATCTTGGTCGCACTTTAGAAAGGATGGCCGAGGGTGATCAGGTCTCTGGGCTTCACAAGAAGGCCTCCTGAGAAGGAAGCAACCCTAGACCCCATTCTGGCTCCAGTACCGATACTTTTTAGCTGATCCAAATCCAGGGGAGACGAGTTATTCATCCCTTGTCGGCCGAATTTCTGCTTGAGAAATTAGTTTTGTGAGTATCTGTCAGAGATGATATCCCATCTAGAGGGATAGGAGGGGCGGAATGTCCGAACCAATCGAAGTTATTTTCCTGCGATGCGAGCCACCAGCGCTGTATCGTTTCGCAACAGTTGGAAGGCTTCGTCAGGGGTCAGAGGTCGCGATTAGGCGACTCCCCACATCGTCGAAGCCAGGATTGTCGGGGCTCATCATCTGCAGTATCCAACAACGACGCCAAGCCAAAGTTGTAGACACCGTCGCGAGTGTCCATCGCACCACGCCTGGTATACAGCGATCCCGCCTCCTTCCAGATGCTTCATATCTGCTGCAGATGCGCCACCAGAGGCATTTTCTTCGTACGATAAGAGAGGAACTCGACGACGGTATCGAATGTGGTTGTAGTGTCGAATCCGTGGCAGCTCACATAGCCACCGGCAGGTGGGTCAAGAGCAAAGCAGCGCTCAGTGTCTCGAATCTTGCGGTTGAGCTTGTTGAGCTCGGTCACCTCATGGATGATGTGCATGTGGAGGATGTCTATGTTCTTCGAATTGAGGTACCGGACATCTCCAAGGCTGTGGTACGCTTCATAGACGGGGAGGCGATGCCGTGGACCCTGCTTAGGTGCGACAAATAGACGTCACGCCGTCGGTTCAATCTTGCCGGCTAGGCTATTAGCCAGGAACGTCGCAAGGGTGGTGCGAGAGCTGCTCTCCATGGTGGGAGTCCGCCCACTCGATGCATGTCAAGGGCAAAATGTTGGCTAGATACTGGACTTGCAAGCCTGCCCTAGAAATGTAACAACTAGATTTCCAGACCTTCTGTATGAATTTCTGTTGGCTGAATACTCAAACCTCACACCATCATGAAAGTTCCACAAGCTATTTCTCAGCCCATGTCACGCGGGGCCTGGCCTTTGGGCGCTCGTCAAGTCACGCACCATCATCGTGGTCTCCAAGCTCTCCTCCTCACCGTTTGCCCTGATGACCTCCACTCCGATAACCTGAAACCCGAGGCTTGCATACAGAAACTTTCCCATGGGAGTTGCGGCCAAAGTGACAGGCCAGCCTCGTCCCTCTGCGAGCTGGATTCCCCAATTAACCAGCAATGTGCCGGCGCCGCGCCGCCTGAACGAAGGGCGAACGATGAGACTAGAGAGGTAAAGCTGCTTATCGCCGAATGGAAAGTACGTCCTGAAGCGCTGCCCGAGTGCTGCGTCAAATGCCTCGCAGTGCGCCTTGTCCGCGTCCTTCCTCGTGTCAAGACCCGGATCTGCGAGGCTAGGGTCTTAGTAAAACGGGGCTTCGAGTGTGAGGGTAAAAATCAGCGCAAACACATGTACCTTCTTTTGGCATGGTGGTCACCGAAATGTCCTAAACGGCAACACCTACAATTTGGGCGGCGGCGTCATCGGAATCGGGATTCTGGAGGACGTGGACGACGTATTTCTGGGGCTGGTCTAGATATTCTTCGTACTCCTTCCACGTCCAATGCCAATAATCTTCAGGGAATTGGTGCCTCAAGGGATAGCAATATTGTACCAAGGGGTTCTCCTCGAAGCCTTCCACATCGACGCGAGTTATGCCGTCCAGGTCAGCCTTTGTAGCGTCCCGCAGAACGAACTCTTGCAGCTCAGCAGTGCCGGGCGAATTCGATCGCAAAAACTGTTCAGCCATGAGGCATAATGGAATCGGATAAGAATATGATCGACGAAAGGGGTATGGGCACTCTGGGAGGGACCCAAGGCATCAAGACCATTATTTTATGCCTCTTCCTCAGGCGAACGAACAGTTGGATGCAGTCAGCTGACGATCTGACCGATAGAGTTAGTTTATCTCCTGCGAATAGATACCAGCGCGCAACGTCGCACTGCATCAAATTGACCAATCTTCAATCCCAGACGTATGTACCCCTTTGTTGGCCCCTCGTGTTGGCTCGTTTGGGCTTGCACTCAGACTGCATCCGGGGACTGCGGGCTGGTCTGGCAGTGTTCTCAGGATTAGGACTCTTGGAGAAGGCGTGGTGGCATCTTGCTTTCTGTCTTTTCAAGAGACACTGCTGGCTGGGACTTGATCCGCCGAGTGTGGAACCCGATATATCATAAATCAATTTGCTTTTCAAAAACATGTGAACCGCTAAAGGCTTAGAGCCCAGAATACCTGATCGACGACGACTGCCACATAATACCCGCATCCTAGATGGTCACAGACGCTCTAATTTGTTGAGAGATGCTGGCCCAGGCCCCTCGTCTGATGGAGGATCCACTCCTTGGCAGTGATCTCCTCCTCCTCCTCCCCGGGCTCCAGCTTAGGGATCCCAGGCGCCTCCATCCTCTTCAGGATGGCCTTGTCCTCAGGCCGGACAAAGTACACAATAGAATAACGGTCATACCTGCCCTGCTCACCGGGGGCAGGCACGACCCGGTGCCTCCCGGAACAAAGCACGCCGCCGGTCCACTTGACAGCCGCATCCCCGAGGTTGACAATGGCGTGGTTCGGCGGCGGCGGCTGCACCCACAGCCACCGCGGCCTCTCGCCGTCCCCCTCGTCGCCGCCCCCCGGCCCCGCCGTGCTCTCCGGGTCGACCACGTTCCCAAAGTTGCCCCTCGACGGGTCCGACCACACCTGCAGGCCGCCCAGCCAGTTGAAGAGGATCGTGATGGTCCCAAAGTCGGTGTGGCCGGGCGTCTGGATCTCGGGCAGCTCGGCCGTCCTGCGCGGCGGGCCGTGCGTCATGCGCACGTGGTCGCCCGACTCCTGCGCCAGGCGGTGGTGGCCGTCGAAGCCGTCGGCGGGGAGGCCGAGGCGCTCGGCGAGGACGGAGAGGACCTTGAGGCCCGTCGCGTGCGCGTTGCGCATGTACCGCGCCAGCAGGTCCTTGTGGTCGAGGACGAGGGAGGGGTACTTCCAGCGGTCTGTGTTGTCGAGGATGCGGTCCTTTGCGATGTTCAGGAAGCCTGCTGTGTCTGGGGTGCCTTTTGCGTCTGTCTTGGTTGCTCCTATCCTCTTGAAGCTGGGGGTATGGTTTGTCAGGTCTTGGTTTTGTCATTGGACTTCACGGGGACCTGACCTGACCTACCCGAAGATATTGTCCGTCACCCCGTACTGCTCCTTCACCTCGGCCGGCAGCTTGAAGACCTTCTCGGCCAGCCTGGCGATGTCGTCGCAGTCGCGGCCCATGGAGTCCCGCGAGCTCCCGTTGAGGTCTAGGTAGAAGAAGCCCCGCTCCTTGCACGTCTCGAAGAGCTTGTCCTCGAGCGCCCTGTCCCCCTTCTCCAGCTGCGCGAGGGAGAAAGTCTCGAGCTTCACGCTGGGGACGTCCTTGGGGAAGGGCGGGTATTTCTCGGGGGTGAAGAGCGTGCCGTTGGCATGTGCTCCGTTTGTAGCCATTTTTGCGTGATTCAATGTTCTACTCGGATGTCTTTAGTTGTTCCTTGGCCTTGGCCTGCTGTGAGGAGGAGATGAGGAGGTTGGCTGTGCGATGGTGAGATGTGGTGATGAGTTTGCCGGTGTGTTATCATCAACGCCGGGCCGTCGCTGATGCATGTGATATATATATACATGCAAGCTGTTCAGACGTCACGTCCAATGGCGTCGTCTCGCAGCATCACTCAGGTGTGAAGTGTACGTGGGCCCGAGTGCGGGGAATCCTGCCGAGCCGATACCCCGGATCTGCGCTCCCCAGACCAACTGGATGACACTCGAATGCCGCTGGCGTCTTCCGGTCCCCCCAAAGCCAAGACGAAGCGACGCGAGCCCGAAGCCGAGTTGGCTCCCGTCCCCGCCGTCATTTTCTCACTTATCCTGCCTAATTGAGTAACAAAAAGGTTTAGAGTTCGCCAATAAGCCACCATGCTTGCCAAACACTTGTTGGTGTCTGGTATCTCGTTGATGGGCGGACCATGTTGTCGTTAACATTGTGGAGCATTTTTCTTGATCCGTCGAGTGGGAACCAGCCGTCTCAGTTCGCATCACGGGTCAGTGAGCCCGGGTGAAGCATCGGCACCGGCCAGTCATAAATGACCTCCTTACATGCACATGATGCTGGGCCTAACCGCATCCCAACCTCCTCGTGCCGCGAGTTAGCGCGTCTGGCGGAGTTGCCTATTTGGTTTCGAAGCGTCAAGTTGATCATACTTGAGCAGAGCAGGTCGAGTCTTCTCACTTCGTACATCACACGAAGGCTGTTGTTGCCCAAACAATGAAGCTCTTGTGAGTTCCACGACAGGGAGCTTTGGAAGTCACGTCCTAGACCGTACTTCAGAACCTGGGGCCAGAACGGGAAATCGAGAACTGAGATTTTTATCTCCAGCAAAATACATTTGTTATGAAAGATAGGCCTGAATTCATCGTTAGCAGGCGTGAATATGAGGAGCCCATGACTGAATGAGCGGGTTAGCGCAGGGAAGGCGAGCGGCGGGTGGAGCCCCGTGGGTTCGGGCGGAGAATTTTGGAGCCGCACCGACGACAACTCCTTCCTCTTGATCCCGCGAAGATTGGGCTCAGCACAACCGCCTGCCAAAGCTAGCACTTTGCCCGAGACTCTGCATCAAGGAGCATGTGGACTATTCAAGATCGGAACAAGGTCTCTTCTTCCTTTAATGCTCCCCGCTGGAGTACGGTCTCCGACCCACAGAACCTCGCCACCAGAGACAGAGACCTGCGAATCGACCGACAAGACATGGGGATGTGTTGAGGCAGAAAAGCCCATCCCGCCCTCCAGAAATGTGTGACGGTTCCTCTAGACTTGTGGGGAAGGCGACAACGTCCCCTTCATCCTGCCCCTTGGCCTCCGCAGCAGGACGAGCACATCCGCCTGAGCCTCAGCAGGACCTCGAGACCAAGGCCCCCGAAATCCTCAAGCCAACGGCGGCGACACAGATGACGACGAAAGACTCATGGCTCGGCCTTGTACGGACGTGCATGGCCAAGGCGGCAACGTCGTGGAGCTCAAAGCTGTGGTGGAGGATCCTTGAGGCGAGAAGGACCGGGTCGAAGAGGGGTCGGAGAGGAGGTGCGAACACATTGCGAATGTCCTACACACCCTATCACCATATGCGAGACATGATTCGGGCGTGGAGAGCATTGTCGTCGCTGGGCCGAGCATCGGTTGCGACGGCATCGTCGAGTGATGCGCGAGCGTTTCGAATGGCCTGGCCTTGACGACCGATGTCACCCATGGAGATCCTGAGGCTGTGCGAGTTCGGGGCGTCGCCGCCTTTGCCAAAGAGTACGAGGAGCTGTTCAACCGGCGACGGGCGTGTCGTGTGCGCTGCTTGGAGTCCGTTGTCGAGGTGGGCACGCATCATCATCGAGCATGGCTGTCCCTGGGTCTCATGGCAAGGAGGAGTCTGTCGAGGTCGTCGCGGCGAGCGAAACGACAGACGTCCTGAGCTCGACGCGAGGTGGGGTCCCTGCACCTTGTCAGCCGCAAGCTTGAGGGCGCGCTCGTTTGTTTGGCGTCTGACGCGTGACGGACGCGCTTGCGATTCACCTGGCCGATCGATGCCACAGCCCACCTGGCGACCCCCCCCCCTCGTCCGATCTCCCCTTTATCAACCAGCGATTTCAACCTGATATCAGCAAGTGCACTTGGCCTAGCGGTATAATCCATCGGATTGTATTTGCGACGGTCTGGGTTCAATCCCCACGCACAGCTACGGAGCCACTCCAAAACTTGTAGGACTCGTCCGTGAGGACAAACTTGTGCCTACACCTGGTTGCTTTGTTCTTCTGGAGTGGCGCTATCTACTAACATCTAGGTCATTCAAGTGGCTGGTGGTCGGACAATTTTTTTTTTTTGCTACTCTTTTGGATGTTCATCTGTTGTCTGTCGGTCGGTCTGTCGGTCGGTCTGTCCAGGAGGGCGGAGACAGTGAATCGATGCCACCGCCCACCAGGCAACGCCTACCAGGCAACGCCCCTCCGTCTGATCTCCCTTTATCAACAAGCGATTGCACACGCATATCAGCAGGTGCACTTGGCTTAGTGGTATAATCCATTATTGGGTTGTATTTACGACGGTCTGGGTTCAATTCCCACGCACAGCTTCGGAGCCACTCCAAAACTTGTAGGACCGTCCGCAAGGACACTTGTGCCTACACCTGGTTGCTTTGTACTTCTGGAGTGGCACTTTCTACTACTAACATCTAGGTATCTTCAAGTGGCTGGTGGTCGGACAATTTTTTTGCCGCCTTGTTGTGCGTCGGTCTGTTTGGCGAGGAGGGCAGACAGAAGCAGCTTCTCTACTTCTGCCTTTGTGAGCGATGCCACCTACACCGTCGCACTGCTGAATGTGGACCCACGAATTGCGGCCGCTGTGATGTCTGGATGTCTTGGTGCATTGCCAGTGAACTCGAGCCCGCCGCTTCGGTCGCATTCCACTGGTCACCGATTTCATCGCTTCCAAGATCTCGTGCGACGGTCCCAGGTCACATTAAGACATGGCCATCCTACCTGAAGATGAGAGTGAGCAGTGAAACAGTCGGCGCCTGAGACCCAAATTTGACAAGCCCTTGACCTGATTCCTGCTCATCGGACATGATGTTAGCATGAGAATTTCATGCTGCAACTTTGGGCACCTGTCAACATGGGTATTTATCCTATACGGCCACGGCCACTTCCAAGGTTTGGCGTCACGGTAGTACATTGAGGGCTTCCCTGACCTGGGCAAGTTCGATTTCTTGCATCCATTGGATTTGCATAGCACCCGTTTTGAGGAGGATTGTGCGAATCCCACAATCTAATCGGCCGGCACAACACCTCGTCCAGCGTTGTCTACTATCATACCTATGAAGGAGAAGCCTTCATCACATGCTAAGGCCATTCCGCTGGGACTATGATGACACAACTCGAGACGATCGGGTACGACAACGTAGTCTATTATAAATAAATATTACCTCCGGCTCATATCATTTGTCAATGGTGTGGGCGTCCACAGCAAACCAAGACTCGTGAAGCAGCACGAGACAATTCCTCTGTAACATGGCAACATGGTTCATTGAATCCTAAACCTCAACCTCTCTACAACGCAGCGCCAGACTTGTTCGCACCAGGGTACTTCTTAGACAGCCCAGTGAACAAGTCATCCCCCTCCATGGTAAGGTCCTTGAAGGCCGGGCACCCGGTATCAAGCAGCGGGCCGACGAGGGCGTCGTTGACCATCTGCAGCGGGACCTCGAGCGCCTGGAACAGCGGCGCGAGCGCGTTGGGCGCGAACGTCTTGACGACCTCGAGCGCGAAGCAGAGGAGGTTGTTGCCCTCGAGCAGCGTGGCGGCGTTGAGCAGCCCGCCCGTGACGTCGTGCAGGTCCACGCCGGTGAAGGTGTCGACCGCGCCCGTGTTGCCGCCCACGCTGCCCAGCTCCGGGTGCTGCAGGGCCCAGGCCACGATGTCCAGGTTCAGCGAGACCAGCCCGTAGTCCACGGGGGTGCGGAACCAGTTCTCGGGGATGCGCTCGTGCCCCGGGTTGTAGACCATCTCGCCGTCCTTGTCGTCGGTCACGGCGAAGAAGGACTTGAAGACGTCCTTGGCTGTTGGAGGGGGGAGGCGAAGTAAGCATTGTTAGTTTACTTTGTTCCTTATTGACCTCGCAGATCTTCTTGTAGTGGTGACGGTGGCAACCACTCAGATGGGATCGACTTACTCAGCTGCCCGCCCGGGAACTCGGCGGAGTGGTTGCTGAGGATCCGCCCGGCAAAGGCGAACCCGGCGTTCCTGGCCACGAGGCCCGTGTACGGCCCGTAGTAGAAGTGCGGGTTGATGGCGATGCTCTCGCGGAAGCGCTCGGCGGCGCGGTTGCCCAGGTCCTCCATCGTGATGACGTCGCCCTCGGCGCCGTCGTATGCCATGCGGAAGAGCGTCATGTTCATGGTCCACGCGTCGCCCGTGACGTACAGGTCGTCCCGCGTGTTGGACGAGTCGCCCTCGATCCAGTTGTGGCTGCCCTGCAGGCCCCGGGGCTTGCCGAGGAGGCCGAGCAGGTTGCCCAGGATGCTGGACGAGAAGAGGCTGGTGTCCGGGGGCGCGCCGCCGATGGAGAAGCCTGGTGTCAGGGAGATGGGGTTGCCCACGCCGACGGTGCCCATTACGGCTAGGACTGTGGAGAGCTCGATGCCCATGCCGTAGACTGTGGGGAGGGGGGGAGGGGGTGTCAGTGTGTGTATGCTTTTGGATTAGGATGCAGTATGGTTGGGGTCCATCTTACTTGTGTTCAGAGCATCAATCAGGTGAACCAACTGAAGCCGCATGGTTAGTATTCGTCATCTCGCATGGCTTGACTGACCACATCTATGACAGATGTGTGCTTACTCCGACAACACCATCATGAGGTATGTAGTTGTGGTTGGCCAGGGCATTCAGGCCGGGACAGGGCCCACGCTGATCCCCGGCATCAAAGTTTGGTGGAACAAAGGCATGTGCTCCAGTGACTTCAACAAAGGTATTCAAATCAGCCCACTATTCCACACATATTTCAGAGTGCGGATGAGGTGGCGCATACCGTCGATGGGCTCTGTCAGCGGATCAAACAGGAGCCTCTTCTCTTTCAGCTTGACTAGCTCCTCCTGGATCTTTGCAACCTGGGCGGAAGGATCATCAAGCCCAGCTGTATACCGTGGGACAAGCTTGGCAAAGTTGTCGAGCGTGGGGAAGGCGTCCACTGCCGGGCTGAGGACAGAAACAGCAGCGACGCATGCCTGGATGGCACGCGATTGGAGGACCATGATGACGGCTGTCTGAAGAGACGGGGAAAATCCAGGCAAAAGATAGGGTTCAATGACTAGTGGGCGACGAGAAACAAACAAGAAGGAGCGTGTATGGCACCAAGCGACGGGTACTGTAAAAGAGCGTTGCGAGTTGTAAAACCACACTCAAATTATTAGTATACTGATGTTTGAAGAGGAACTCAACTTGAAACGAAAGTAGAAATCAGCTATGCGTCGGGTCCTTTCGATTACTACCAGTGCGGCAGCCTAGCGACCCAATAAACGTCAGAGCATTACACAGAAAGAAGAGGAAAAGGGTAAGGGGAATCGTCATGAAGCCGAAGGATGCGCCCGTCGGCATCCATGCATGTCGCTAGCAGTTTGACCTCGGGAGCGCGGCCCTCGCCTGTCCCGTCTAGCTGGGCAAAGCCCCGAGCCGCTTGCCCCGGTGGGTATGGCGAGGGGGAATCGCAATACCGACCAACGGGTTGGGACCCCACCCGCCGGGCTGCCATTTGGTGGGCTCAGGTTCCGGCGGCTCCACAGCTGCGATCGCCGTCCTCGATTCCTTCGCTTGTCGTCCAGCCCCGGGGGCCGTGAGAGAGATCGACTAGGGGAGATGGCCCACTGACTCGCGTGAGGGGAAGATCTTCACCAACTAGAACTCTGAGGATGGGGCGCCGAGGGAGATGAGCCTCGGTCGTCCTCGCGTTCTTTATATTGAAATGAAGGATGTTCCCGTGATTTCCGTTGAGTAGGTTGTCTCTGATGTTATTCCAAGATTCCACCCTGGGGTGTCACATGCATCTGCTGGTAGCATGGGCTTGGGCATGGGCATCGGTAGATGCTTGGGACTATGTAAGTGACAGCCCGGGGAGATGAGGCTATCAACACGGCAATTACGCACGTGACCATATCCCCAGCGTCTCCAGTGTTACACCTGAACAAGGTTTCCACTACGAAGAGTCCACGAAGTCTAGACTCACCTGTGACCAGCTGGACAGGGCATTGTTCCCATCCATGCAAGAAAATCAGACTTTCGCACAAAGAATGTCGAGCATGTCAGTTGAGGCTGTTGAAAAGTTTAAACGTTTTAAAATTATTCTTACGGTAAATGCTAACTTTCAAGGGGGCATTTCGAGAAGATATGCCGGATGCAACGAGAAGCAGATTCAAAGAAGGTATAGTCGCAGGGTACCAGGCAAAATGACCGAGGAGAAAGGCCCATCGAATAACTCACTGCCATGTTTTTCCCGACCCAGCCGTGCCGGTTTCCACATCTGTGAGGCGGATGAATTCGGTATCCTCGTTGCGCTTCAATGATATCCGCCGAGGCTTGGGCCGGTCCGTATTGGACGTACCCATGGTACCCACCCCTGAGTTGCCAGGCGTCTTGCCGGATGAGCCGCCTGACACCTTGCTCTTTACAACTGTCCACGTGGGAGTGAGACCGAGGGCGGAGAACAGCTTGTAGACGGCGGGCAGAGAGGCGCAGACGATGCCTGCGTACAGCTCGATGGTGCTCCAGTAGGCGGCATCCACGTAGTCGTAGGTGATGTTGGTCGAGTTGGCAAATAGGAGCAGGGTGCGCAGGCGGATAATGCTGGCTACAGTGACGCTATTCGGTAATGAATAGTCAGCATATTCGATTGTTCCACAAGGAAATGCTGAATTGAGCGGATCTGGCACTTACAATATACCGAGCGAGAACATCACCATCAACATAAGCTTCTTCTGCAGGTTCACGTGCAGCTTATAAAGCTCACGCAAGGGCAGTACCAGGATTATGAGGTCGATAATAATGTTGAACGTCGCGCTCATCCAGCCTTGGAGGTGGATGTCGTTGCAGTGGCCCTGGTGCCACTCCTCCAGCTGGAGCCATGCATGGTTGATTGGCGAGCACTGGAGCAGCGTGGCGAAGAAGAAGGAGAGAGCGTATGCGACGCAGAGGCCGATGGTGGCCCAGATAGGCCGGTTCAGTGTGGTCTGCTGGAAGACTCGCAGCAGAAATAGCAAGATGGATATCTTGTTCATGGACTGGGCTAAAAAGTAGAACAATTCCCCGATGAAGTAGTACTGGTGGTTTCCAATCAGCCTTTCCGTACGTCGAGTCAAGTGAATCCGGGCGATGGTCCCCCGAGTTATTGCTCCACTTACGAATAGAACGTTTTCGATCTTCCAGAGAGGTAGGGTCCACATGTCTTTGCCCAGGCCGTTGTCAGTCACTGTTTTTGGCGTGTCAGTTTCAAGTCCTCCTCCCCGATGAAAGTGCATGCGAATCCACTCACAGGTAAATGCGAAGACGGTCGGAGGAACAGTGAGCAGTAGGGTAGCGGTGATGGTCCAGTCGTCCCAGCCAAGCTCACGTCCGCCCTCGGGAATCGCCGAGCACATGCGCAGGATGTACACAAAGGCAGCCAGAGCGAAACCCACGGCGGCTACTATTCTTGGTTTTGCTGATACGTCCCGTACTGGGGCACCGCACAAGGTCGACGAGCCATTTTTCGTCACTGCAACGGACACGGAGGGTTAGCATATGGCTTTGACAACATGTTGTGAGGGCCCACCACCTTGCACCAAGTGCAATTAGATGGAATAGCTGCTGGTTCAAAACATACAGAGTGCATCTTCCATGCTGCATCCTTGTAGCACACAACCAGCGAGCTGTGTGTTGAGCGGAACATCTGTGCAGAGACATTCGATGTCCGTGAGGGTGCAGACAGATTTTGGTACCAGTTCCTGGAGGCACACGAGCTAGAGACGGGCCGGAGCGGAAGATCAGCAAGAGAGCAAAGGGGCCGCTAGCGGTGGTGGGTGGATTCACACGGGACCGAAAAGTAATGGCAGGATGCCGGACGATCCGGGACAACACTTACGGTGCAAGTTGGGTATAGCTTCTTCGCGAGCTGCAGTGCGGCGGCCTGCGCGGCAGCATCCGCTTCAGATGTGGCACCGCTGACCACGGGGACGCATGAAAGAGTTGCGGCAAATGCCGCAAGCAGCCAACTGAACTGCATCATATGCCCCAAATTTCAAATCTGATGAATCAGATAGATAGATCGGTGCTTCTGTGCGTCGACTGGTGCGTCTTCCACGTGGGCATAAGGCCTGCAACTGTGCGGACAGTCTGACACAGACGACGAGGCAAATTCCTCTTTTCCCCAGGATGTCGGCGAGCTGCATTCTCGAAATGGAAGTGCGCAGATGTCAGGGCGGGCACGACTACGTTTTATTCCTGGGCCCCATCCTCGAGAATCCCGCATGCATGAACCTCTGACGAGTGGTATCACCACTGCCGTTGCAGGGCCCACTGACTCATTTTCTTGGGGGGGATCTGCTTAGGTTCTCTTCCCCGATGGGTCCAGGCGGGAGGGGTTCATGGCCAAAGGAAAATCTCCGCTCACCTCGCGATATCTGGTTGTCAGATATGAGCTGTTCTGTATCTCGCCAAGGGCGAGGCACTGGAGTGCCTCGCTCCTCGCTTGCAGGGGATATGCCGACCCCAGAAAGGCCTCGCCCAGACAAGTCACGACTTTGTACATTGCCGTGACTTGCCCAGATGTTGCGGTGGATACCAGGTAACTGTGAAATTGTGAAAGTTCAGTCTCCCCACAGCACAGATCAGCCCTCAGCAATACGGCCATCGAAATATGGCCTGAGCGAGCACGTCACTCGCCTATAGACCGTGTTATCAAATTCTCCGGGAGGAGATGTAGTCCAATATCGTGCACGTGGGTACCGACGGGTGGAGGACAAGGGATCCTTCTACCCCGTAAACCTAAAATGGGCTTTAAACGACCGTTACGTCTGTGCTGCCTTCTATTCCAAGCGAGGGCTGGCACAACGTGGGTTAGCGTCCATGCAGGAGACTTCTTCCCAGGCGCGCGGTATAGCCTTAGTCCATCATCGATATATCTTATGGCCCTTGCACGAACTCCCGCACCCCACACGTAACATTGAAATCAGGCCACTGTCTGACTAGCGCACGTGGTAAAAGAAGCCGGGGTTTGACATCCCTGCCAACGGTTGCTTTGACGGGATGACAGCTGGCTAACATCGGTTGACAGGCAGGGATATCGATACATTATATATGAAAGCATTTGCTGGGATACAACTACATCACATCTTTTGCTACGAACGCCCGCCGAATACACCATGAAATCATGCCGTAGTATGGGGTCAGTGAGAAAACACCCCCCAAGTCTGATTCCCTCTAAGTGCACTTACTCACGGGTGATCCGCTTCGCTACCTTTCCGCGGTATGCGGGTTCTAGTGAATGTTGGAAGGATTATCATTGCGAAACTTTGATCTATCTGACAGATCAGTTTTAACGCTTGGCGTGCCCGCTCAGCTGTGGGATGCTTCTCCACATATTAAGCGTTGCCATCCCTGGCGAGTTAGATGCCAGTACTACCCCAAAGCTCAGTGAGATCGTCAGGAGTAGGACGAAAGAGGTAAGCGTTCGACATTCGCCTGGCCCCGCCAACCCGTGCACGCGAGGTTCGTCGCTTAGCGACATTTTTCCAGGCGAGCCGGCAATGTGGCCAGCCCGTTCATCCAAGGGGACTTGTGACACGATGCATCGGACTATTCATATCGGCATCGCCATCGGGAGATGCGATGGGGCAGATATAACCCTGGCGTCTTAAGGCTCCCCCAGACTTTTGCTTCGTTTTACCTGCTTGGCTTCACGCAGGTGTTGTTTCGAACGCACAAGCTTGCGGCGTCTGTCACTCATTTTTGGAACTACTAACTGCCGTGTAGGCTAGTCATTCATTTACTGTATTTTGTGTTTCACGTTTTATCCCCATCACTCTCGTTCAACAACCTTACAGGGATTCTGTGCACCACAGCACAAGCCGTCATGAAGTGTCTTGTGCCTACTGCAGCCCTATTTGGGGCTGCACTCGCAGCGTAAGTACCGATGACTCCCGACAATCCAACCCCAGATACCAGTGGCCATTACACCGCTCCTACAATCTGTTTGCCCGACACACCGAAGATCATGCCTGATTGCTAACTAAGGCGGTCTAGATTCGACCAGCCCCTTGGCCCAACCATCACCCCGGAGGGACCGAAAGCTAACTCCACATACGACTATGTCGTCGTCGGCTCGGGACCTGGTGGTGCACCACTCGCTGCTCGGCTGGCCTTGGCCAACTACAGCGTGCTGCTGATCGACGCCGGCGAGGACCACGGGACTGATCCTCAGATAGAGGTGCCAGCCTTGCATGTCTTGTCATCAGAGTACAAGCCGATTGCCTGGGACTACTTTGTCAACCACTATTCCGACCCCGTCCAGGCCCGCAAGGACAGCAAGTTCACCTACCGGAAGCCCGATGGCGACTTCTACGTCGGCCTGGACCCGCCGGAGGGCGCTGAGCCACTTGGTATCCTGTACCCTCGTGTCGGAGCCCTAGGTGGTTGCTCCCAGCACAACGCCCTAGTTACCATCCTGCCACAGGACAATGACTGGGAGTATATCGCTCAGATCACGGGTGACGATACCTGGGGCGCCGATAACATGCGCGAGTACTACAAGAAGCTGGAGAAATGCCACTACTTACCGGGAGGTCTTGATAGCCAGTCCCATGGTTACGATGGGTGGCTGGAGACGCAGACCACTCCCGCGATCCTGATTGCCGAGGATCCCAAGGTCCTCTCCCTCGTTCTCGCAGCCGCCACCACCATGGGCAAGAGCCTGGTCGACAAGATCCTCCACACTGTGACCGGCCTGCTCGAGATCCTGGTCCTGGATGTCAATACGGATTTGTCTACTCGGGACAAGTTCGATGACATCTACCAGATCCCGCTCTCCATGAAGGAGCCCGACCTGTCCCGGTCCTCTCCCCGCGACTTCGTCTATGACATTGCCACCGCCACCAACGAGGATGGCTCCAAGAAGTACAAGCTCGATCTCGCCCTCAACACCCTCGTCACGAAAGTCAACTTCGACCAGAGCGGCGAGAAGCCCAGGGCCACTGGTGTGGAGTACCTGTACGGCAAGAGCATCTACCGCGCCGACCAGCGCGCAAGCAAGACAGAAGACGGCGGTATCCCCGGCCAGGTCTTCGCCAGCAAGGAGGTCATCGTCGCGGCGGGTGCGTTCAACACCCCCCAGCTCCTGAAGCTCAGCGGCGTGGGCCCCAAGTCTGAACTCGAATCCTTCGACATCCCCGTGGTCAAGGACCTCCCCGGCGTGGGCGGCAACATGCAGGACCGGTACGAGATCGGCATCGTGGGCAAGGCACCCACCGAGTTCTCCCTGCTCAAGAAGTGCACCTTCCTCGATATCAACGGCACCGAGGGCGGCGACCCCTGCTACGACCAGTGGCGGGACGGCCTGGGCGGCGGTCTGAAGGGCGGCTACACCACCAACGGCATCGCCTTTGGCTACTTCAAGCACTCGTCCGTCGCCGAGAACGGCGACCCCGACCTGTTCCTCGGCGGTGTCCCCGCCGCCTTCCCCGGATACTACCCCGGCTACGCGGCCGACGCCGTCTCGGACCTCAGCATCTGGACCTGGCTGACGCTCAAGGGCCACAGCCGCAACAACGCCGGGGTGGTGAACCTGACGAGCGCCAACCCGCGCGACACCCCCAACATCACCTTCCACAGCCTGTTCGAGGGTGTCGGCGGCGAGAAAGACCTCCAGGCCGTGTACGAGGGCATGCAGTACGGCATCCAGGCCTTCGAGAACCTTGTTCCCCTCGACGGCTCTTTTGAGCGTATCCGCCCTCCCCCGGAGATCTCGTCCGAGGAGGACCTCAAGACGTGGGCTAAGGACGAGGCCTGGGGCCACCACGCCAGCTGCACCGCCCCCATTGGCGCCGATGACGACCCGAACGCTGTTCTGGATGGTAACTTCAGCGTCCGTGGCGTTGATGGCCTGCGCGTCGTGGATGCCTCTATCTTCCCCAAGATTCCGGGCTTCTACATCGTGCTGGCTATCTACATGGCTAGCGAGAAGGCTGCGGATGTCATCATTGCGGATGCCCTAGCCGCTGCTGCTTGATCTACATAAAAATGTGGATATGCCAGGAGGCATGACTCAAGCTCACCTACTTAATTACGTTGATTCATTATAGACTTAATCATAATTATTCACAGCGTTTGCTGTTCAATGTATTGTAACCTGTCACCCTTCGTTGAGGTTCGACTTTTGAGTGGCTGGATTCAAGATGTCTGCCACTGGGAGAACTCCCTTTGTTAACTTCTCGTCTGCGTCTCACCTTTCTTTGGATCAACTTACCATGCCTCTTCTTCAGCTTCGTGACGCACTGCGGTCTCTGTGTGTGGCAAGCAATCGACAAGAATTGGGCGTGAAAATCACGTGATCGATAACGAACCCTTTGCCTATTTCAGCATCTGCCAAAGCAAAGACCACAGAGACATGGAAAGGGAAGTGTTGTGAATTGGATTACGATCAACCTGGCCTGTCGCGGCCGTCCGCGGAGAAAAGTGCGTGGCGATATCCGACTAGTCTAGAAGCCGCCCTTTGTCGATCCCTCTATTCAGAGGCGGTTGAAGCTATCGACATCAATTGCGATCGAAATAGCATTGCTCATCACACTCATATGCTAGACTCAACGTTAAAAATTTCACTAATAAGCCCCACCCAAGTTCTGAGTTGCCTCCTTTGACATATGGCTTACTAGTACTTTAGAGACAGGGGGGGCACCTTCGAGATTTCCGTTTCCCATGCGAAGAATTGTGCAGATTCATCAAATAATTTATGGCAAGGACAATACAGTTTCGGTCCCAAACCTTGATCTGTCCACATTTCCGTCTGGGCAGTCTTTCGTTCATGCGAAATCCCTATTGGACGATGTACGAAAACCTTATTGGATTTCGCTCACCGTCTTAACAGGATCGGAGCACTGCACTGCCAAAAGGAGACACAAATCCATGCAGAAGCTGAACACTCGACATATCTAGGTACCCAGGTATAGCAGCCTGAAAATATCTTAGGCTTGGATACTCACACCACAGATAGCGCATTTCTTGCGCACCGAATATAGAATCGGCGATGCCGGACAACCAGGGGAAGACATCGTGCTCCCCACGTCGAGCGGGCAATCACGTTTCCCGAGCCCCTGTCTATCCTTGGGCATGATCGCAGCGGACGGCCCCTACGCCGCGGCGAACCCGTCCATACCACCGGCAAATGTCCTCGTCTGCAGCACAGACATGTGCGATACGGCCACCACAGCGGCAGAGCAGGTGGGGGCATCTCAGTATCCCAGGTCCTGGTGCTGACGTCTCACCCGGAGCTGTCCCTGCAGAGTGTGAATGGCTCTATCGGGTATGAATTCGCCTCCCAGGAGATTATGCTCCAGTGTACGAGACCAACAGATCCTGATGGCACCATGCCGACGACATGCAGCCCCTTGGCGCAGGATACAGAGCTCTCGCACACCTACCCGCGCACATCTCAGGGTTCCAGGGGTACTTCATCAACGAGATGCTACACAGCGACATGGTCCACAAGATGCCCATCTCACTAAAAGGGGGGGGGGGGGGGCGGCGCTTCGATACGGCCGGCTTCTTGCTCCACGAGACCCTCCGCATCACCAGCTTCTTCACCGGCGCGCCGATCTACGAGGCCATCACTAAGCTCAACGTGTACATGCCGGCCGTAGTGCGGGAGCAGACTTTCAAATTCCTGAGCGTCACGTACAGCGGCTGCGCGCGGCTGCGCCCGGGAATAGTGCTGTTGCGGTACCCCGGTCATGGATGGGAGATGGAAATGATGGGGAGTCGCTGCTCATCAGCCAGACTTTTGGAGCGAGCTGCACTACTGTTGCGCTGACACCCATGCCGCCTCATCTCTGGGGTTTGGAGTCTCTTAGGAATGTTGGTGAATTGTTACTAAATATGCGGATGAGGCTTCACGCTGATGATGGCCGAGAAGTGACTGTGGGTTCACCTGCCGAAGCACTGCTTAAAGGGCCCCCCCCTCTTGTGATGGTAGGCCATTACAATGATCCCTCGGCAAATGCGGCTGTCTCAACTGCAGATGGCTGTTTCCGAACTGGAGATAGTCTTAAGGTTGTACATGGCCGTGTTTAAGTTAAAGGAGAGGAAATTAATCCCATTCGATCCCATACCTAAGCTAAATGATCCTCAAATAATGGAGTCGCTGTCCTGAGTCCTGTGAAATGGCCTAAATGCCAACTGTTCTTGTCATCAAGGCCAAGAGACTTTGATACCCTCGGAGAAATCCGTCTGCACGATGTTCATATCCTTCAAAGTCCGTGCAGGCTGTGTATTCTTGCCCATGATGATGTTGTGAAGTGTTACCCCGCTCACCATCGAGGAGGAATTGTAGCCCTGGATCCAGCCGCCCTTGTACCCAGCAGTGCGCGCCCTGACGTTTTCCACACGGATGTCCTTCACAGGCCCGACCCCCTTGCCAGTGTTCTCTACAAAGACAGTAAGCCAGGCGGCTTGGCCGTGAGCGTTACCATGCAGGCCCTCGATGTCCATATTCCGGAAAGTGATTCCGCCAGCTGTCGCCGAGCCGAACTTGTGGTCAATACCCATGCCGACTGCGGCGGTATAAACGACGCTGTTCTGGAACGTGACGGTGTCGTGATCCTGCCACACGCCCTGGCCGATCTTGTAGCCGTAGCAGTCCGACCACCCCAGGCAGTCGTCGAAGAAGACGTTGCTGAGTGGCCTAGGCGGGTATGGGTACGGCACGGTGGTGCCAGTCTTGTATGGCCACGTCTTGGCGGAGAAATTGTCGTCTTTGGAGATGGCTATGGCGCGGATCACTCTGACCTTGCTGGACTCGACGGCGTCGAACCCGTCGTCCTGTGTGACGTCGAAGCGGTTCAGGATCTTCAGATTAGTGAAGGTGACCTCTTCGGACTGGATTGGCGTGACCGCCCAGAAAGAGCTGTCTCGAACCAGAATGCCGTCGCAGTTGAAATTTTTGGTGCCGACTGGGACCAGGAGGTCTGCCAAGAACTTGTTCTGTCTAGTGTTGTAGCCGTTGCCGTCGATGGTCCCGCGACCGAAGACCTTGATGTCGGTCGAGTCAAATTCGGTCTGAATCCACCATGTGCCCTTCATATTGAGATCAGACTTGGTGAAGAGCGCCTTGTAGTCTGCTGGGTTGCCAGTGAAACGCAAGACCGACCCGCCGGCAAGGTATAACGACGTGTGGCTGCGTAGGAGAAGGTTTCCGATGGTATATAGGCCAGCAGGCACGTAGACCGTGCTGCCCGTGGTCTTGGCGGCTTCGTCTATCGCCTTCTGGATCCCATCAGTGACAGTCTTCCCAGTCTTGTCCGCGCCATATTTGAGGACATTATAGACGCCTGGACCATCCGGCTTAGGGACGTCTGTCTCGGTGGGATCCGCAGCGATCACAAATTCTTTCTTATCGTCGATTTTCACGATCAGGTAGTGTGCCTTTTTGACGGAGAAAACGAGTGTGTCGCCCTCTACCTTGGCCTCGATTGGCAGTCTCCGCGGCGTGATGCTGTAGGATTTGATGGGTTGGTTGTCGAGCTTTCGAATGCGAAATTCGGTCGGTATGCCTTCGTCCATAGACAGCTGCACGTAGTCATAGCGAGCGTAGCTGACCGTGTACATGTCTGTGCCATTGACCATTAGGCCGAAATGTGCCGATTTCGCGTAGATGGAAGGACGTTCATATCTGACGACCTCGCCACTCACCGCGGCAATCATGCACGACGCCGCGGTGAAGAGTGCACGAAGAAGCATGTTTGGAAAGGAATTTTAAGCGGGGTCGGATAATCGATCAACTTAACCCAACAACCTATACTGGAGAATCTTAGAATTGTACCTATCATCGAGCGAACACTAATGTTTATTAAGTATTGTCAATTTTTCCTTGGAAGCTTTGTTCCTTTGCCATCCATCGTTGCTACCTAAATTTCCAAGACATCCAGAGCCGTCAAGCCATGTTGGGGGCAGCAGGATCTAGGATTGTAGCCATTCAGGAAGGTATGCATGTGAGGATTCATCGGGTCCACTGCAGCATCCTATCCTCTGCCGTTTCCCAAGCTTGGCCACTTGGTGGAAGGAGTCATGCCAAGCTTGTACTACAAGACACACTGCCACCAAATTACCATGCACTCTGATCCTTGTAACCTGGGCAGTGCACGCAGGCAGACACAAAATCGACCTTTGAACGCACCTGTCCTAATACGAGCCTTTCCTCGGTATGTTGTAAGTGGGAATTGAGTAGATTGACGAAATTGGCTTGTGAGCCTAGAATCCGAGCGTCCCCATTGATATATACAACGTTGTAACGTGCAGCACAAACAGAATATAACACAGTATTCTCAAAGATGCCGTGGCGTGTTTCCGCCAATGTGCATGCTCTCACTTCACCTTGTTCTTGAAAGCTATTCTTCTGAGTTCGTTGAGACGTTTTTCAGATGCAAGCACACGTCGGAAACTCGTAGTATGCGAGTGTCATGGCACGATCATGAAGTGGTACACGGTCTGGGAATATTAGTTAGCAAAGCTGGAATTGCCGCAGTGGCTTGGGAATGATTGGCTTGCATTCGATTTCTTGGTGAATCACTGATCAAATTGTGATTTCCAATGGCGCCTACGTTTCAGGCCAACGAGGACTGCAGACGATGCTCTGACAATGATCCGTAGTATCGCAACTACCAATTCGTCTGGCGCAGCCATTGCCGTGCCCCAATGGATATGTGGAGGGCGGAGGCCGAAAGAACGAGATGACAAGTCTGCGCAGATATATTCTGGCTCCATATCACACCTCTGAAACGACGTTGTTGGTGCAATGTTGTTCAAATCCGACAAAGCCAAATCGTGTTCGAAGGGGGCTACCGCCGCATACATGGGTATATACTATCCGAGCCTTGCCTCTATACTAAAGGGTCAGGCTTAGAATATGACTATAAACACAAAGAAATGCATTCTTAGTACATGGCATACACGATGCTGTCTTCGTGCCTGCAGTAACTAAGCTGCGACCTTGATACGCATGCGCATACCATCCACCGGTTTGGAGGTCACCTCCCGAGCCTTGATGTTTTCGATATCGGGTTAGCCAGGGGTCCTTTACTGAGCTTAATCGGCTCTGACCTTCGAGGTTGGAATACTCACATTGTACAACTCCTCCGCCACCTTATACTGCCCATGAGCATTCAGCTCAGGCTTGCCACTTTCCTCGTCGAGAACTGCCGCCCCTTGGCCCACCTTGGAAAAATCAAAGTGCCGAGCCACCAGAGCCATAACAACACGCACCTCTATGTTCGCCAGCTCCTGGCCGATGCAGTTTCGCGGGCCCCTCTCGAAAGCCCTGAATGCAGCCGCTGGTATGGTGTCAGAGTCCTTCTGGAGCCAGCGCTCCGGGACAAACGTGTTGGCCGTCTCACCAAAGACCGATGGGTCCCTCTGGATGATAAAAGGGACGTGATACACGTTCAACGCGTCCATATGTAGCTCGCGAGCCTCGCCTTTGGAGTCGGCCACCAGAGCACTGAGTCCATCACCCGGCTTGGTCGTGCGTGATGTGGCGCCGGGGGGCCACAACCTAAGCGTCTCTCGGATCACGGCTGACGTGTACTTCATGCGGTTGACGAGCTCCTCGCCACCCGGCGCGAGGAGGCGAGAAGCTACTGCTGCTGGGCTTGGGTCTGGGCCAAAGATTTCGTCGAGCTCGGCACGCACTGCCTGTAGTGCCCGCGGTGTGCGTGAGACCTCGTACAGCATCCACGCTATCGTGGTACTCGTGGTATCATGACCAGCAAACAGAAAAGTACTAAGCTGGTCGCAGGTCGTGTCCAGCATCTTCGATGACAGCGTGTCCACACCCTCAAGACTCATAGAGAGTATGCTACGAGGCCTGTTGGTTCCCACATCCTTCTTGCTAAAGCTCTCTTGGACGATAGCCTTGAGTGACTGGCGGACTTGTAGAGCCAGTTTCCTTCGTTGCCATTCCAGGCGCGGGGTGCACCACCACGGTAGGTCAAGCTGCTCAGCAGTGTATGTGCGAATAAGCGTCTGTAAATCCCGAGTCAACTTTATCGGGTGGGCGGTTTGGGATTTCTGGTGGATGTTAGAGTCATTCAGGCAAATCCTACAGGCGCTTTCTAATAACCTACCATGTCGGTATCAAGCGCAAGATCACCAATGACGTCGAAGGTGAGATCTGTAGCCAGTCTCTGCAGAGAGAATTCGGCGCCGGTCTTGGCGAGGTCCTCGAGACGGTCGACGAATGTGGAGGCCTTGTGTAGAATGCCTGGCAACAGGCTAAGAAGATGCTGCGGAGCAAAACCAGGGTTGAATCTCTTGCGCAGCGCCTTCCACTCTTCACCCTGATAGGCGTGCGCAAAAGATACAGTCAGCAGATATTCACCGATAGAGGAGAGAGTTATGTGAGAATGCTCCCGGGATCAAGACAAATCAGTCTTCAGTCCTCAACCACCTAGGTACTCACATGTGAAGATACGATGGACGTGGGTCCCGTGAGATGCTCCATATGGCTCCATGCCTCGGCATTCTTCGGCGGGCTGTAGGGGAACCGATCTGACGACTTTGCAATCTGCTCTGCAACCATGTGGCTGGCTACAATGACTATTGGCTTGGTCACAGGCCTGAGATCTACAAACATGATAGGCGGCCGACCAAGGGCCTCATGCATGGCCGCAAACGCGACATCTGGTCCTGATTCAGCTGTTGCGCTCGACGTATAAAACCGCTCAAATCAATCAGAAGCTGAGGGGCGCTACCTGGATGAGCGCCTTTCGGGGCACGCTTGACGAACTCGTCGACCGTGCCAAGATGTCCGAGAACCGCCGAGGGAGGCAGCTGTGGGAAATCGGCATACTGCTTCAGCCTCTTGAATCGGATCCTGTTGTACAGATAGGGCGCAAGAAGCGCAAGCGCGGCAAAGATTAGCTGCGCCAGCATCGTGTGCGGTAACGCAGAGCCGCACGCCTCTATTGTGGGAGGATGAGAGTGAGCACGTTCGTGTTCCAAGATGTCCGATCTTGGGGACGTCGGCGGTTGGTTGTTGAAAACGCGAGTGCCAACAGCTCTTTCAACCTGTGAGCAAGGCGCAGCCAATATTTATGAAGAGTTGAAGAGGACGTTGGTTGTGCCGTAGAGACGACAAAACGTGGCTCCAGGGTGGTATCCCCAGCGGCACAGCAGCGCCAGGATTGGGAACCTTGCAGCCAACACCAACAACCAACCACGTCAGGGCCAAGCTATTGCGAACCCGGCCTAGCCTTTGGGGATGCGGTTCGTCGACTGTTCCTGCAAAGATTCGTATGGACCGCCCCGCTTCTTCTGCCGCTTGTAGGGATACCGCCGTTAGGAGATGCCAATAAACACGGCTCCAAGGTGCCACTGGCCAACGGACCATGCAACAGGACGTGCAGAATTTCAGCCGACAGGCTTGTGGAGTTGCCTTGTATCTATCTATTCGCGTCTTCAGCCTCAACTTGCCAGGTCGCATCTCAGCTCCAGTGTTCAACATACAGTGTCGAGTCGGTAATCTGTACTTTTGTGTCCACTGAGAGTGGATACCGTTCCCAAGTCCAGAAACATGAGGAGCCACCAGTTCGGCTGATATCTTGGCGTCAACGGGTGAATTTGAGCCTGACCCGGCAACGCCAACTCTTGTCGATCACGGACTGCATGTCGTTGACTGTGCTTGTCAATACTGGGCTGCCGACGTCTATTTGAAGAGTTGGTCAATTTTTCTGCGCCATCCACCCTAGATAGGGGCTTGATAAATTGCTGCTAGTGTACCTCGATCCATGTTGCAAGTGTGATGGCTCTTGTGATTGCCTAGAACGGTTTCTTCCGTCGGTTGAGGCCCTCGCCCACAATTATCGTTGCAGTGTATCCACCCGCCTGCAACCAACATGTGTTCGTTTATATTTTTAGGCAGCGGTAGCACACTAGATGCTCGCCAACAGATTTCCACGTAGAATTTTTTGTTATCATTGCACTTTTCAATATTACACACTCGACTAGAGGTCACCTATATCCCAACTAACCATCCGCCGGGATCACGTCCCATTGAGCACCAGAGCAGACATCATAGCAAGAGTCAAGCTTTTGAATGCTCCGTCTGCGCAACAGGACATATCGCAGATGGATCTCTCTCAGATACCAGTAGTACAGCCGCCCGAAGGAGTAACTCCCAACTTTGTCAATCCACCCTCGCTCGCAACCTTATATCGTGTTACTATTTGGGTTTTTATGCCGTTGATGTCCGCTCTCGTCCTCATTCGTCTTGTCGCCCGTCTACGCCAGATGCACAAGTTGGTTGCCGATGACAGTATGTATCATTACACTTTGCACTATCTACACATGATTCAAGTACTAATGCTTGACGGTGTCAGTTTTCTGCATGCTTGGGGCTGTGAGTCTCTTTCTTTGCACGATTCAATATTGATCCCGAAGCTAATCATTAGCTCAGGTTTCTATCATCGCGTACTGCGCCACGGTAGTAGTTGGTGAGCCTTCTCCGTTTTGGTTCAACAAATGCTAGCCTGTGGCAATAATACCGCTGTACTAATCATGACTTCAGAGGCCGACAATCCACTGGGCAGGCATCTATGGGATGTGTCCCTTTCTATGATCACAGAGAAGTATCTGAAGGTAGGTAATCCTTGCCATGAATCCCTTTCATTGCTCTGGCCTGAGCCGGTCGCACCTTGACAGCAACGGGGCATCCGACTAACAGCACAGCGTCTAGCTCACCTCGGTGGGCCTAGTACTGCACTCTTTGGGGTCCATGTTCTTTAAGCTCACCCTTTTGACACTCATCCTGCGACTGTTTCACCACATCCGCTGGGCACATTGGCTTATCTGGGCCGGTATTGCGGCTACCACTACTCTCTACACTTCACTTTCCGTCTTCATCTTGACCAACTGTGTCCCTAGGAAGGGTCAGACTTGGCATTACACAACCTACTATGGGACTTGTACAATGGCACAGGAGCGAAACTCCCTGGTGAATGGTGTTTTCGGGCTTATATCTGACCTCTACATTTTAGCCATCCCGCTGTGGCTGCTGTCTCATTTAATCCTCCCAAATAAGCGGAAGCTTGGGGTTATGGGTGGTTTTCTTACCGGTGTATTGTGAGCTCTTGTCATTTGATCTGGGACTTCTCAGGTGCCAAACTGACCCTAACCTCAGGACTTGTGGTTGCTCCCTCGGAGGTATTGCTGCGCGCGCCCTTTCGAACCTAGAAGACGGAACATGGAGCATTGTCTATGTGTTTGGGTAAGATATCAAACACCGCACAGCAATTCTCCGGGTGACGATTGGAAAAGACAAAAAACCTGACTATCATTGATTCACAGCATTTTGGAACTTAACATCGGCCTCATTTGTGCCTGTATGCCTGTCGTGGCGCTGCCGTTGAAGGCCATTGGTGCCAGCATAGCAGCGTCATGGAACTCTCTCAGAGACTACTCCCGTACCCGACTCCTCAATCGCTCAAACAGAAAACTGGAAGGGATCGACGAGTACAACATGACGCACAACCCTTCATATCAGGACGCGGGGCATCAGCTGCCACAGATGGTCAAGGGCGATGGCGCCATAACCGGCCTCAGGAGCTTCATGCGACGAGCGTACCGATCCACCGCTGGAGCAGACACACAAAAGACTGCGCCCTTGCCGACTACGCAACAGATCAAGACCCCGACTCTTATTACGGCAGATTATCCCTATGACTACCATGACCAGCTCAAGAACATTCATTTAGTAGATATAGGTGGAGGAAGCAATTATGTCAGGTCTCATCCATCGCCTCAGCCCCCGATGCCGGCAGTTCTGCAGCGAGACAAGTGCTGACCGCAGGACCAGCAGAAGTACCAGCAATGGAGGTCTCAAGGCCGATCTGCCTGATCCATGCTATTCCCAATCCTAGGCTATTTGCAAACGGGAACGTTCGTCTTCGCTTTGTACCACACGGCAGTGATTTATATACTCAATTGAACTGGTGTATGATATTTAGTCACGGGGTAGGGCAGAATGGAATATGATGCGATTTGTGACGCCTCGATGTACACAGAACACGCGACATTATGCAGCTCAAGGTGTAAAGCCTCCATCGCCATACTTTTCAAGCGCTTCCTTGTACCACGTGTCCCAATCGAAGACTTGTTTGCCCATTACGGCCTTCCACCATCCCCCGAAAACGTCAACAAAGTGTTCCCGATCCTCGGGATTTGTTTCTATCACTTGGTCAACTCTAAAGTGCAGTTTCTGCGCCACCAACGCAAAAAGCTCGTATGACTCGGTTTCTTCGCGGAGGATCCTAGAAAGGCACTTTTCATCCTCGCTTGGTGTAGAGAGACCCTATGGTACAACTCCCACAAATCGTAAAGCAATAGAGGCGACTGGAAGGCCGCGTCCTTGGCCGTGACAATGGCCAGCTCCCAGTCTATGATGCCAGTGATATTGTAGTCAAGATCAACCAGGAAATTAACATCTCTAGAGTCGACATGACGCAAGAAGAAAGGTCCTTTATCGTTCCGGGGGAGACAGTCAAGGAGACTCCTATAAACAAGGTATTGGTCGAGAGGTGCAGAAGGTGCAATTTCCCCTGTCCTGATGAGCCCGATTTGGTGTTGGATCCAGGCCCTGTAGTAGTCGTTCATGTTATTGAATGGGCCAAACGGCACTAAGTGCCCGGCCGAGTCGTAGCCGAAAAATGCCGGGCCGACTTCTGGCTGGCCTGTTGGCGATGACGATGGTTGCAAGCGTCCAACCGCTCTGAGGGGGTGCTTCTCCAGCTGGGCATAAATGCCGGCCAACTGACGCATGAATTTGTCCCGCTGTGCTTGATCCGCTTCGTGCCAAGCAAGCGGCTTCCCGGCAAGCTTTTCAACCAGAATATATCCAGCACCAACAGTGTTGGATGGATCCTCGTCATCGGCACAGTCGTAAACGCGTGGGACCGGGATAGCGGCTGCGGCCAGAAAGCGATATGTTGCGAATTCGCTGCGCCGATCAAAGTTTCTCTCCGCCACCGGAGGTGCGTTGTGGTTAGGCAGCCGGAATCGTGCTAGCCAGGCTTTCCCGTCCTCAAATACAACTGAGCCATGGTAGTTGCGTCCCCCAACGACGTCCGTGTTGAAGTACGCCTGACTGGCTGGTGGGAGAGTGACGGTGCATTTCAGTCCGTCACGTAGAGTCTCGGCACGCTCGCGAAGCGCATCGCCATCAATGCTGTCTATCAGGGCAGATATCATCTTTTCGCCTGCCGTACGTCGGGATGCATTGAGCTCTCGGACCTCAGACTGGTCGCCATACATATAGATCCTATAGATTTCCTATCATACAAAAGAGCGAGGGGTGGTATTAGCTTGGTCTCGGCCTCGCTGAATCCTTGATTGTGTCTCTACGAACCTCTGTCGTCATACACGTGTGTGAGGTCGAGACGGCATGCTCTCCGCAGAAATGTCGGTAGCATTGTTCACACTGCCCGAACAGCGACCACAAAGCGGGTCGGCGACATTCCTGAGCTGCGCAGTGCCACTTCATGATGGACTTGGCTGGGAAAGACGCAGAGGCCAAGCAACAGATATTCAACCCGTGGTTCAGGGGCAGGCGATGCAAACGAAGTGAAATAAGACAAACACCACATTTGGTGGTCGCGGACCGACGGACTTTCCAAGCTTCAAAATCAACAGGCAACAAAGGGAGGGGTTGGGTTGGTTGTACAACCATCACCATTTACCAGCCACCTTTAGTCACATCCACCTTTGGTCACATCCACCTTTAGTGCCGCTCCACCACATAACTAGAGAGTATTTAGAGAATTGTGATTTTTTTAAATTATTCAGATATATATCTACTAACAAGATTAAAATTTATATAAAGCTATATAACGCTTATATATAATAGTAAACACCGAACGGCCTTATAGTATAGAGCCTAACCCTCAAAGTAGCTATATAAATAAGTATGTGTAGGGTAGCGAGAATCACTTCTAACGGCGTTCTGGACTAGTAAGCCGGTGAAGCAGTTCTGAAGCATAGACCAAAATCGTATTGTACTAATCTAGATCCTCCACTAGATGAAGAAATGTATATAATGCCGATAAAGACATTGTGGCACAGTTCGAAGGCTGAGCAGTCAGGAGATAAATAAATCCATAGTGGCTATACTCGGTCTGTTCTCGTTGGAGAACAAACTCATCGGCGTCCCCGCCCCCAGCTCTTTACCCACGGCGGCGGAGTACGCGGCGTCCTGGAATTACTCCCACCTAGTTTCACATAGCGTGAGCGGCCGTCTCGCGGTAGGGCCACACTGTATCGACTGACATTCGCTGTGTATAAGCACCTAGGCACTTCGATAGGTAAATACCCTTTCGCTTACCCTTAGTATTTATGGAGTTTCGTTCCTTAATTACAAGCTGCTATCATTGCGGATAATTCCTTGAGCTTGACCTCGTCTGCACCACAATTCAGCACCCAAAGCATCTCGAAAGTCTAAGAAGCCATGAGATCGTGTCTAAGCAACCTTAGGAAACCAAAGTCGAACGATCATAATCGTGGTCGCCACATCAGCATCAGCACAAATGCAACAGTGGCTAATCAACACCCGTTCCATCATGTCGACGCCACCAGCACAGGTAGTACCGAAGGCAGGAGTATGGGTAACGGCCGCAGTGAAACAGGATCAGCAGACAGCCTCAAATCAACTCGTTAAGAACAACTTGAAGAGCCAGGGCCTTGGGTAAAACCAGCTTGGGCACCACGCCGGCTCCAGCCTGTGGTCCACCCACATCCTCTTCTCATAGCATGGGCGGGACTTCACAAAGAGCATCAAGGCCATCATCTCTGTGTCGCCGTGATCAACCAGCTTCCGCAAAGTTGATACCCGAGGTGTCTTCTGTCAGGAACACAGCCAAGAGCCGGGGATAATACGACCAGATAGTGTGCCGCCTGCAAACTATGAGACGTTGTTTCCGTGGGCCCCACCCACGCTCTCCGAGTCCTGGCCCGGCCACGGGCGAGCCTGGCAAAGGGGACCAGGCCCATCCGCATCTCACTCCGAGCACGAGCTTGATGACCCCATTGTCGCGGCCGCGCGGCACAATCAGACCAGGCCCTTGCTTCGGCTGCCAGACAGGATCCTCATCGGCATCATTAAGCGCCTGGACCCCGTTGATGTCGAGTGTCTCCGTCGCGTCTCGCGGAGATTCCCCCCGCCGGCTGCCAAGGTCATGGTCTCCCGAGAACCCGCCTCCAAGAACCTCATCCTATCCCGCGGTCCGTTCCCTTGGCCCCTTTTGGCGGAGGCTTTTAGCGCCGCCGAGTTCACTGCCGCCAGGAGGAGACTGCTGCTCCGGCTTGACCAGGACCGATATTGCTCCGTGTGCAAAACAGCCCGCCGTGCACCGGACTGGCTGTCGAGGGTCTACAAGCTGCGCACATATCATTGGTGCTCGGGTTGCGAGGGCTTCCACCCAGCCTGTCTCTTCTCGGCCGCACAGCGCCGCCGGCAGTCGCCCGAGCGGAAGTGTGTCGCGCGCGAGGGCTACATCCGGATCTGTGGCCACAAGGACGGCATCGTGCGGTGGTCCGACGTCGTGGACATTTTTGAGCGGGAGCGAGGCCCAGACCCGCCGGCGTTCAACGGCCGGCGATGCTTGGACATCAGCCACCGCACGGCATGTGGAGAGGCCAGGGTCGGGGAACATGCAGGCCAGCACATGGAGGCACCGGACGACTACGACGAGTTTCCCCCCATCCATATCGCGAGGCATCTGGATTCCTCCAGAAGACTAGAAGAGTCGCTCGTCACATCGTGGAGCCCACACGTGCCCCTGGGTCGGCTCGGAGAGTGGCCACCTACCGCGAGCACCCTCCGTCGCCGTCTCGGCGAGCTTTCAGATAATGCCGGGCGCTTCATGACCTTGACGGCGCAGCCGCAGATGCTGGAGCTGCACGAGCTCCGATGTTTCGACCCCAACGGTTGCGACTGTGTTTACTTTGAGGGCTCCGAGGACGTCGACTGGCGTCCGTACCGCCCGATACAACAAGAGAGAATTGAGAGGGGGAACCTGGATGGCGCTACTTCCAAGTGCTATTTTGATCCTGCGAAACGCCTGCTGGCGTCTCCGCGTCGCCACCGCAGCCTCTCGTCGGAACCAACCCCCGGGCCCAAACCAGACGCCGAGAAGTGCCTGGTGGCTGAGAGAGTCCCGCATAGGGCCCGGGTCCGGTTTCTCCACCGTGACTCCATGCATGGGCCTGGCGACCTGATCGTCAGCGCACGCTTGTGCCGCAGTCCTCAGGAGCCCTGCATTCGGTTTCACTAGGAACGATACATTGTTAACAGGCTTCCTGCCGATGGTTTCAACGATATTCCCGAGAGCTGGTACCAGTCCCTGGACCCGGACTCATACGGACTCACCACGGACGCCGACGGCTATGGTGTGTATTGGTGTCGACAGCCAATATGCTGCAACTATTACAGTGGGAGTTTTGTGTTGCGTATCGTGGTGGTTGAGAGAGTGGAATCCATGATCCGCTCGAAGGTGGGATGTTCTGGGAGCTGGGCATCTAGACTCAGAGTGTTGCACGGAAGAGAACAACATAACATTGAACCCACGAATTCCGCAAAGCTCTTGGCCCGGTTGGGAAAACGCTGGGACAGCAGCCACGGGGTACTGACCAGGGCACCTACCTAGGTAGGTAGGATGTCGTAGGAGGTATGAGGCAGGAGGCAGGGCCTGCCGGGGTGTTTGCTCCGTGAGAATAAAGTGTAGAGAAAGAGGAAAAACATCACTCGGGCACATTGCCAGCGGGCCCGGTTTTGACGACCAGGGGCCCGGTCGCTGGCCCAGAGGATCTGTCCAAGGACAGAAGGAACATTTCTGTGCAGGTGACGGCGCGCGGGCATGGGTCCTCGAGGACGCCCTGCTGCCTGCCTCTGTGCAGAGACTGGCGCCAAAACATGGAAAGAGGCAAGGAGAGGCTTCAAGGAAGAATCCCAGGCGAGACAAATACGGCAACCATGAGAAGTACCCCAAACGGCAGAACCAGGATGGAGAGACCTCCTCGAGCGGTTCTCTGGGTGTAATGATCTCGGACATTTCCAGCCCTCCCGAAATTCTTGCTGTCACCACCACCATCACCACGGCCGCTGACGTCGCCGCCGCCCCGCAGAGATTATGCCAATAGATGGAGATACGTGAAAATACTCACGGGATCAAGAAAAACAAGTCTTTACTCATCAATTACTTATTATTCGAGATGTAATGAACATAGGCCTGGTAAAATATTCTATATCCCGGGAACCGTTAAGACGGTGACCCTTAGTCTTGTCTGTGCGTTGTAAGGCTGAGGTTACAAGCACCTATCGTATTATAACTATTATTATCAACATTATATTCTTTCCAAGCGCTAAGTCTTAAGTACTTATTACTATATAAAGGCGCTATATATATCCTTAGATGTATATAGAATAGAAGTGAAACTATATATCCTAGAAACCTTTGGCAGACTATACACATAACACTCTAACAACCTTATAATCTACTTTATAACTATGAATAGGTGCTGAATGGATAGAATTTAAATTCTAACTAATATAGAAACAATTTTTTTTATCTCTTTTGCTAATGGACTAGGCTTCTCCGAACCACTCCTAATCCCAAACTGGAACAGAAATCAGAGCTTTCGAGAGCAATCTCAGCGAAAAGAATCTAGATCAAAATTCTATTCACACCATTCAGCAGTAGATCTGGTATCTGTACTTGTCCCCAATGGGGACACAGTCGTTCGAGACGTAGCGCCAGTCCGGGTTGACTGAGTTGGAACAGTCGCCGAGCAGCACTGTCAATACATCAGATATGAGCTCTTCTGAAATGAATGAAGCTGTGAGGGGTGAGGAGAGGACGTACTTCTACAGCCAGAGGCGAGCCACCAAATCTTCATGCTCTGGCCCGGGAGCGCGATGCAGGATCCATCGGGCTCGTGATAGTCGACCTGTCCCGAAGAGCAACTTCCGTCTGTCCAGGTCGCAAATGCAATTGCCGGGTCGTACTTTCCGCGCTCTGCCAGCTCTTTGTGGTCCATCTCCACAGGAGTAGCGGAGATGGTTCCGAGAAGGACGGTCACCACTGCAACAATGGCCTGCTTGTTGAAACGCATCTTGAATCTTCTAAGACTGATTTGGTAGGGTTGTTGGCTGTGATGCTTGTCGCTATGAGTTTGAATGCTTCTGGTAAGAATGTGAGCGATGGAGACCAGGTTAACTTCACTATTAGTATCAGCAGTGGACGACACATATATATATATATATTGATTCCACTTAGATAGGCTTTGCTGGAAACCGAATTCTCTGTGGTTCTTGACTTCGCCCATAAAAGTCAACGATGAACGGCGGTCGGCGAACATTACAGGTCATGGCCTGATGGTGGCTGCTGACAATAGTATGTTGCGTCCCCTCACCGCCGTCTCTGCCAGTCAAGCCTTTTTGGTGAGAGTAGTATAACCAATAGCAGTGGCCGACCTTATGTGAGACATCTCCTGAGGTCTTCGTGTTGCTTACTGAGGACAGCCTCGCCGGCGCTTTTTTAGCAAGGCCATCTAGACTTCAATGGTACGATTGTATTTCCCTTTCGAAGACAAACGAAATTATAATATCACCTAAGACGGTTTTTCTGTACAAGACATTTTAAATGAACAACGGCAGAACGGAAGCCTGACCGAGTCTCGTCTTTCCTTGAATGTTGGCATAACCCTTCCAGAGGTCGTTGTCATAGCTGCAGTCACCACCAGCCGCGCTGTGAATGCATGAGCCCGGATTGTACTTTGTCGGCAGTGCAGACAACACAAGCAGCGATTTTGAAGTTGAAGCGACGTTTTATGCTCCTTGAAATATGGACTTACACTGCTGAATAAGCACTAACAGGTTCACAAGTCTTTACAGACGTTCTGTCGGACAAGGAAATAAGACATGTCTCTCCGAATCAGCACTTTTCAGCCGTGTCAGCAGTTCTACGCTGATGGAAGGTCCAACTTGGTAGTTGTGTGATTCAGCGCCACTATATGCAAGGTTCATACAGATCTTAGCCCGCTTGAAAATGAATCAACATCCGTCTTCTCTGCCAGCCATATTCCCTGCGTAGAATGCACTGATCGCTGTGTAGAGGCCGATTTCAGGTGCCGAAGTATGGAGAGGTGTCCGGATGCCTTTGAGATGCGTATGGGTTGAGTATGGGACTACTTGTGTAGGTCATTGTGAGCCTAAAATTGGTACTCAAAAACCTAATGGGAGCCATGAGGATTGTAACAACGGCTCCGAGCATGTCGTAAGCCGGGCTAAAAGGGCTAACGTAAAGGCTAAGAAGAACATTTACTTGACCGTTTTTATATGTGCCTTACCTCTAGAGGACTCTTCAGGCAGCTAGTGCTCTCTTTTTCTTTAAAGAGACGAGGTCAGGGTAGTGGGGGTACATAGTATATGTTTGTTGCAGCTTATGCACAAAGCAAGCATACAGTGCCTACAGTGGTGCTGGAAATGCTGTGGTCAGGTGTTGCCACGGAAGTCGAACCCGCGCGCCTCACATGGAGACGTAAGCAGATGACCCAGGGGTTGACGCACTATCGTAGGCCGACTCCATGGCACTCAAATACTTGTGCAACACCCGAAAGGGATCATCGTGCCCTTCAGCATCCAGGAGCAGTTGTACGGCGGGATAATTCACATTTGGACACGTACCTAGGTAATACCGAAATCTTCTCCGCTTTGTTCAAACGAACGCGAAATGGATTTATTTGCAAGGAAGCTGTCATGGAGAATGTTTTAGTAATATCTCAATCGACATTCTCGGCGCTCAACGATGTCCCAATCCCATAACCGGCCTGGTGTCTGTGTCAGCTACGCCATGTTGCAGTCTTGTCTACCGGACCTGTACTAGTATTTCTCAGGAACTGTTAAGAACACATCACACATTGCGTCAGTGTGTCTTTTTGAAAGCATCGCGTTAATTGGTTTTGAAAAGCCCAGCCTTCATGAACTCCAACATCGTGAACTCCAACATCGACGAGGAAGACAATCTTGCTCGGATGCAGAGAGGGGAGCTCTTTTAGGCCTTCTCACCTCGACTTGTTGCTGCCCGACATCAATCTGGACGTCGTTTTTATTTCTTTTTTATTTCTTCCTTTTTCTACCTTCCCTCCCACTTCCCTTCCAACTTATTTTAAAATTTATAATATTATTTCTATTAAATAATTTAGTTTAATATAATAAAATTTAAAATCTTAATAGTAGAGTATATTAGGCTTATTTATATATGCTATACTATACTAATTATATTAAGTATAGTAAATAGTAATCTTATATATAACTTATTTTACCCTAGTTACAAATACCTAATGACTTCCTACTTTCTAAAGTTCCACCTGGGTAAATTATATTGAAGATAACCTCGTAATCGGAAGTATTGGTCCAATTTCTGCAACAGGTCAACTTTAAAATATCGCCTTATTAAAAGACCTACAGCTAGAATGATGGTTTCCGCCCTAACCTCACTAGTCTTGGCCAAGTCACACCCAAACTGACAGACCACCGACTCCCGACACCGCATTTCCGAGCATGGATCCCAAGTGGACGGCCCGCAGATTCGTGATCAAGCCGCCGGATGACGAACGGGGCAGGACGTGGGTATCCCCTGCCACTGCATATGCATCTATACAGTATTCACATGGAGAACAGGCTTATCAGCACGACAACCCCGGAAGTCCGGTGATTTCAGCCCTGACCGCAGCCGGCGTGTTTCTAGCGGCGTGGATTCGACAAATTATATATGAATGTAGAAATGCCCGGCTGATGTCCGGCTGCCGGTAGATTGGCAGGTCAGTCAGCCAGCCATTCAATCAGATGCCAGCGCAATGTTGTTCGTTACCTCGTGGCTCGGTGGTGTGCTTGCAGCCTAGCATTGCGCCAAGGCTGTTTGGATCATTTCCGTGGGATAGAGTAAGGGGTGTTATCGGCTCGGCGGCGTTCCCCCTTTGGGTCGTGGCCGAGATGGTGTGAGATTTCAGGATGTTGACCGAATCGCTCGGCACCTGCTCTGACGTGTCCTTAGCTCGATGTTGCCATTTGACCAGCGCTGTTCAAATTCAGATGCTATTGATGAGTGGTCAGCGTGCGCGTGAACACCGTCAGCGCTGCAGGTGAAGATGCCCAGGTGTCAACACATGGCAGGAGAGCTTAGGAGCTTTCACATTTACACCCAAAACATGGTGTTACTGAATGATCTGTGAAATGCATGTGTAACCTCGCAACGTAAAATTCAAAGTGGTATCATGAAGCGCACCCGAAAGGCATCCAATAAGCCTGTAACTCCCGAGCAGTGACCAATGTCTAGCAATGCGAAGCAGTTCACATCCAACCCAGTCCAAGACGTGTATCACCATTTGTCAACCCATCATCTCCCCAGCAACAGCATTCGCCCCTTCCCACCTCTGAAGCCACGGAAACGAGAAGCTCGGAGGTCCGCCGCCGCCACCCGCGGCCTGCTGTAGCCTGGGCGACTCCCAACCATCAGCCGCAAAGCCACCATCAAGCCAGCCAGACTGCCATGGCTCACTACCCAGGCCTCTGTCATAAGGCGGCGACAGCGTCCGCCTCGGTGGCAGTATGTAACCCGTTGACGACGGCACCGTCGGCATGATATCTAGCGTCGCGATCCCTGGGAGCCGCGGGCTCGGCACCTTGGTGGCGGCGGCAGTGCTCAAGCTGCCATGCCGCGCCCCCTCAGGTGACGGGGGCTGATCATCGCCGTCGGGGAAGTCGGCCTGCCGGAGAAGGCTGTGGATCGCTAATCTCTGCCGCACCCGCGCGGCGGCGCTGAGACCTGCCGCCGAGTTCCTGGCGCTGCTGTTTGTCATACTAGATGCGGTTGGGCCAGGACTCGCAAGTCTGGTTGGCGGGGAAGAAGACGCCGCTGTGCCCGCGCCTGCCCTGCTGCTCGGGTAGACCGATATGGCCCTCTTCATCTCCTCCAGCACGGGGCGGGCAAGCCTGCTGGACGGGAAGAAACGCCGCAGCGCGGCGAGACACAGCTCCGCCCTGCTGAGGGCCCACTCCTCCGACGGCCTGCTTGGCGACCGCGACGACTGCGCGATGAAGAGGAGCAGCCGCGTGGCGTGGTATCCGCAGATGGCGGTGTCGAACTCGAGCAGCTGTGCCCTGTGGCTGACCTGGTTCAGGATGGCGAGGATGTCAACAATGGCCGTGGCGTGCTGCAGGCAGAGCTGCTCCGCCCTCGCCAGGAGGTCCCCGTCGACGGCGTCCAGGACCACGGCGGGAGCAGCCTCCCGGTACCCTCGCACGAGGAGGCGGTATAAGTCGCACTGGGAGTGGTGGAAGGAGAGGTGCACGAGAATCTGGCGAGGTAGCCAGGGGCTGTCGAGGAGGGACGAGATCCGTTCGGCGGTCAGGGTTGGGCCTCCCGGGAGCTCGGCCTCGATCCGTGCGAGGTGTTGCTCGAATTCGTGCATTACCGTCGACAGCTGTGGGAAGGTCGTATCGCACAGGGAGAGGGACCGGTTGAGCTTCATGAGGTCGCGGCGGAGCATCTCCAGCCTCACGGAGAGGTGGTATGAGCCGAAGTCGCAGGACTGGGGGGTACGCTCCGTGCTTCCGTCGGTCCGCGTATCGCTGAACTCCTGTTCCCAGCAGGGCAGCTCGAGGTAGATGCTCTCGACCGGGCAGAGCTCGAATTCCGGCAGTCCCGTGGAGAAATACCGCTCGACCAGCTTCAGGGTCCACATGACGCGCCGCCTGACTTCCCGCGAGATCTTGTTGCCAGTCGACTCGTCGCGCTCGTGGTTGAGCCGCATTGCGGCGGCTGCTCGGGCTGCCAGGGCGGAGAGCATGAAGGCTCGTTGGAAGGCCCCTGTCTCTACCCTGTAGAGGGTGACTAGCAGTAACGCTTGAAGGCGTGACACGGACGGTGACTCGAGATTCTTCCAGATGAGGTCCTCCGCTGCCTGAACCCACGACAGCTCGGCCTGTTCCTTGCGCTGTGAAGAACCATGGTGATAGCTGGCGATTGCCACAATAGCATATGACAGGCTGGTTTCCAGCTGGCCATTGATGGAATGATGGATGGTGGTTTCGGGGTGGAGGAAGGCGTACGAGGACAGAGGATAGACATGATTAAAGTAGAATTCCACCAGCACCTGGATGTTGGGGGGAAGCAGTGCTGGCACTTGAGGAGGGGACGTGGATACTGCTACCGGCTGGAGACTCGTGATCTCCGGGGTGGTTGGTGTGGGAGATGCGTTCGATGTGTCTTCAGTGCTGGCCGTGCTCTTGGCCACGGGTGGGAATACCGACTCTGTAGGCGTCAAGGCTTTGCTGACCGAATCCGTGATGGCACGGCTGCTTTTCCGCCGACCATCTGTTCCATAGACGCAAGTGACGCCTCGCTTCTTGCAGGCCAGGCACGGTGTGCCCGAGGAACAGCGGACTTTGTGCTGCCTACAGGCGATGCACGCCTTGCTCGTCCTCCGCCGCTCCACCGGTCTGTCTGATGTCGGACTGGGATGGTCGGATGGCTCGCCTTCTGTCGTCGACGTCGGTGTTGGTGGAGGAACAGGTCCGACGAATGAGCAGGCGAACTTGAGCCTGTCGCAGTCGCCGCAGCCTTTGTCTCCCTTTTGTCCGTCGCAGCGGACCTTTCTGAACCTGCACTGCTTACATGTCTCCTTTGGCTGACGGCCTGTGGCGCTAAAGGTTGTAACGAATTGCTCCATGATAATTGCCCGGGTGTCGAGCTCAGGCTGTTGTCGGTGTTGTTATTATGTGGGTGCGCAATGACGGTTCCATTCCTCGCTGGTGCTCCACCGCGTGGCCGGGAATGGTGTTCGGGCGTGAATCGCAAACGACAGACGGGATGAGGCTGATTACTTCGGGCTGGCCTCTCCTGGGAAGATGCACAACGAGAAAACGAGAACAGGATTCCAGGTCACCGTGTTGTTGCATATCCGAACGGTGGGTCCTCGACGGTCCTTTGCTGCTGTTGCCTCATATTCCTGTGGTGGGACCCCGCATTCCGCCTATGATACCATCTCGAGCGATAATTGCGAATTTGACGAATCTGCATGCCGACACTACGCCCGGGGACGACGCCATATATGAAGGTAAGGAGGCGTCGCAAAAACCCCTGTCCCGCGAGTCGAGAAACCTCACATACTACTTGAGGATCATCTAAGCAGCGATAAGCTTGAAACGACTGGCCCAAATTGCACGCTTCTAGGTATGAAGCCCGGAATCTAGCTGCGCCACCGGATCGGGAAGATCGGGAGTAGACACGGTCAGCCCTGCCTCGACCCCTGAGTGTGAGGGCCCGAAAACTGCTAGACGAAGATCATTCAATTGCTTGTCCACAATGGGGTTTAGTAGGGTAGGGCTTGACAGCTGGGCCCCGGAAGCCTAAAGTGCAAGTGTCATGTATGTTAATAAGTCAGATGGAATGGGGAAAGCAGCCGAAGGGATGGGGGTGCTCAAATAAGAGCACAAGACTTCCTAGGGCCGGGAGTTAAAATGGCGCCATATTGTTGTATACCGGGTTTATCATCGTATCGAGGCTCGGCGACAGCGCTTGGGCCAAGCCCACTATGGCTTAGGGGCTTGTACAACCGAGACCTTAATAATGGCAGATTGGAATTTCCTGTTGGACTCCAAAAATGATCCCAGCCGCCGGTCTTGGCTGCCTCTGCACCGGAGCATGCATGACTGCGAATCCGAGCTCATGGTGGTATTTCACGGCAGTCCACCCGCATATATCCGCCTAATTGTGCTGGACACTTGACACCTGATGATCCAATTCCCAACTTGTGTCGGTACTGAAGCATAACCAGTGGCAGCGCCGTGAAAGACTGGAAAACAATGAGGTGGACCCTGAAATTATGGCGAGGTTCCATGCCATGCGCAATCGGTTAAGACCACCGAGCCGAGAAGCCCATGCAGATCATGCGAGAACCGAAGTAGTTGGAAAGGATAATCCCATGAAGCCGTCGTTATTGTTTTCAAACATGGATGCGTTGGCGACCTTGCTTCTTTACGCTCGAGCCAATGGGGAATTCTTTGAGAAGTGAGCAGACCATCTTAAGTCTTTCTACAAACTCTTTCATATGTGCAGCAAGCCTGTGCTAGATCAAGACTATCACAGAAGCGGAGCTAAAGCATATACAATATATAAGTATGTTTGGAGGGACCTATGCTGTTTAGCGTGAACCAGTGGAGAGTCAACGAAACGTATGGTAACGCTCATCAGATCAAATGATATACTTTAGGTCCCACAAGCGGATTTGGAATGATACACATCTCCCTCTTTCAGAGGTTGGAGGGCACTGTGGCAAAGACAGAGCCGGCGGGCAGTCTTCGACCAGCCAGTCAACTCCATGCAGAGACGCCTTATCGTAAATATCTTTGGAGTTCCGCTGCATTGAACCATAATTCGCGTTCTCGTATCGAAGTCAACCTAGGCCCAGTTAGTGCCGACAAGAGAGCAAAAAATGATAACTCGCGGGGATTGTTGCGCAATCCGCTGCGGTGGCGACACCCACAGTGCAACCTCCATACGCGATAAGAAGGGAGTTTTCCATACGCTCCGGCAGCGATTATAACATACACTTACCTAGGTCTATCACCAAGCAGTTCCTAAAGGGTCTCGGCCGCCAGCTGCTATAACCCGGTAATTTGGGAATAAAAAACCAAACGTGATGCCTTAACCCACCGCTACATGTTTAAATATCTAGGTAAAGCCATACCACCAAAGTAAAACGAAGTAAAACGAAGTAAAACGAAGTAAAACGAAGTAAAACGAAGTAAAACGAAGTAAAACGAAGTAAAACGAAGTAAAATGAAGTAAAAAAAAGTGAACTGCT